GCTTAAGGGGCTATAAAATATATCTTAAGTCACCATAATTTACTTCAGATCAGTACTGATTTGACTAATGAAAAGGAAGAAACTTTGTTCTAATATGGTTCTACTCTTCTCTCACCTCTTTGCTATTACTGTCATATATGTGATATATGTATATTAAAATCCAACAATACAATGGTATAATTATTGTATTCTAAAACTTTATGTATTTTAAATGGGGAAAAGACAAGAAAGGAAAAACAAACAATTCTACATATTTACCATTTCTTGTATTTTTCATTTCTTCCTAGTTCCTACTTAATATCATTTCTTCCAATATACTTCTACTTCTTCCTGCTCTTTTGTGCTACTGTTGTCACATATATATCATTAAATGCTATAAGCCCAACACTTCATTTTCAGTACTGCTTTATCTAACTTTTAGATAACTTAAGAGAAATACATTTACATTGCTTTTTAAAATTACTTACATAACTTCCTTTATTAACGCTTTTTAACTCTTCATACAGATTCTAGTTTACATCAGGTATCACCTCCTTCATTCTGCAGAACTTTAAGTACTTTGGTAAAGCAGGTCTGCAAATAACAAACTTTCTTTGTCAATCTGGCAATGTCTTTCTCTTCATTTTGAAGAATAGTTCGATAGATACAGAATTTTTGGTTGACAGCTTCTTTTCTGAATAAGTACCCTGAATATCAATCACTCCACTGCCTTCTGCCTTTCTTTATTCCTAATGAGAAGCCAGCTGTTAATCTTGTTGGGTGTTCCCAACAAGAAAATATGATAAACTGTTTTTTTCTTGCAGCTTTCCAGATTTTCCCTTTGTCTTTTAACAGTTTAACTATAATAGATCTAGGTGGGACACTCCCTGCTTTTTCCTCTTGGACTTCAGACCTTCTTAGATGTGTGGATTAATGTTTTGCATCAAATTTGGAAAACTGCGGCTATTTATTATATTTCTTCAAATACTTTTTCTGTCTTTCTCCCTAATATTCCCATTATAGACCCATTGGTCTGCTTGATGATATCCCATAGATCTCTGAAGCTCTGTTTATTCCTCTTTGTTTTTAAAATTTTGTCCTTCAGGAAAGATAACCTATATTATTCTTTCTTCAAGTCTATTGATTCTTTCTTCTGTTATCTAAAATCTTATGTTGAGCTCCTTCTCCACAGTGCATTTGTAATTTCCACTGATAGGCTTATCAACTCCAGAATTTCCATTTGATTATTTTCAAATTTCAGTCTTCATTGATCGTCTCTATTTGATGAGTCACTGTCATATTTTTACTTAGTTCTTTATATATCATTTGAAGTCTTTTGTTGGCTATGTCCAAAAGACAGGCCTCAAAAGAGACAATTTCCATTGATTTTCTCCCCCAGTTTTTCAATGTTTTGTAATGTTCTTGTTTTTGATGAAAACTGGACATTTAAGTAGTATATGGTAGCAACACTGGATTTGCGACATCCCCCCACTTAGAGGCATGGTTATGGTTCTGTATGTAGTGATTTGTCTGAACCAATTCTGTAGCATCAACTACTCTGTAGAGCACAGACACAGATGTGTGCTTTCAGTTTTTATTCTCATATCTGGTTTCTGAGAAATTGTATTGGCTTAGCAGTCAGCCAATGATTTGTCAGAGCTGTGCTTCAATAGCCTGTAGCTTAGGGAATCCACTTAAAGTTCAGGCAGTTGACAAATCTTTTTGGACTTTTATTTTATGAGTTCTCAAGGAACTCATATTCAATAAGAGACAAGCAGCTTGCTAGGGCCTTCATGAGTCTCTCCTGAATATGCTTTTATCCTTACCTTTGTGCATGATCTTCCACAGAACCAAGGATAATTAGGATCTTATTAAGGTCTTCTTTGTCTTGTTCTCAAAATATCCCTATTAAAATTCTGGCTGGCCTACCAGTCTATTGCTCACCAGAAACAGTATCAAAACCTCAGGCTTTACATAATGTTCTCATCTCTTACTCATTTGAAATTGTTTTTGTGACATCCCTAGACATGGAATTTTCTGTTATGCTTCAAAACAACAAAGAAGTCAGCCTCCTTTAGCTGCAGAACCGCTAGTCCTTCCAGCCTGCCCTGCTTCTGTGGAACAAAGCACCAAGGAGCTGGGAATTAAGTGATGGGTGTAGCTCAGGCTGAAATACCACAGACTCCCACTGTTCTTACAGAGTTTCAGTAGATTTTCTTAAATAATGTTTCTCAATTTGTTGTATGCCTTGGTCAATTGCCAGCATCTTCAAATGATTGCTTTTGATAATTCTGTCCAGTTTTATTAGTGCTTTCTGGGGACAACATTTGCCATTCTGGGTGTTGAATATGCTTTTATGTACGTCCAGACCAATGTCAAATAAGCAGGGTGAGAGGAGGCATCCTTGATATTATTCTGCCTTCATGAGAAATTACTCTAGTGTCACATCACTAAATATGGTGTTGGTTGCTGGTTTTAGATAAAAATTTATATTGTATCTGAAATATTTTTCTATTCTTATTCTACCCATAATTTTGACAATAAATGATGAAACATATATTCTACTCTATGTGTCAAGTGATTGTAATATGACAGCCACTTTCTTTGAATTCAAATAACCCCATTTAGTGAGAAAGTAAAACAAGTAAACAGCTATAAGATAGTATATTGTAAATACTTTGATAAAACTGTAGTAAATATGAGACTTACAGGAAAAAGACACTTAGGTAGAACTAAAGATAGAAAAATGGAGGCTAGGGTGGACTTCCTAGGGTAGCGCAGGATGACAAACGATCTGGACTCTGAAAGATTAACAAAATCAGTTGCAGGAGTGGGAAGGTGTTATCTACCAAGAAGAGGGACCAAACCACACAAAGCAAAACTATGCTGGGCTTGGGAATCCCAAGGAGATTTGTAAGGCTGAAGCAAAAGAGTGGTGCTTAGAGGTCAGATCAAGAATTGACATTAAAGTGAGGCGGGCATTGTGGCACAGCAGTTAAGTCACCGCTTGGGTACCTGCATCCTATAATGGAGTGTGGTTCAAGTCCTAACTACCCTGCTTCTGATCCAGCTTCCTGTCAATGTGCACTCTGGGAGACAGAATATGATGGCTCAAGTGCTTAGGCCTCTGCCACCCATGTGTGAGATCCAGATGGAGTTCCAAGCTCCTGTCTTCAGCCTGGTCCAATCTTGATTGTTGTGGGAATTTAAGGAGTGAACCACTGGATGGAAAATACCTCTCTCTCTCTCTCTTATTGTCACTCTGCCTTTCAAGTATAGATGAAAATAAAAAAAAATACATATTAAAATGAGAGAACTACTATTATTATTTTATTTGAAAGGCAGAGTTACAGAGAGAGGGAGAGATAGAGATACAGATAGAGAGAGAGAGAGAGAGAGAGATCTCTCATCTGCTGGTTCACTCCCCAAATGGCCACAATGATTGGGGCTGGGCCAAGCCAAAACCAGGAGCTTCTTCTGGGTCTCCCATGTGGGTGCAGGGACCCAAGGACTTGGGCCATCCCCCACTGCTTTCCCAGATGCAGCAGCAGGGAGCTGGGTCGGTAGTGGAGCAGACAAGTCTTGAATTGGCACCCATATGTGATGCTGGCATCACAGGTAGAGGCCTAACCTGATATGCCACAACAGCAACCCCAAGGATTGACTTCAGTTTAATGGCAAGCTATAGAAAATTTTCAAATCACAAAGTGCTAAATCATATTTATAAATCAAAGATACAGCTAAGGTTAAGAGTGGAGGTGGAATACAGCAAGATTAGAAATGGAGCAGATGTGACAACGGCAGTGGGAATAAGAGGTGAGATTCTGCATATATTTAAGGAGAACAACTGAAAAGATTGGAAGTTTAGAAAGATGGGAATAAAGAAGAGTATCATTCCTTAGTTTCTTGGTTTGACATTTAACAGGGTAGGTGACACAGAACACAAAAAAGAGGTGCAAGAAAGGAAAAAGTAGGAAGGAAAATTTGGTTTGGATATGCGCATTTGAGTCTTTAAAATATCCAAGTAAAAATGTTTGTAAATTTAAAAATGGCAAATCCTATTCGCTCTAGAGCTAATTTTTATATAATTTTAAAAATGTGTTTATTTTAATTTTATTTGAAAGATAGAATAAGAGTGATAGACAGACACAGAGAGATATTTCATCTACTGGGTCACTCCCTAATTGCTTGCAAACAGCCAAGGCTGGACAAGGCCAAAACAAGGAGCCTGGAACTCCATCCTGGTTTCCCATGTGGGTGGCAGTGACCCCACTACTTGAGCCATCACCTGCTGCCTCCCACGATGCACATTAGCAGGAATCTGCAGTGGAAGAAGAGGACGAAGGACTTAAACCAGGCACTCTAATATGGATGCAGACATCATAGGCAGTGACTTAACTGCTGTGCCAAACCCCTACTCCTACTCCAGTACTATTAATGCCTCTTCTCAGTTTTATATTTTAAAATGTTTCCATTAGATGCAAGTTCAAATTTTAGTGCAATTAAAAATTTTTGAATCTAGGCATACAAGTCTTCAAACAGTTCTTGAAAATGTATAGTGAAATGAGTATGCAGGGATAAAAATTTTGTTTGCATCAAAATAAGTTTGTCTTTTGTTTTGTTTTGTTTTGTTTTTGTTTTTGACAGGCAGAGTGGACAGTGAGAGAGAGAGAGACAGAGAGAAAGGTCTTCCTTTGCCATTGGTTCACCCTCCAATGGCCGCTGCGGCCGGCGCGCTGCAGCAGGTGCATCGCGCTGATCCGAAGCCAGGAGCCAGGTGCCTCTCCTGGTCTCCCATGCGGGTGCAGGACCCAAGGACTTGGGCCATCCTCCACTGCATTCCCGGGCCATAGCAGAGAGCTGGCCTGGAAGAGGGGCAACCGGGACAGAATCCGGCACCCCGACCGGGACTAGAACCCGGTGTGCCGGCGCCACAGGCAGAGGATTAGCCTATTGAGCTGCGGCACCAGCAATTTGTCTTTTAATTCCAATTTTTCAGAAACTTTTTAAAGTACCCTGGCATACACATGAGAAGAGCACACTCCGAAGCAAGATAAAGCACCTGGGGTAAAACGCTAACAATGGCTCATTCTCCGTATCTATGGGTATACAGTGATCCTTGTATTATTTTTATCTTGCAATTTTTTTGTGAGCTTGAAATTCTTTCCAAATAAAACAAATTTTTAAGGTTATGTTCAGCATGTGTGAGTTTTTGTGAGAGAACATACTGGAGTTAGTGACTAAATGTGACAGTTGACTTTATTTACTTTTCTGTAAATACTCTAATGCTTCTTTTTTCTAATGCTTATTGTAAAAGTTAATTTTTAAATCAAAAATACAAATTGTATTTACTTATTGCATACAACAAAATGTTTGATAGTATACATCCACTATGGAATGACTAAATCAAGCTAATTAACTATAATCACTATATTGTACCAGTTTAGCTGAAATTTTGTACCCTTTGGCCAAAATCTTTCCAATCCCTATCCCCTGCTCTAGGTCCTGTCCTCACCATATATTCTTATTTTTATGTTCATTTAATAGAGATATATCTATTACAGGCAGAGAACTTGAAACGAAAACCCAGTTTCGGCCCTTGCACACAGGGGAACAAGGTCGTGAAAGGAGCGAGGCTTGGTGTGGTGCCGCCATTTCTTCCTTCCTCGGTCTCTGTGCCTCCCACAGAGCTTCCAGTAGCACCATGTTGGAACACAGCATCTGGAGGTTCACAACCTCTGAGGTCCGTAGGAGCCACTGTGAGGAGGGCCCAGGGAAGAATTTGCCATTTTCAGTGGGAAACAAGTGGAGGTTGCTAGCTATGATGACTTTGTATCTTGGATCTAGATTTACTGTACCTTTCTTCATAGTACAACACTAACTGCTTAAGAAATAAGCATGTTTTAGGTCCTCCATTTAACAGATAACAGCATTTCAAGAGGTGCAGTCTCTGAAAAATGGATCAGACTCTTGAACTCATAGCATACTAGATAAGTTTGTAAATAAAATTTCAACTTGAATGCTTAATGCCTCTTCTCATATATAGGGAATGTGATAATTGAGTGTGTGCCTACTTTATTATTTGGATAATATTCTAGTATTAGTTTCTTAATCAAGATGTGTATGATTTAGCTTGTTATATGACCTATTTATTTAATTTTTTCTTTTTTGGATTAAGACATTGTTGAAATGTATGATATAACAGAAATGCAAAGTCAACTACTGTCTATAACTTTCTTTTAAACTTAAAGGGAGAGAAAAGATTTAAGAGCTTATATTTTTTCCAGGCCTATAACATTAAGCTGAAATTTTGGGTCTGATAATTGTACTGCTGATCAGTATTAGTCTTGTTCAGGCTGAATAAAAGAATATTTAAAATGGAAGCATATAGTGTAGGAAGTATTCCAAACAAATTTACTCTGGAGTTTAATTAGTAGCAAGGAGATAAAAGATAACAATTACATTATGCTTTAAAATCTTAAGGGCCTAGTTTGTAGGAGAAAGTATTTAGCAATTGAATATTTTAATGGTTTGGTTGCTACTGGAATATGAATAGACAAATAATATAAAGTAGATTGTAAACTGGTAGTCTCTCTGGCCTCCAGACTTTGGTGAGAAGATGCTGTATTGTTTTTAAATAACATATATATTTCTAGATTCTTGAACAAAAAAAAAAAAAGAAAAGAAAAGAAAAGAAAATCCAAACTCTTACTATGAAAAAAATCTGGCTTTTTTCTACCTCACCTAATAAATCTCATCCCAAACTAGGGTTCCTTGCCTACTATTTGAGCAGATTATCCTGCTTCGAGGAAATTTCTTGCCTTAGAGCCTTGCCCCTTGAGGTTTCTCCTGCTGAGGCCACTTTTCTTGGCAAAGCTTGCCCCTTCTCACTTCACTTCCTCAGAGAGGCCTTCTCTGAGCCCCTGTCCACGCCAGATCCCATTTCCCACCTATCTGTTACATTCTACCATAGAGACCTGCTTTTTCCCATTCACATTAGACTTTAAAATTCAATGAAAGCAAGGATCTTTTCAGTTTTGTTCAGAAGTATACCAAAGGCCAAGCGTAATGCTTTTTCTTAAGTATATTTTCAAGAACACTGAATGAAATGGTAGGGAAGCCAATCAATGAATTCAGCAGTTCTGATTTATAAATCCTTACATATTTTCTAAACCACATGTGGGACTGAAAAATGTAAGCAAGAACAAAGATGTCTTACCTCCTGCAATGACAAAATGGCTTAGGGCATTTTTATTTCGGTACACATTTAGACTAGTGTTCACTGTGCTGAAAAGGAGGAGGGAAAAAGAAAACATAAGATTTAAAGCATAGCCCATTTACCTTCTCAACTGCTATTTTCACTAAATGATAGCTTTAGAGGTTCCTGCTCTAACAGGTCCTAGGTCTAGGCCCCTTCAATGTGCTCCAGACAGCCAGTACAGCTCTGGGCTCACTAGGTGGCTCTCCTGCTGAAGAATGAACCAAACAACAATCGCATTTCAGGAACAAAGAGTCACTTAGAAACAGAAACATAAAGAAGAGTTTGCAGATTTTCTCTTTCTTAGAAATATTATATCTATTTGATCTAATTGGCAGACCTGCAACGCAGAGGCAAAATTCTGACTGGGTCGTTTTCACAAGACCATCCTGGAGCACACAGATGGACAAAAGTCTTGAAAAAAAGGCATCATGTGGCTTTCCAGTTTTTATACTGCCTGCTGCTACTTCCTAACAACACCAAGACGCCTGACAGTCCAGGGAAAACTTACTTGAATATGGTCACGAACACCGCGGTTCTCCAGCTCCAGCGCCAGCCGTACCGTATGAAACCTCGCGTGGCAGCGCGGTGAGCACTTTGCTGAAGTTAACAAAGAAAAGCTGTCAGATGCCAAGAAACCTGACTACTTTCCTGTTTCAAAAACTACATTGGAGGGGGCTGGCGCTGTAGCACAGTGGGTTAAAGCTGAGGCCTGCAGCGCTGGCATCCCATATGGGCGTTGGTTCGAGTCCCGGCTATGTCGCTTCCAAGCTGTTATGGCCTGGGAAAGCAGTAGAAGATGGCCTGAGTCCCTGGGCCCCTGCACCCACGTGGGAGACCCAGAAGAAGCTCCTGGCTCCAGATCGGTGCATCTCTGGCCATTGCGGTCATTTGAGAAGTGAACCAGCACATAGAAGACCTCTCTCTCTGTCTCTGGCTCTACCTCTCTGTAACTTTTTCAAATAAATAAATTCAAAAAAAAAAAAAAAAAAAAGACAAACCCTACAGTGGAGGAAAGTCTAGGGACATCATTCTTTAGATACTGACACTTAAGGCAAAATCCAATGTGCATGCTACTCTATCAGGAGATGGAAAAGGAACTAAGGAGTATCAGTGTCAACCATGTAATTCGTCAATTAAGTATCTGCTAAGAATCTGTGGCAACCACCATGGGCAGATGCAAAATCAGTATCAGACATTTTCTTTACATGCAGGAAATATTAGGGAAAAAGTAAAGAACAACTACTAAGTAAATGCTAAATTAAAGGGCAGGAATTAAAGGATACAGATATGCAGGAAAAAAAGAACTAATATTTACTGACCACCTGCTATATGTTAATATATTATTTTCACTTAATCTTTACAACATGCTTTCCAGAAAGGGGATTTAGTATTAACTAAAGTTTAGGAAAAAGAATTTATATCTTTCCTAATTTTTTAAAGATTTATTTTATTTATTTGAAGGAGCTACAGAGAGAGGTAGAGACAGAGAGAGAGGTATTCCATCCACTGGTTCACTCCCCAGATGGCCACAGCGGCCAGAGCTGCCGCCGATCCAAAGCCAGGAGCCAGGAGTTTCTTCCAGGTCTTCCATGTGGGTGCAGGGGCCCAAGGACTTGGGCCATCTTGTACTGCTTTCCCAGGCTATAGCAGAGAGCTGGATTGGAAGAGGAGCAGCCGAGACTAGAATGGGATGCCAGAGCTTCAGGCCAGGGCTTTAACCCTCTGCTCCACAGCGCCAGCTCCTTCTTAATTTTTTTTTTTTTTTTTTTTTTTTTTTTTTAGGATTTATTTACTTATTTGAAAGGCAGAAGACAGAGAGAAAGGAAGACACAGAAAGAAAGAGATCTTCCATTTGATAGCTCACTCCTCAAATGTCTCCATGACTTTGGCTGGATCAAGCCAAAGCCAGAAGCCTAGAACTGCATCCAAGTCTCCCACATGGGTGGCAGGGACCCAACTATTTGGACTGTCATCTGTAGCCTTGCTAGGCACACTGGCAGGGAGCTGGTTCAGAAGAGATGCAGGAGTCAAGTAGTGGCTTAACCTGCTGTGCCACAATGCCTGTCTCTTGGGAGGAAGTTTATAATCAAACCCAGATTGTGAGGAATAAAGGCAGAATCTGAAGATACATTGTCTGTGTCCACAGTCCATTTTCACTAGACTTCAATAGAGCAAGTTTGGTATAATACCATGGGTAAAGTCTGGGTCTATAATGAATCTAAGAGAATCCCTGAGCAGATCCTTAAAACTAGTTATATGATCGTGGGTAATCTTCTCTAAGGTTATCAGTATGAACTCATGGATCTTAGTAAATAGGCAGATAAACAAAACATAACATAGATGTACAGTGAAAAAGATGGATGTATCAACGTGTTTCTATAAAACACACAAACACATACATACACACAATTTCCTGTCTGTCTAGAATCTAGAAGCAATGATACCCCAGTACCAGTGCGCATAAGTAAGACCAAGATCATGCTTCCTAATCTCATTCTCCGGTAAAAGCAGTTTTAGTTCCACGGAGAAATGCTAATTCCAGATCTGGCATTGGAAAAGTAAAAGATTAGCCATGGACATTTTGCTGTGCCAGAAGTAAAGATACGTTGAAAAAATGATGGAGACATATCAAAAGGACACAGAAGCTAGTTTGAAGGGCTCCAACTGTCCAAACCTAGATCAACCTAAGTATCAAAATAAGTGATAATAATACACCTACAAAAACAAAAAACCTAAAAGTCTGTACTGATATGTTAAAAATAAGTAAATAAATAAATGGTGGGAGAAAGAAAAAACTTCCTTAAAGCAGAATACTAACCAATAAATGTAGAAAGAATGAAGGGAAGTTGAAAATGGCCATCTGGCAACCACCTCAGAACTGTTTCAGTCAAAAATTATCATTTAGGGGCGGACGCTGTGGGGTAGCGGGTAAAGCCGCCGCCGCCTGCAGTGCCGGCATCCCATATAGGCACCAGTTCGATATCTGGCTGCTCCACTTCCAATCCAGCTCTCTGCTATGGCCTGGGAAAGCAGTAGAAGACAGCCCAAGTCCTTGGGCTCCTGCACCTGCATGGGAGACCTGGAAGAAGCTCCAGGCTCCCGCCTTCGGATCGGCCCGGCTCTGGCCATTGCGGCCATTTGGGGAGTGAACTAGCGGGTGGAAAACCTCTGGAAGACCTCTCTCTCTCTCTCTCTCTGCCTCTGGCCTCTCTGGAGCTCTGACTTTCAAGTAAAATAAATAAACCTTTAAAAAAATTATCACTTAAAGCTAAAACTACAGAGTAAAAATCTAATGAAAAACAGGATATTTACAGTCTCAAAGGAATAACAAGTACTCATAAAATATTTATTAATTACAAAGAAAATAATAATTTTACAAGGGATAAACCTGGCATATGCCATTTGAGTGACTAAAGTATACATCATCAGTGACAGGAAAAATAAATATCATGTGCTTCCAATATAATGTAATAAGGATACAATATTCTTTAAAATTTTTTATTTATTTGACAGATAGACAGTGAGAGAGAGAGACAGAGAGAAAGGTCTTCCTTCCATTGGTTCACCCCCCAAATGGCCACTACGGCCAGAGCTACACAGATCTGAAGCCAGGAGCCAGGTGCTTCTTCCTGGTCTCCCATGTGGGTGCAGGGCCCAAGTACTTGGGCCATCCTCCACTGCACACCCGGGCCACAGCAGAGAGCTGGACTGGAAGAGGAGAAACTGGGACAGAATCCGGCACCCCAACTGGGACTAGAACACGGGGGTGCCGGCGCTGCAGGCGGAGGATTAACCAAGTGAGCCATGGCGCAGGCCCCAAGGATACAATATTAATACTAGGGCATTCCTGCGAAAAAAAAAAACCAGTCTGAATCTAATCATCAGAAGTCATCATAAAAATACACATGGAGGGACATTCTACAAATAGCCCATAGTCTTCAAAGCTGTTAATGTAGTGAAAAAGGACACAGAGAAACTTCCAGAACAATGTAGACTAAAGAGGTATGAGAGGCAAACTCAGCATGTTATCCAGTATTAGATCCTAGACCAGAAAAAATATATACATATAAATTTTCCAAATAAACTATATAAGTGAAACAACTAGATAATAGTACCATGTCAGTGTTAATTTCCTGATCTTGATCATTATAATTATAGTTAAATAAAAGAATGCCTTTGTTTTTAGAAAATCTATACTTCAAAAAAGGGAAGAAAAGTACTTCAGCATTTACCATGTCTGTAACTTACTCTCAGGCAAATACACACAAAAATACTATCTATTATACAAAAGAAGAATAATAAAACAAACATGGTAAAATATTAAACCTTCAGAAAATCTGGGTGAAAGGTATATAAAAAATATGTGTACTATTTTTGCAATTTTTCTTTAAGTCATTGAGCTTTCATTTTTTATTGATGTAACAGAACTGATGTACAGAGCTAACAAGGTAGCAAATGAATTAACACCATAAACTGTAAAGATAGAAGGGCTAACTACTCTATTGGCATGAGCCAGTACACCCTTGGAGGCTCTGTGGTCCAGCTGAGCTTTGATGATTTGGCCGGGGATTAGAAACGCATTTCAGAAAGAAGAGTCTAACACGGAGATCCCAAACATTCCCATTTTGAAAACAAGCAAAGCAGTCTGATGAGCCACTTGTAGGCACTCAAACGTTAGGGTTTCCATCATTCCACTGACTTTGTTTACTCTGCCAAACCCATGATCTAACTGAATTATTATGTGTAAAGTGAACTGCTCAACTGGTATGCCCCCGATACTATTAAACCTCCAGTACTTACCACAGCATCAAACCGGTTGTGATAAATTTGTGCCTGGCTCTGCTCAATGTAGCTTTTTTTAGCATGAATAAAAGCTGGTATTCCACCATAAGCCCAGCCAATGATGCCTGCTGAAATCGCCGCCCTATAGATATTCTCAAGCTCCTTTGACGTCCTCTGCTGTTCACTGTAACAAAAAGAGGATGTTGTTTGGCATTAGCCTACGGATATTACTTTCCGAAAGACACCATGATCAGAATTACCCCAAAGCTAGCAATACGGTTTTCATGATGGGCAGAACTGCTTACACCTTCTGCTGAATTAAACAGAGCAGTTATGTTACAAGTAGCACAAATCCAAGACAAAACTAATCTACGTTGTTAGAAACTAGGGCAGTGACTGGAGGGGACACGGGGGGAGCACCTGGGAGCACCTGGGATGCTGCCAACAATCTCTTTCTGGGTGTTGGTCACAGAGATATGTCCCATCTGTGAAAATGTATGAATCAGCATAATCATATGTGTTATTCTAAATGTATATTACACCGCAACAAAAAAAATTTAGGGTGCTTTTATTTGCTGATGGTTACAATTATAACATACTCCTGGAAACATGAAGAATTTGTGAGCTGAATATAGAGATCACACAAACTCCAGACTTTAGGGCAATGTTTAAGGAATTAAACCATGAATGTCAAAAAGTCAAAGTCTTATCTTTCATTGATTTTATATGACATACTAAGATAGGCCTGTACTATAAAAAAGCATTTGGAAAGCTTATGATGCAATGGGCAGCACGGGCCAATCTAGAACAAGGGAAAAACCACTGTTTGACTCAACATACTACTCTGTTTGTTTTTGTCTTGCTTAGTAGGAATTAAACATATTACTGTTAAGAGTATATGCCTAAGAACTAGAATGGAGCTTCCCAGATGTCCTGAAATTGCTCCAACAAACAGCTACATTGGTGAGGATTAAGTTACTCTAAGTAATGGCCCTAAGTAAGTAAACTACCAAATGTTTCTTTATTTACATTACTAACTTGCTTTCTTCAGAAATGGTACAAGTATTTATCTAATTCTAGTTGTCAATAACCATATTTCTAAAATCAGAATCTGTGAGGCAGTGCCTACATCTATAGACAAATATCTCAGAAAACTATATTCTTAGACTCATATTAATAGGAAAAGTCCCATAATTTGAACTTTATCCTTTAAGATATTAACACCATAAAAATTGGTCTATGATAGAACCCAGAAAAGAGAAAATGTAAAAGAATTTAACATTTAAAAAGCCAGAAGCAGGTCCACTTGGGACTCCTCTGCCCCAGCCAGGAGTGCCTGGGTTCAAGTTCCTGCTCTACTCCAGATTCCAGCTTCCTACTACTGTGCATCTGGGAGGCAGTGGAGGATGGCACAAGTACTGGGGTCCCTGCCACCCATGTGGGAGACCTGGGACTGAGTTCCTGGTTCCTGGCTTTGCCCTGGCCTAGCCCTGACTAGTGCTGGCATTTGAGGAGTGAACCAACAAATGAGAGATCTGTTTCTGTCTCTCTCTCTCCCTGCCTTTTTTTTTTTTAATTTATTATTTTTAATTTATTTGAAAGGCAGAGTTACAGAGAGAGGAGAAGAGGCAGAGTGAGAGAGATCTTCCATCTGCTGGTTCACTCCCCAGGTGGCATAACAGCCAAGGCTGTGCCAGGCTGAAGCCAGGAAAGTCTGGAACTTCTTCCGGGTCTCTCATGTGGATGCAGCAGCCCAAGGACTTGGGTCATCTTCTGCTGCTTTCCCAGGGGCATTAGCAGGGAGCCAGATTGGAAGTGGAGTAGCCAGGACACAAACCAGTGCCCATATGGGATGCCAGCACTGCAGTCACAGCACCAGCCCCTCTTTGTGCCTTTCAAATAAAATACACAAATAATTTCTAAAACATTTAATAAGCCAGGAGACATATACATTTTGTCTCTTCTTTATCCTATGAATAATTCTATGATATAGGTGACATCTATGTCCATGTTATCAATATGAAACTGGAGGTTCTAATAAGTCATGTGGTTGGTCCAAACAGCTCATGAATGGTGGAGAAGAAAGTAACCGTGGACAGTGGTAGAATGGATGGAGACTGTAAGTACCAGTGAGGTTGTGTCCTGGCTCTGGCCACTCATGCTAACCATCCATAGCCAGATCACAACCTCCCTGAACTCTGGTGTCCTCACCCAGGATGCAGAAAGGATCGCTAAAGTGAAAGTCTTTTAGCTCCAACCTTCTGTTTATAAAGCTGACCAAACTAACTCTTCTCTTACATACTCCATAAAAGAATCTTTCACAGGTATCTCAAATTTTGGAAGGGCCAGAGAAAAGTCAACTCTATTTTTAAAATGAAGGCAATGAAACCTACATAATACCAGGCAGTCTGCTTCCTTACCCCAACTACCTCAGCAACATAATAAAGTTTCAACTCTTACTTAACCCCTTGATAACACCACGGCATGATAAATTCCTTCATACATGGGCAAACTTTCCTGCAGTAATGAATAAATGCAGAAATGAATGAATGAAATATCCTGTTTTTAACTAGATAAAATTAATCCAAAGGGTGTGCCTTTATTCCAAAATATTTAGTTTAAAATGTAATCTCTTTTCGTCTATAAAATGAGGAGGCAATAGCTGCTACTGTTTTTAATTTCTTATTTGGCCCCAGAAGAGAACTTTCTTGGCTCCTCCATCTTTTTGGGGGGGTGAGGGCACACAACTGGTTACAAAATACCAAAGGTCTGGGATTAACTGAAACCCAAAAAAGAATACTGGGGTGGGTTTCTTCAAATAGGGATTCCAGGGCCAATGCGGACACTAACATGGTCCAATTTTTCTGATCTGTAAAATCAGGCTGCACTAAGACTATAGTCCCTAAATATCCCCAAGACCTCTCAGTTTTCAGTCAGTCTGACCTTTAGCATTAAAAAAAAAAAAAAAAAATCTGTCAACAAATAGAACTACCAAATGGCAACGTCAAGATACAAGGCTTGGGGGAGAAATCGAGGATCCTCAAATCTCATTTAAAAATGAACCACCCCGCCCCTGGGGTCCTTCGCCCTAGACGACCCAGGCTGGAGGACGCCTCGGCCCCTCCCGCACACCCGAGGCACTTTTACTCTTTGACAAACAGCTCCCGGAGACGGTCCCATCCGGATTCCGGGTAATAGCGTTCGGGGACGTAGGAAGGCAGCTTCCGATTCTCTGCCAGGGCTTCCGAATCGGCAGCCACATTCTCAGCCGCAAAGACTCGGGGAAAAGGACCCAGGGCTCGGTAAAGGAAGCTCCGAGGAGCCGGCGGCGGCACCTCCATTGCCCTCTCCCGATCTTGAGGCAGACACACTTGGGCGCTCAAGGCCCCAGGGCCGCCAGCAGGTGACATGCGACGGGCTGAGGATAACTGCACGAGTGAGTGACTCATGCACGAAACCCGGGCTAATCCGCTGCCACAACCGCCGCAACAGTACTGCACATCGTTGTCCTCATGACAGGTTCTCACTTTGGAAGCCCTGGGAAACCAATAGGAAGTCCCGCCTCCAAGAGGGCAAAGGCCACGGGGCGGAGCCCAGCGGTAAACACTTCCGGCTGAGACAGGAAGAACAATGACCTCCGAGGCCCGCTTCCGGAAGTGAGTTGGCAGCCAGTGGCGATGCTCAGTGCCCTCAGGCCACGCCTTCGCTGGGTTTGTGCCGGCTTGAGCCGAAGTGAACGGGTTCTGGGCTAGTTCCAGTTACTTTGAGGTGTTACACGCTGAAGTAATTTAGCATGTTTAAAATGATAGAAACCTCCTGTAAATGAGTAGGTATTCAAGGCAAGCTGTGCTTGGAAAAAGGAAAAGGCGACCGGCGACAAAGGAAGCCCAACCCTCCCTAGCGCGGCTCTGGAAGCCTCCCATCTGGGCGGGTCCGGTGGTAGCCTGTCAGTTCTGGTTTCCGGAGAGAAGCTGGGCGCTGGGATGGGCCTGGGAGCCAAAGACAGCAGGATTTCGAGAATCCGCTTTTGAGGTGCAGTAGCTGGTGATGGCACTCCCTTAGTTACTATGCCTGCTGCTCAAAAGGCAGGAGCGTTCCTGCAATTTCCATGAAGTGTGTTAGACAGTCAGCCAATTATTCCTACAGCCTCTGCTCACTTAAACTTTGCCGTGCAGTTTCCGTTCATTTGCATTCATATAAAATATACTCTGGCTTATGTAATTTCATTTAATCCTTGGTAGTCACCAGACATATGCCCTTATTCCCTTTGCCAGTGTTTTCATACCTTTCTTTTCTAGTTGTAATTTAAAACTGCTACCCTCTTGAGTAAAATACAGTAAACAGAACTCTGGAATTTTGATTCTAGATAAGGCCCACAAGTGTCCTTGACTACAGTGACTATCAGAACGTGCCATGAAGATATCTGTCTTGTCTGGGAGCCACGATTAGATTAAGCGGCCATCAAGGCACTTGCCACGTTGCATCATAGTTCTTTATTTGCTGAGGTGTCTAAGTAGACCAACTTGAAGGTCAGAGACCACGTGCATACAATCATCTCTGCAGCTCCAGCACCTAGCTCAGCATCTAGCACGTGGTAGGTGTTCACTAAAGGTTTTTTTGAAATTAATGCAGATCTCGAGTTCTGGCTGTAGGTTGCTGCTTATCACATACTAGGTAGAGAGTACTAGGTAGACATATGGTCAGAAGACCTGAAAGCTAAAGAAAATGGCTGTGCAACCTAATCTACATGTAGAAAAACCCAAATGTTTAAGAGGACCCCAGATCGGCCGGCGCCGTAGCTCACTAGGCTAATCCTCCGCCTTGCGGCGCCAGCACACCAGGTTCTAGTCCCGGTCGGGGCGCCGGATTCTGTCCCGGTTGCCCCTCTTCCAGGCCAGCTCTCTGCTGTGGCCAGGGAGTGCAGTGGAGGATGGCCCAAGTCCTTGGGCCCTGCACTCCACGGGAGACCAGGACAAGTACCTGGCTCCTGCCATCGGATCAGCGCGGTGCGCCGGCCGCGGCGCGCCGGCCGCGGCGGCCATTGGAGGGTAAACCAACGGCAAAGGAAGACCTTTCTCTCTGTCTCTCTCTCTCTCTCACTGTCCACTCTGCCTGTCAAAAAAAAAAAAAAAAAAAAAAAAAAGAGGACCCCAGAATCACTCGAGGCTGGGGAGGATTTGGAATGGGGAGGGTGTTGAGGGAATGTTGGACAGATGTCACGAAAACATTATAAATGGCTGCAGGACTCACCAGCCTATGGATACAAGTGAGGTCATCTTAACAGGCAAATCTAAAGCCAACGCTGCCTTCCCCTTTGCGTAACTAGAGATTCACTGTAAGGTTCCCTTTGCCACAGAGCACCACAGGAAAGTGTCCATTGCCGTGGCCACCGCTGACATGGTTGCCCATCTCAGCTCCCACTGTCCTTAGTCACTTCCCACTTTCCCAGGCCCCTGGAGCCCACTTTCTTCTGCCACTAGGGAAATACTCTTCCTCTGTGATCTGCTCTTACCGAAGGTCCAACGGGTGTGGGGTTTAGTGGGACCACTCTGTTTCACATAGTTTTGTTCCCAGGAGGTAGATTTCCCCCTGCAGTAGCTGGGAAGGGTTTCAACAGTCACCACACAGTGCCTGAAATCACCTTCAGCTGTCATTACCAAGTTCTCACAGAACCCAATAGCTTCTTCCCCTACAGGGAATTTTCTTTCTCCGCCAGGTTCACCAGGTACTGACTGCCCTTGCTACATCTATTACATTTTGTTCTATCAGTAGTGAGAATGAATTTTGAGAACTCCAAGGACCACTTCCCATTGACTCTTCCTTCAAGGTCTAACTCAATTGTTATCTCGTTTCCTATCTGCTCTAGATGGAAATTTTATCTTCCTCTGACCTCCAAATCCACATCACCTTTATGAACAGTTGTTGCTTTAATCACCTTCCACCTAAGCCACCTCTCAAGTTACTCACTTTATCATCTTAACTGCAGAGCCCCATGAGGTTAGAAGCTTTTCATCTTCCACTGTTTGGTGAACAGTAGATGCTTAAGAAATACTTGAAAATTCTGAGTAATTTGTAGTCTGGTTCCAGTAAGATTACCCCAAGGGAAGGCATCTCTAGATCTATGTGAAGATAGGCTTTTTCTTTCTTTTTTTTTGGTGAGTATATGTGTGCTCTTATTTATATGGTCAGTCTCAAGGTTCAGTGTAGGGAACTCTTTGGAGTTGATCCAAATGAGGCTACCCACTAAATTATTTTTTCTTGGAAATTTTAATATGAATGAGCCTGGCAGCCTTTAAAACTGCAGTATAGCAGTGCTGTGAAAAAAGTCTGAAATTCTGGCTTTAGGTAACCTCTAAAGTTACCCTTGTTTCTATACTTCCACCCGCTGCAACATTATTCAGATTTCTGTGAGTGCTCTCATATCCTTCTAACAAGTTTTAGAAGCAATTTCTGTTCTTGAAAACTAAGAGAATCTGACCTGATATGGTAGAATAAGGTGGAAACCTGACATCACACAGCTGATAGTCTGAAAACAAAAAAAGAAAGAGCATACCATTTGTCACCCGTGTACCTCACTTCATTCAAATAAACCAAAGTACTCTCTTTGAAGAAGAGCATAGTCTTTAGCTATTAAAGAAGAAAGATAGGTTTGAGACTTAGCTGTTATTAATGACAATAACAAAAGCCTTCAAAAGTTGTGGGGATACAAATTATTTTCAAAAATATACATTGTTACCATTGTATACATTGTTACCATTCTCAGACCAAGTACACTGAGGTAAATGGATAAACAAGTGGAAAATCTGAATGTGCTGCAAAGAAAAATGATGCCCTTATAGACTCTTCAAAGGGCAAGTGAGGCTTTGCATTGATATTCAATCGCCCCTGGAACCCACGGCTGGGTGATCTGTAAATAGAGTGTACTTAAACCAACTGTCTCCATCCATCCATCCATCCATCCATCCATCTATCCATCCAACAATTCTTTAGTATTTACTCTTAGAGAGGCACTGTACTAGAAAACAGATATTAAGATGAGTAGGCAGGCACCACGGCTCACTAGGCTAATCCTCCACCTGCAGTGTCAGCACCCGGGTTCTAGTCCTGGTAGGGGCGCTGGATTCTAGTCCCGGTTGCTCCTCTTCCAGTCCAGCTCTCTGCTGTGGCCTGGGAAGGCAGTGGAGGATGGCCCAAGTGCTTGGGCCCTGCACCTGCATGGGAGACCAGGAGGAAGCACCTGGCTCCTGGCTTCAGATTGGCGCAGTGCGCCGGCCATGGTCACCATTGTGGGGAGAACCAACGGAAGGAAGACCTTTCTCTCTGTTTCTCACTGTCTAACTCTGCCATTTGGGGGGGTGAACCAACGGAAGGAAGACCTTTCTCTCGGTCTCTCTCTCTAACTGCCTGTCCAAAAAAAAAAAAAAAAAAAAAGATGAGCAAAACATGATTCCCACCCCCCAGTAAGAACACAAAAGAGTAGGAGAAACAGTTAACTACAGTGCCAAGTGATATCATATAATACAGGCATGAGCAAAATGTTACTGTAGCATTTAAATGCCTAGAAAAATGAAAGAATTCAGAGAGGTGATGTTTGAACTGTAACTTGAAGCAAAATGGGAAGCATTTCCAGGGAAATTAAGCTCTACTAGAAAGGGCAGCAAATTTTCCTATTTAACTGAGAAGAAAATTAAATTACAGAGAGAATTACATCTAACAGGGCCTCACGGGGACAAAGCAACTCAGACATCTGGACTGCCTATTGCTAGACCTACAGCACCCAAGGACCTGTCCTTGGGAATTGTTAGTACTCAAAAACACAAACAAAATGGGTGGATGTTTGACTTAGCAGTAGACTCTGCTTGAAACACCCACATTCTACACTGGAATGTTTGGGTTCAAATCTTTGCTCTGCTTCAGATTCCAGTTTTCTGCTAAAGTGCACTCTGAGAGGTGGCAGATGATGGCTCAAGAACTTTGGTCCCTGCCATTCACAAGGGAGACCAGGATTAAACTCCTGGCTTCAGCTTGACCGCCCCAGTGTGCACACATTGGGGGAGCAAATCAGTAGATGGACAATCTTCCTCTGTATCTCCCTTTCAAATATAATGAAAATAGGAGCCAGCACTGTGGCATAGTAGGGGGGACCTCCTGCAATGGCAGCATCCCATATGGGTGTTGGTTCGAGTCCCAGCTGCTCGCCTTCAGATCCAGCTCTCCCCTATGGCCTGGGAAAGCAGAAGATGGCCCAAGCCCTTGGGCCCCTGTACCCACTTGGGAGACCCAAAAGAAGCTCCTGGCTCCTGGCTTCAGATGGGCCCACCTCCAGCCGTTGTGGCTATCTGGGGAGCGAACCAGCAAATGGAAGACCTTTTCCTCTCTCTCTGCATGTCTGCCTCTCTGTAATTCTTTCAAATAAATAAATAAATCTTTAAAAAAATGAAAATTAAAAAAAATTAGAACCTGAGAACAAAATCTTAAACACCTGCATTATTCCATGCAAACATCTTACCAGGATGTTTAAGACCTCTAAGAATGTCCTTAGACTGAAGAATCTGTAGAGTTAAAAAATGACAAATATATTCTGACAAATGAAATAAAATCTGTTTTATGTGGCTGAATCTCACATTTGCTAATTTTGAAATCAGCTAATATCAAGTACTTCTAAAGAGGCAAAGAAAGAGTTGGATTCACCTGTGGAAACACTGGGCTGAAAGGACAAGAGTGGCCCTAGGGCATCAGACTATAGAGTTTAAAATTAAGTTTTTATCATTTTTAAAAAAAAATCAGGGAGAGCACCTTGAGATTTAAACTGTTAACCAAATGTCTCATTCAAAACTGTAAAAAAGGAAAAGGGAGGCACCCCAACATGGACTTGCAGTAAAACAAACACCTCCTATATAAGTTGAATGCTCTAAACTACCGACTTAATGCCATGCTTGCATATGAAGACTTCTTGTGGTCCCTGCACAGCACTTAAAGGTGACCTTTGCTGCTGCTGTTTTATTTCTTTTTTTATTTTTTATTTATTTATTTATTTTTTTGACAGGCAGAGTGGACAGTGAGAGAGAGAGAGACAGAGAGAAAGGTCTTCCTTTGCCGTTGGTTCACCCTCCAACGGCCGCCGCGGCCAGCGCGCTGCGGCCAGCGCACCGTGCTGATCCGATGGCAGGAGCCAGGAGCCAGGTGCTTTTCCTGGTCTCCCATGGGGTGCAGGGCCCAAGCACCTGGGCCATCCTCCACTGCACTGCACTCCCTGGCCACAGCAGAGAGCTGGCCTGGAAGAGGGGCAACCGGGACAGAATCCGGCGCCCCGACCGGGTCTAGAACCCGGTGTGCCGGCACCGCTAGGCGGAGGATTAGCCTAGTGAGCCGCGGCGCCGGCCTTGTTTTATTTCTTAAAGGTTTATTTATTTGAAAGGCAGAGCAACAGAAGAATGGAAGGAGGGAAGGAGAAGATAGGGAGAGAGAGTGAGAATGAGAGATCATCTATCTGCTGGGTCACTTCCAAGTGGCCGTAACAATCAGGTCTGGGCCAGCCCAAAGTCAGGAACCAGGAACTCCATCCTGATCTCTCACATGGGTGGCATGGGTCATCTGCTGCTGCCTTCCCAGACACGTTATCAGGAAATTGGATTGGAAGTGGGGCAGCTGAGACTCAAACCAGCACCCTGACATGGGATGCCAGGTTGCAAGCAGTGCCTTAACTGACTGCACCACAATGTTGGCCCCTGACACTGCCAATTTAAGAAGGAAAAATATGGGTGTGCAAAGGTTAAGAGGTGGTGTTCTTATCGCAGTTCTTTACAAAGTGAGAACTACTTCCTAAATTTATTAAGAAGTTGTCTCGTCTTTTTCTTTGTAAATAAGAAGGGCATGAAGGCACAAAGAGGAAACTTGAAATCCAATTGCAATTACTCATGCAATCAGTCCCTTTGTATGTGTCATTGTAGAAACCTCCTGAGTACCACGGAGTTTATGCCTTTATAAACAATAACTCCTACATCATTACATGGCACAACAACAGCTTCCTTAGGCCTTTAAGGAAATGATCCCCAAGTATTTTTCACAGTTTCCACTAAAGTAACAGAGGTCAGTTCTAGAATAACTTGAGAACTGTGAAGATGAGTTGCACTAGTTCCAAATGAATCTTCTGCTTCAGATGATGGCACACGAGGCATCTTCATAATGGACAGAGTCAATTTCACGGTGATGAACACACACAAGTAGATGACCTGAGGCACACACTGTGATTGGTTGTAAGACAATGAACGGTAGAATCAGGTTCAAAATACACATCTCATGATTTCTCTTCCTTCAGTGTAAGGGTGGAGCTGCTTCATATCTGTGTATTATACACATTTTGAATCTTTCTTAAGAGTTGCACTGGGTGTAGCATGATAAGGAAAAAGAGATATTTGGCTTGATAAATGGTATTCAAGGTACAGGTGCCACACTCATGGTAAGCTTCTCACCATAGGACATCTGCAATCTGCAGGCATAGAGACGATATGGTACCACAACCACTAGAGTTCAGTTTTCAAAATTCTGGGACTAATCTGATCATAGCCTTTCCTTCTTGTTACATTATAGGACAGGAATTTAGAGTATTCAGTCAAGAGGTTCTCCCAGTAACAGGTGATGTCATCCATCTGCAAGTGGTTCATAATAAACTGGCTTCCCCTAGAGAAGAGAACAACAAGAATATTTTACAGTAAAGAATTTCATCATAGTCTACATTTGTGTAGGCTACCTAGTGCCAAGGATCATTCAGAGTACTTTATGCGAACTAACTCACTTGATCTTCAGGCCCAATCTTGGCAGTCATTCTATCCATATACATGGAGTTAGCAATAGAATATAACATTTTTTTCCTTTAAAAAACAGAAATGCCAATGCTCATAAAAAGAATTTGTTAATTACCTCAAAGATTTTGGTCTATTTCTATAAAGCTTAGGGCATATGTGAATATGTGTGTAGGTTTTTCCCCTCAGGACAGTTTTCACTCTGAGTTATTTCTGTATCATGAGAGGATCAGTATATCATCATGGCAACAATGTATTAAGATATCTTTAGTTAGGGAAGAATGGGGATCATAAAGTATAAAAGGGAAAATGAACAGAACTTACCTTTCAGCAATTTCTTGAGCTATATCATCATTTGCTTTCACAAATTGCAACAGCTCTCTGAAATGAAAAGCATTATTAGACTGCAACATGTAGACTAAGTTCGTAAGTATGATGTCAGAAAGACTACAGACTGAGGTCTAATATTAATCTCTAGATATGAGGATGGAGAATGAGTTCCTTAAAGCAAATACACTGGGGTCCTTGCAGGAATAAAATAACAAATAAAGCTCACTTCCAGGTTAAAAGCAGTCTTTTGTAGATCTGAGACATATTTGAGAAAATAAAACTTCAATGATAAATATCAAAACTCAAAAGCAAAAAAAAATTTCCATCTTGTCTTCAAAATCTCACTTTGGCACCAGAAGAGGGAATGGCTTGTATTTCAGGCCTTTCTCTATTCCTCTTCTAAGATCCTCCCATTACGAGAGCAGACCTTCCCAAACTTCACCCAAATCAATTCTCATGCTGTCTGCAAGTCCCTTTGATAATACGAGATCAAATACCCCTACATTTAATCTTCAAGAGTTGGAAGCTTTGTTACTCCATACTGTCTGTCAGGTTTGGAACTAGCATCAGAGTACTGTTTCAAATTAAATATCTCTTACAGCCTACTTGAATAATAATCTAAGAGTATAGGAGGGGTTAAAAGGTTCATGGAAAAATATAAATGTGTATTATTAAAAAACGATACATGGATTTCAAAATTTTCATGCAATAAAATAACTTATTTGCAGCAGAGAGAAAAAGCCCATCCTTGCGTTCACTCTCCAACTGCCCACAATGGGAAGGGCTGGGCTGGGGCTAAAGGTGGGAGGTAGGAATTCAATCCAAGTCTCCCACATAGACAGAAAGAATCCAATTATTTAAGCCATCACCACTGCCTCCTAGGGTCTATACTGTCAGGAGCCAGAAGCCACAATCAGGAATCAAATCCAGTTACTCCAATATGGGAGACAGGCATTTTAACTGCTAAGCAAGCACTTCCTTCAATAAACTTATCTTTCAGCTCCACTTTTCCATGAACTTTTGGAAGTGTCCTCATAGATGCAATCAATAGAAGAGAAATAAAGCTTTCAATAGAGAAACTCATCTGGACTAAAAGCCTGAAATCACTGGAAAGTGGGGGTGGGTTGCAGGGTCATTAGGAGTTCTGTCTTAGGGATAGCAGCTTACTGGACATTGGAGAGGTCTGTTTTCACTGGGATATAGTGCACCCATGGCTTCAGTTGTGGATAGAAGAATTCGAGCCACTCTTCACCAACATGGAAAACAAGTGAACCACACAGGAAGAGGTGTTTGAATCGAAAACTTGCAGCTACCCCCCGAAAATTAAACAGATACCTGGGGAAAAGAAAGAGCAAAATAAATTTGATATTCTGTGCCTGCTGTCAGAAATATGGCCTTTTTTCATATTCCTTCCTCCCATTCTCTCCTTTTACCATTCCTCTCCCTTCCCTTTCCATTTTCAGTTTTCAAGGACAAGCAGTATGTCCCTGTGGGGCTTCCATAAACCCCTTGCTTTTCTAGGGCTGGGGCTGCAGGTTGTTCTGGGAATGATGGGTGAAGATAAAACAAGGGTACTTTCTGCAAACAGCTCGTTTGGTGGTGGGATACAAGGAGACAAGGGATTATGACGGTCAGAAGGAATGACAGATTTGGGACATATTTGAGAAAATATAGCAATGTTCAGTGATATACATCAAAATCAAGAGCGAATAAAATTCCAAAAGCTTCTCTAGGCCAAATGTCTGCAACCAGTCATAGCCCCCAAAGCCTGGTTTCCCTCTAGTGTACTCCATGTGCTCAGAGGTGCCCCTGGTTTCCTGGACATTACCCTCTTCTACAGTCTGTAGAGAATGAGCTGATCTGGTCAATCATCAAAGAAATGCCCCATGGAAAAAGCTATCTTCAGAAACAACATTTTCTTTGCAGCATTACTCAAGCATGTTCCGCTGTCTCCCACCAGCGTTGCTTTTATCCTATAGTTCCCACTGGGTGTGCAATTGGCATTCATACCTCTGAACCTCCTCGCTACCCTCCTCCAGACCTGGCTTAACCTCTTCATCCAAAATTTTCAGTCTTGGCATTTAATTATAATATTTATTAATCTGAGATAGGACTTCAACTACCAGTTGGTAGGACGTGGGGAGAAGTAATCCCATCACTTTAATGACTGGAAGGCTTCTAGAAGCAGAGACCAACCACGTTTCATTCCTCTCAGTCCCTACAGTACTCAGGTCGGTGCACAGTAGGCCTTCAATAAAAGGCAACTAAATAGAGCACCAGCGCTGTGGCATAGTGGGTAAAGCTGCTCCCTGCAGTGCCGACATCCCATATAGGTGCCGGTTTGAGTCTCAGCTGCTCCACTTCTGATCCGGCTCCCCGCTAATGAGCCTGGAAAAGCAGCAGAAAATGGACAAAGTATTTGGGTCCCTGCACCCATATGAGAGACTCAGAAGAAGCTCCTGCCTCCTGGCTTCCACCTGGCCCAGCCCTGGCCATTGAGGCCAGTTGGGGAGTGAACCAGTGGATGGAAGCTAGATCGCTCTCTCTCTGTCTCTCTGCCTTTGCCTCTCTCTAACTTTGCCTTTCAAATAAAAATAAATAAGTCTTTTAAAAAAGCCAGCTAAATAAATTAATACAACTTTCATATACCCCAAATAGGCCTTGATATGAAAATCTTCCCCCAAAGTGAAGCTATTTCAAAGGCAATACAGAAACTAGAAGTCTTACTTGTATTTGCAGTGATCTACAAGATGAACATCCTTAGCAGCTGGCTTCCCCAAGGTATCCTGTAATAGAAAATAAATACTTAATATTGATATTTACTGGCAATCACTGGGCAGCAAGCACTGAGGAACACTTCATCTAAGTACCTCACTCAGCCTCATAGTAAACACACTCGGGACGCATTATTATACCCATTATATAAACGAAGAACCCAAAACTTCAAGAAGTTGAGAGGGTTGCTTAAGGTCATATGGCCCTAAGCAGAAGAAGCAGAGATTTTAACCTAGGTCTATTTGGTTCTAGAGTTTAAGTTCACCTGACGCCATGCTGCCCTCCTTTGAACTAAGAGGTCACAGCCTGTAGCACATTTCACTCTAAATCACACCCAGAAGGGCACGAGTCTGGCTGGTGGGTTGAGAAGAGGCCACGCACAAATTTTGCTGGGCATGCAAAGTAGTTAAAAATTATTCAGACCATTACTAACATTTATAGGTGGCAAGCTATTTCTTGCAAAAATTCACATTTCCAACTTTTCCTGGATGAAAAAAGCCAAGAAAGGTCTGGCAAACGGGGCTCCTACTCCCACCCAGCAGCAAGCGCCTGGAGTTGTTTGTGCTGTCTCCTGCTCATACCTTTCTTTTCTTTTCTTTTTTTTTTTAAAGATAATTTATTTCAAAGTCAGAAGTACAGACAGAAAGGGAGAGACAGAGAGCTTCCATCTGCTGGTTACTTCACAGCAGCAGGGGCCAGGGCTGGGCCAGGCTGAAGCCGGGAATGTTTCCAGGTCTCCTATGTGGATAGCAGGGATCCAAGAAACTAGGGCCATCTTCCGCTGCTTTTCTCAGGCTTTTTAGCAGGGAGCTGGATTGGAAGTAGGGCAGCTGGGACACGAACCAGTGCCCATGTGGGGCACCAGCTTTACCTGCTATGCCACAATGGTGGCCCCTCGCTCATATTTTTCTATCACCTGCTGCCCTAGAGTATTTGAATGTGAGACCCCCAGGTACATTCCATCCACTTTAGCAGGGGAGGAAGTCTGGTTGCTTCTGGTAGATGCTAACAACTTGTGTGCGGAATGAATACATCTTTTTGGGGGGAGCCGGCGCCTCCAGTGCCAGCATCCCATATGGGCGCCGGTTCGAGTCCCAGCTGCTCCACTTCTGATCCAGCTCTCTGCTATGGCCTGGGAAAGCAGTGGAGAATGGCCCAAGCCCTTGGGCCTCTGTACCCATGTGGGAGACCCAGAGGAAGCTCCTGGCTCCTGGCTTCGGATCGACGCAGCTCTGGCCGTTGTGGCCAACTGGGGAGTGAACCATCGGATGGAAGACCTTTCTTTCTTTGCCTCTCCTTCTCTGTGTAACTCTGATTTTCAAATAAACAAATTAATAAAAAAATACTTTTTTTACTTGTATTATTCAATAAAGTTTCTTAAATTCATTTGCTCCAGTTTGATTAAAGCCATACCAAATAATAACATACCTCCAGTTTTCCCCCAGGAAATTTAGAGCTTTTTTTCAAAGCCTACTCATATGGTGGATGGAAATTCCAGATGAGGAAATTTAGGGCTTTAAGGGTTTTTTTTCCTCTTAAAGTTTTATTTATTTGAAAGGCGGGGCAACAAAGGAGGAGGGAAGAAGAGAGGGAAGCAGGGGCAGAGGACAGGGATGGACAGAAGGAACAGAGGGGCACAGAGGAAGAGGGAGACACAGAGAGATGTTCCATCCACTGGTTAACTCCCTAAATGGCCACAAAAGCAGAGGTAAGGCCAGGCTGAAGCCAGAAGCCAGGAACTCCATACAATTCTCCTGCATGGGTGGCAGGAACCCAAGTACTTTGGCCATCATCTGCTGCCTCCCAGGCACATTAGCAGGAAGCTGGATCAGCAGAACTGGGACTCAATCCTAGGCACTCTAAGACAGGATACCAGTGTCCCAAGCAGTGGCTTAAACCTCTGCACCACAAGCCCACTAATAGGGTTTCAGGTTTTCTGATTAAGAAGTCAGAGTCCAGAGGACAGACATACTAGACCTAAGGTCCCAGTTTCTGGCTTTAACTTAGAATCATTTTTTAAAGATTTATTTACTTATTGGCAATGCAGAGTGACAAAGAGAATTTCCATTCACTGGTTCACTCCCACCATACGCCTATGACACCTGGGGGTAGGCCAGACCGAAACAAGTACCCAGGAATTCCATTCAGTCTCCATTGGGCAGGAACCCAAGAATGCTTGGGCCACCATCTGCTGCCTTCCAAGCACATTAGATGGAACCAGGCACTCCAAAATGGGAAGTAGAAGTCCTAAGCAGCGGCTTAAGCAACTGTGCCATAATGCCCACCCCAATTTGGGGAATTTTAAACAAATGAAGTGGCCTTGGCTCTATCCCCAGAGATTCTGACTCTTTTTTTTTTTAAGATTTATTTTATTTATTTGAAAGGCAGAGTTACAGAGAAAGGTAGAGACAAAGAGAGAGAGAGGTCTTCAAACTGCTGGTTCACTCCCAAATTGGTACAACAACCAGGGCTGGGCCAGGCTGAAGCCAGGAGCCAGGAGCCTCCTCTGGATCTCCTACAAGGGTGCAGGGGCCCCAAGGGCTTGGGTCATCTTCTGCTGCTTTCCCAGGTGCATTAGCTAGGAGGTGGACTGGAAGAGGAGCAGCCAGACTCAAACCAGCACCCATATGGGATGCTAGCACTGCAGGCTGGGGATTTAACCCACTGTGCCACAGCATCGGCCCCTGATTCCTTGTTTAAGCTCTCTGGTTGTACTTTTAGCCAAGGTAGAGAACCACTGGATGAAACCATGGGTTGGAGTCCATTGGCCAAATCAAACCCACTGCTTGTTTTGTATAATCAATAGATGAATAAGGATATTATTTTCAAGTGGTTGGAAAAAAGCAAAAGACTATTTTACAACATGTGAAAATCACATGAATTTCAAATTTCCACAGCAATAAGCAAAGTTTTTATTAGAATATACCACGTTGGGGCCAGTGTTATGGTGCAGTGGCTTAAGTTCCTCCCTGTGATGCTGGCATCCCATATGAGTGCCGGTTTGAGTCTGGATGCTCCACTTACCATCCAGCTCCTTGCTAATGTGCCTGGGAAAGCAGTGGAAGATGGCACAGGTGATTGGCCCCTGCCACCCTTGTGGGAGACCTGAATGGAGCTCTAGCCTTCTGACTTCTGCTGCCTGGCCCAGCCCCAGCCATTGTGGCCATTTGGGCAATGAACCGTAGTTGGAAAATTTCTCTTTTGTATCTCTCTCCCTCTCTCTATAACTCTGCTTTTCAGATAAATAAGTTTAAAAGAAAAAAAAAAAAACCATACAACCACCCATATCAAGTATACAGCCAAATTCATTTGGTCACAGATTGCTGCTTTGATACTTAAACGGCAGAGTTGAATAATTACAACAGAGACCAGATTCTAAATTTACTATCTGGCCTTTACAGAAAAAGTTGGGACCTCTGGTCGAAAGCATCAGAGCATAATATATTAGTCATAACATGATGAGAAAAAGCAATGTGAGTTTAAAAGAGAATTTACATATACGCTAACACTGGTTCATGGAACTTTCTCTCTACTCATCTCACCACTGAGACGAAACCTAGTCTCAAATTCTACCCAGGTGGCAATGTCCTTTGAGTGAGAATGTTCACTGTTGTAGTTCTATTCAGATGATTGTTGATTACTTTCATAGATTTCCAGGCCTGGTTTTTGGTATACTCTGCATCAACAAGTTTTGGATTTTTCCGAGACAGAAGAATGAGAGGATCTCGTTCTGGACTTGTCCTATAAGAGAAACACATGACAAAACTATGTGGCTTATGCCGTAACACGGTTCCCAACCTTGGAAAGGTAAGCAATCCTAGGACCCAACCCACTGCAGTGGCTGCCTGTGTAGAAGGCCATTCACTGGTTACTGTGACAGCAGAGGAGCAGCAAGTGGTGCAGCAGCACTGAGGGGATCCGAGAGTGTTCCCCACTTTACCCTTCAGGAGTGGGAGGGTTTCACCCTTTGTTTGCACTTGAGCTTTAAGAGTATGCTGTTCTCGATCCAAAATGGGAATGAGGCCACACAGCAGACTCACAGAGTGACAAATGCCCTAAACAGCACTCTGCCCTCAGAATCAGCCCTTAAAAGCATTCAGATCTGGCTAAAAAGCCCATGAGAGCATTTCAGGCATGGAAAGCCAAGACACTGTGGCAAAAAATAACATACAGGAAAGATCTCTGTGAATGAGATCCTCGTGGAAAGAAGGGACCATCAAAGAATGAAGTATCTTTCTCTGAAGGGAGGAGAGAACCTCCACTTTGATTATGGCCTTGTCTAAATATTGTCAGAGTTTGTGAACTCAAGAGGCTTCCATAGCCTTGGCAGCTCATGACAAGAGCCTCGGGTGATCACTGACGTCATAAATAAAAGTGTCAATTGTTAAATCAACAACAGGAGTCACTGTGCACTTACTCCCCATGTAGGACCTCTGTCCTTAATGTGTTGTACTACAAGAATTAACAGTACAACTAATCTTCAAACAGTACTTTATACTTTGTGTGTCCATGTGGGTGCAAACTGTTGAAATCTTTACTTAGTATATAAAGATAATTAAAAATGAATCTTAATGAAGAATGGGATGGGAGAGAGAGTAGGAGGTGGGATGGTTTGGGCAAAGGAGGATGGGTATGGGGGGGAAGAACCGCTGTAATCCAAAAGTTGTACTTATGAAATTTATATTTATTAAATAAAAGCTTTCTATTAAAAAAAAGGAGTATGCTGTTCTGGTCACTGTAGCCATTTCCCAAGGAATGACTTCCTTTTTAGGAAGGTTCATGTCACCTCTGTAATCACTGGCACTCACAGCTGCAACACTAGGCAGTCAGCACTTACTGAAATAAGCTATATGACCTCTGTGGCAAATGCTCCATGAAATGCAGAATAATATTTAAATTTAAAAACAAAGCAAAAAAACTAACCGGCTTAAAAACCTAAAGACTATATAGGGGCGAAAAACCTAGCAATGGTCCAAGTAATGGAGGGTCTTGACACGTGAGGGCTCCAAGACCCCCAGAGAATCCCTTAAGAACTGTGAATGCATGCCCTTCCCACATCCTGAGAAGAAAGCACATATTCTCACGTAGTTTCAAGGAGGTCCTAAGACTCTTAAAGTCAGACACGGGCCCCAAGTGAACGATCTATGAGCTCAAGAGAAGAACCACAGAAGTCGGTAAGGAACAGTAGTGATTCAGCAGCCATTTGCACCCTGAACTCCACTGGCCATGCGAGGAGGATGGGAGACAGAGGTATGATCCCTGACCACGACTCGCCACAAAACTTCAAAAGCCTTCTTTTCTGGTCTTTCTCTATTCATCTGTTCCCAATACAAGGACACTTCAAAGAATTCTGGGGAAAACGGAACTAAAAGATAAATTCATTTTGGTGCAAAATAGTTTGAAATCCACAGACAGCTTTTTCATAACAGACATTTTGCATAAACTTTTTGAAGGTCCCTCTTAGACATGATGATCTCAAATATTTTTCTGGCAAAACAAACTTATCTGTTAATTTCATTTTTCATGAACTTCTTGAAGTACCCTAAATTTGTAGCCTGTCTACATGCCACGTCCTGCTCCTGGCATTGGGGATGCACGGCTGAACAACGCAGACAGGGTCCTTCTGCTACTTTCCTATTTCTCTCTCTCTTCCCTGCTTCCCTGTCCATTTCCATCAGCCTCGGTCTGTGCTCTTAGTCACTGTTTTGCAGCAATAGGGCCTGATGAAAACCTCAGAAGCTCTGGTGAGGCTGACCATGGCAGGATCACCAGCTGCCGGAGGACTCCGTAAACAAGCAGGAGCTCACTTGTTCTGTTCAGCGTCGTGTGATCAACGTCCACTACTCTCGTGGCACTCTGCAAACATCTAGATGGATGAACTTCACCTCTTTTAATTTCAGTTAAGAGTGAAGTGGGAAAATAATCTGAATTCTTCTCTAGTCTGATTCTGTCATTCTACATGTATTTCTTAGTCTTAGCTTTCTGTCTGAGCTACAGTTCTTCATACACTCAAGATTATATATATTTTACACATTATTTGGAAGAGAATCTTTGTAAAATGTCAAAATAATATAATCACCTTGATCCTCGGAAATATGCTGTAGAATTTTTCTTTTTCCATGGCCACTGTGCTGCTGACCTAAAAAAGACAGATTTTCATTTTTTATTTTTATTTATTTGAAAGTCAGAGTTACAGAGAGAGGTAGAGACAATGCCCATGTGGGATGCCGGCGCTTTAGGTCAGGGCTTTAACCCGCTGTGCTACAGTGCCGGCCCCAAAAGACAGATTTTCTTTAGTTTTCTTTTTCTTCTTAACTATATAAGGAGTGTTTTAACTGGTCTAAAGATTAGTTTGGGGCTTTGTATGTTCAAATAAGCCTGATCGCAGCTACTGAAAGAAGATGCCTGCCCAGAATGGGCATTGCACAGTGACTGGCATGCTGCTTAGGAGGCTCGCATCCCATACTGGAGTTCCTGGTTTGAATCCCAGCTCCTCCACTTCCAATCTAGCTTCCTGATAATGTGCACCCTGGGAGGCAGCAAGTGATGGCTCAAGTTCTGGGCCTTTAGAAAAGCCAGGAGCTTCTTCCAGGTCTCCCGTGTGGGTGCAGGGGCCCAAGCTCTTGGGCCATCTTCTACTCCTTTCCTAGGGCAATTACCAGGGAGCTGGATCAGAAGTGGAGAAGCTCAGACTCAGACCAGAACCCATATAGGAAGCTGGTATTACACATGGTAGCTTAATCTGCTATGCCACAATGCCAGCACCTCTCTATCACTTTTGTCTTTTTTTTCTTTCTTTCTTTTTTTTTTTTTTTTTTTTTTTTTTTGACAGGCAGAGTGGATAGTGAGAGAGAGACAGAAAGGTCTTCCCTTTGCCGTTGGTTCACCCTCCAATAGCCGCCATGGCTGGCGCACTGCGGCCAGCGCACCGCGCTGATCTGAGGGCAGGAGCCAGGTGCTTCTCCTGGTCTCCCATGGGGTGCAGGGCCCAAGCACCTGGGCCATCCTCCACTGCACTCCCGGCCACAGCAGAGAGCTGGCCTGGAAGAGGGGTAACCGGGAAAGAATCCGGTGCCCCGACCAAGACTAGAACCCAGTGTGCCGGCGCCGCTAGGTGGAGGATTAGCCTATTGAGCCGCGGCGCCAGCCACTTTTGTCTTTCAAATATAAAAGTAGGGACTAGAATTGTGGCATAGAGGGTAAAGCCACTGGCTGTGACGCTGGCATGCCATATGGGCATAGGTTCAAGTCCCAGCAGCTCCACTTCTGATCCAGTTCCTTGCTAATATGCCTGGGAAAGCATGACCCAGGTGCTTGGACCCCTGCATCCACGTGAGAGACCGAGATGAAGCTCCTGGCTCCTGGCTCCTGGCTTTGGTCTGGCCCTATCCTGGCCATTGTGGCCATCTGGGGAGTGAAAGAGTAGATGGAAGACCCCTCTCTGTGACTCTTCCTCTCTCTCTAACTCTGCCTTTCAAATAAACAAACCTTAAAAAAAAAATTCATTGATGCTGGCACTGAGGCAGAGAAGGTTAAGCCTCTGTCTGCCATGCTGGCATTCTGTATGGGTGCCAGTCTGAGTTCCAGAAGCTCCACTTCAGATCCAGATCCCTGCTAATGCACCTAGGAAAACAGTGGAAAATGGCCCAAATTCTTGGGCCTCTGCACCCACATGGGAACCTGGAAGAAGTTCCTGGCTTCTGGCTTCAGCTGGCCCAGCTCCGGCAGTTGTGGCCATTTGGGGAGTGAACCAGCAGATAGAAGATATCTCTTTTCTCTCTCTCTCCTTCTCTCTCTATTTTTGCCTTTCAAATAAATAAAATAAATCTAAAAAAAAAAAAGAATTCCAAATATAAAAGTAAAACAAAAAGAAAAGATAAACAAAATTGATAAGCCTTAAGCTAGAATAAGAAAAAAGAAAACAAAACAAAACAAAGAGAGGACTCAAATATAATAATAAAAAATATTACAACTGATACCACAGAAACAGGATCATTAGTGATTGTCTAATGATCACTTTATTTTGTTCAGGGTTTTTGAAATCATGAATAGATGCTGAATTTTATCAAATGCATCTATTTCTGTATCTGTTGAGATGATCATTTTTATTCTTTATTCTATTAATATGATATATTTATTGATTGAAATATCCCTGCATCCCTGGAATAAATCCTGAATCCATACATACCAATACACTGGCACACAGAATAAATTGATGAATTTCTGGATTACATATGATTTACCAGAATTGAACCATGAAAACAGAAAATGCAAACAGAACAACGGTGAATGAGATTGAATCAATAAAAGAAAAGGCCAGGATGAAACAGCTTCACTGTTGAATTCTACCGAACTTTTAAGGAAGAACTAACACCAATTATTCTCAAGCTATTTCAAAAAACTGAAAGTGAGGAAAATCTTTCAAATTCATTTTAAGAGGCCAGACTTACCTTGATACCAAAATCAGATAAAGACATGAAAGAAAAAGAAAACTATAGACCAATATTCCTGATGAACACAGATAAATATTTCTCAACAAATTACTTGCAAATCAAATCCAACAATACATCACAAAGTCCATTCATCAAGATCAAGCGGGATTTATTCTAGGGATGCAGGGATATTTCAATCAATAAATATACCATATTAATAGAATGAAGAATAAAAATGATCATCTCAACAGATACAGAAATAGATGCATTTAATAAAATTCAGCATCTATTCATGATTTCAAAAACCCTGAACAAATTAGGTATAGAAGAAACATACCTCAATATAATAAACATCATATACAACAAATCCACAGTTAACATCATAATGAATGGAGGTAAAGATGAAATTATTTTCTCCAAGATCTGGAACCAGGCAAGGAGTCTACTTTCACTGCTCTTATTCAATATAGCACTGGAAGTTTTAGTGAAAGCCATTAGGCAAGAGAAGATATAAAAGGCATACAATGAAGAAAGGAAGAAGTTAAATTATCCCTCTTTGCAGACAACATGATTCCATATGTACAGAAATCTAAAGACTAACCAAGAGATTATTACAACTGACAAAAAGTTTTTAAAATTGCAGGAATAAAAACCAACTCATGGGCCAGCATTATGGCATATTGGGTAAAGCTGCCACCTGTCCCATATGGGCACTGGTTCAGGTCCTGGCTGCTTCATTTCTGATCCAGCTCTCTGCTGTGGCCTGGGAAAGCAGAGGAAGCCAAATCCTTGGGCCCCTGCACCTGCATAGGAAGACGGAGGAAGCTCCTGGCTCTTGGCTCCTGGATTCAGATCGGCACAGCTCCAGCTGTTGTGGCCAACTGGGGAGTGAACCAGCAGATGGAAGACCTCTCTCTCTCTCTGCCTATCCTTCTCTCTTGTGTAACTCTGACTTTCCAATAAATGAATAAATCTTAAAAAAAAAAAAATCAACTCACATGGGGCTGGCACTGTGGCTTAGTGGGCTTAGCCTCTGCCTGCAGTGTTTGCATCTCACATGGGCGCCAGTTCAATTTCTGGCTTCTCCTCTTGCAAGCAAGCTCTCTGCTATGGCCTGGAAAAGCAGTAGAAGATGGCCCAAATGCTTGGGCCCCTGCACCCACGTGGGAGACCCAGAAGAAGCTCCTGGTCCTGGCTTCAGATCAGCCCAGCTCTGGCCATTGGGGCCATTTGGGGAGTGAACCAGCGCATGGAAGACCTTTCTTTCGTCTCTCCCTCTGTCTGTATATAACTCTACCTCTCAAATAAATAAATAAATTTTTAAAAATCAACTCACAGAAGTCAGTAACATTTTTATATTCACTAGGAAAGAAATTTTAAGAGCAACTGCCTTCCCACTAGCTGTAAAAGAGACATTTGGAATCAACATAACCAAGGATATGCAAACTTATCCAAGGATGTGAAAAAAAAAATAATAACAATTATAACACTGATCAAAGAAATTAAGACCTGGAAAAAGCTCCTGGCTCCCAGTTTCATCTGGCATGGTCATGGCCATTGTGGCCATCTGAGGTGTGAACCAGCGGATAGCAGACTTCTCTCCCATATTTATGAATTGGAATAATTAACATTACTAAAATGTCCATATTACCCAAAAGTAATTAATCGATTCAACACAATTCCTGTCAAAATACCAATGACATTCTTTATAGAACTAGAAAGAAACAACTCTAGAATTCATATGGGAACATAAATGACTCTGAATAGGCAAAACAATCTTGAACAAAAAGTAGAAAACATCACAATACCAGATTTCAAGTCAGACTACAGAGCTACCGTAACCAATACTGCATATTACTGGCATAAAAACAGATATGGGCCATGTAATCAATGTACCGAAGACCCTAAAACAAATCCAGCCACCCATTTATAGCCAGCTGGATCTTTTTTTTTCTTTTTTTTAAGATTTATTTATTTATTTTAAAGTCAGAGTTACACAGAGAGAGGAGAGGCAGAGAGAGAGAGAAAGAGAGAGAGAGAGAGAGGTCTTCCATCTGATAATTCACTCCCCAATTGGCCGCAACGACCGGAGCTGCGCCGATCCGAAGCCAGGAGCCAGGAGCCAGGAGCTTCTTCCGGGTCTCCCACTCAGGTACAGGGGCCCAAGGACTTGGGCCATTTTCTACTGCTTTTCCAGGCCATAGCAGAGAGCTGGATCGGAAGAGGAGCAACTGGGACTAGAACCAGCGCCCATATGGGATGCCGGCACTTCAGGCCAGAGTGTTAACCCGCTGCGCCACAGCGCTGGCCCCCAGCTGGATCTTTAACAAAGCAATCAAAAAAGATACAATGGAGAAAGGACAGACTCTTCAATAAATGGTACTGGGAAAACTGGATATCATATGCACAAGATTGAAAGTTGATCTCTACACCTCATCCTATACCCAAACCAATTCAAAATCAATCTGAGTTCTAAATGTAACACCTGAAGTCATGAAAATACTAAAAGAAAACGTAAGGGAAACACTTCAAGACTTTGGCATGGGCAAAGATTTTTGGACAGGACCCCAAAAGCATAGGCAAAGCAAGCAAAAATAGACAAATGGGATTATACCAAAGTATGGAGCTTCTGCAGGCAAAAGAAGCCATCAATAGAGCAAAGAGACAACCAACAGAATGCAAGAAAACATTTAAAAACTATTCACCTGACAAAAGACTAATGCCCAGAATATATAAGAAACTCAGAAAACAAAGAATCCAGTTAAGAAACAGGCAAAGGATTCGAATAGGCAAAGGATTTCTCAGAAGAAATACAGGGGCCAGCGCCATGTCATAGTAGGCTAGGCATCCGCCTGGGACACTGGCACCCCGAATGGGTGTTTGTTCAAGTTCCAGCTGCCCCACTTCCGATCTAGCTCCCTGCTGATGGCCTGGGAAGGCAGTACAAGACGGCCCTGAACCTGTGTTGGCAACCTGGAAGAGGTTCCTGGCTCCTGGCTTTGGCCTGGCTCAGCTCCAGCCGTTGAGGCCATTTGGGGAGTGAACCAGTGGATGGAAGACTTCTCTCTCTGTCTCTCCCCCTATCTCTGTCTGTAACTATGCCTCTCAAGTAAATGAATAAATCTTTAAAAGAAAAAAAAAGCAGAAGAAATAAAAATGCTCAACACAGGGAAAAACACCCAGTTTCAGTAGCCATCAAGGAAATGTAAATCAAAAGCAAAATGAGGTGTCTCTCCCACTCCAGCAGAATAGATATTATAAAAAATACAAATTATGAAAAAAAACAAACAGTAGCAAGGATTTGGAGAAAAGAGAACCATTATAAGGTATTAGTGGGGATGCAAATTAGTGCAGCTATTATGAAGAACAGTATGGAGGTTCCTCAAAAAAACCCAAATAGATCTACCATTATTACTCAGCTATCCCACTTCTGAGTATGTATCTGAAGGAAATGAAATCAGTATTTCAAAAGAGATAGCTGCACTTTCATGTTTACTGCAGCATTATCCACAATAGCCATGATATGGAATCAACCTAGATATCCGTTAATAGAGGAACAGATAAAGAAAATGAGGGTATATATACAAAATGGAATATTATTCAGCCATAAAGATGAATGAAATTCTGACATCTGCAGCAAAATCGATAGGATCAGAGATCATTAAGTGAAACTGGCCAATCATTAAGTGAAGTTGGCCAGACACAGAAAGACAAACACTGTATGTTCTCTTTCATTTGTGGAAGTTAAAAAAGAAATAGTTGCTATGAATTTAGAATAGTGAGTATTAAGAAGCGGGAAGAGTTAAGGGGCAGGGCGGGGAGTCAGGGAAAAGAGGGTTAGACAACAAGTACCAAAATACAGTCAGATAGTGTCTAGTTCCAGGAGTGGGCGTTTGGCGCAGCGTAAGACACTGCTTGGGAAGCCTGAATCCCATTTTGGAGTGCTTGGGTTCAAGCTCCAGCTCTGCTTCCAATTCAAGCTTCCTGCTAATGTGCATGCTAGGAGGCAACAGATGATATACAGCTCAAGTACTTGGGTCCCCGCCACCCATTTGGGAGAGTCCAGGCTCCTAGCTTCAAGAGGCCTAGCCCCGGCTATTGCAGGCACTTGGAGAATGAACCAGTGGTTGGAAGATCTTGCTCTAGATCTCTGTCTGTCTCTTTGTCTTTCAAATTAAAAAAAAAAAAGTAAAGTCCTAGTGATCATAGCAACATGGGATGACTATAGTTCACAGTAATTGTATTATATGTATATAAAGAACATAAACCACTGGAAGAAAGGAGCTGGTAGGCCCTAAACACAAAGAAAAGATAAGCAAATAGACAGCCTAATTGCCTGGTTTGATTGGTTCACACTGCATGTTTGTAGAAACACTGCACTGTGCTATATAAAAATATACAAGTATTACATGTTAATCAAAAATTAAAAAAAATATATTTTAAGGAAAAATAATTATTGCTTCCCTAAAAGCTAAGAAAAGACCTTTGAAGATTGTGTTTCTAGAAGTTCCCTAATTAAGCACCAAAACTGTTTAACTCATTAATGTAGTATGTAGCTAAGATAAACAAAACCTACAGCATGGCTGACCCAGACTATCTAAATTCTGAAATGGCAATATGGAGTCAACAAGCCAAGGTATGTCTCAGCCACGAATCAGAGAGGACCTGGAATAAGCTTAAACTTGAGATACCTCAGGAGAGTTACACCCCCTCACCACTGTCTATAGGACACGGCTCTAAATTATCAAGTACAAATAGGTTCTTCCAAGGGATTTCCTCTCCTTCACAATATGGTCATTCATTTTTATTCTTATTTTGAAAGTAATTTACCCTTATTTAAAGAATATTAAGGAAAAGTTGAATGAAGAAAACAAAAGGCCAACACATTCCCTCCCACAGAGACACTGCTGATAGTTTTAGGTTCTTTGCCCTTTTCTATGGATATGTAAACATTTTCACACAGTCACAAAATTGCTTATGATATAAACAGTTTTATTTTTAATTTAAAAGCTAGCCATCTTAAAGAAAATAATTGGTTACATCCTACTGCTTATTTCAAAAAAACACACGAAGAGGGGGAAAAGAAAATCTCTCCAAAGGACTTACTTTACCAGCTCTTCTCTGAAGAGGTCCCACCGTCCAAGACCTGTGGGATAAATTGGCCAAACAGCAGGTCCCCCTTCCCAGAATGTCCAAGCAGGGTACATGATATCATAGTACTCTGATGTCTTCAACAGAAACAGAAAGGTCGTTCTAAATCAGTCTCGGAACAGAGTGAGGAACAAACAGCATTTATTTCACAGGATCTGGACAAAGGCCTTGTTCTACTGTCACACTGCCAGAGACACATTTTCCCTGGTCCACAGTCTGGACTCTAATAGACATGAAAAGGCAAGAGAGATCATGGGTTAAAATTCAGAGGATCACTGTGTCTCAGAATTTAGAATCATATTAAAGGTCAACTTTTTCAGTTCCCCAAAACTCTGTTTTGACCAAAGGATACACCTGTTAATGCTTCTGGTTTAAGGAAATACACCCATTTGTGAATAATCCCATAGCACTGTCATATTTTACTGTCATTCCATTTGGAGTGTACACTGTCTCATCAGGTCCTGGTGATTTCCCAGAGGGTCTTTTGAGAGCAAGGACCAGGAAACACAGTGCAGTGGTTAAGGGCCTGGGCTCCTGAGACAGATCCCGTGAGTCTGAATGTGAATCTATCTCTTACAACTCTAGGTACATGATTCTCTCTTTCCATGCCTCAGTTTCCTTATCATTTTCATGAAGGAAGTAATAACAGTATCAGTAATGCTGTGTATCTAACAGGTTTATTTTGAATATTAAATTAGTTAATACATGTGAAAAGCTTAGAACAGTGTCTGGGACATAGCAAGAATTCATTTCATGTTAGCCTATGTCACCTAATGCTGTGGCACTGTCAGGCTCATACTGGTTGGTCAATAAATTCTTGGTTATTCATTGACCAGGGTTAGAAGTGCCGAAGGGCAAAATGGGGAAACCGCTATTATCACACATCGTTTGAGGAAAGTTTGAACCCAATTATTTCCCTTTTATGGCTACTTCTATTAAACATATGGCCACTGACATGCCTCCGGCTTTACTATTTCTTCCACTGAAATTACATGTGCAATATACTCTTTGTCTTCTCTCAAATACTTGAAGAACATGTACGATTCATCAGCACCTCTAACACAACAGCTGTTCAACATAAGCTGTACAGTTAACTGACAGACTAAATCCCTTGCTTGGTTACAAGCAGTTGCTGATTTAACAAAAACCTGAGGGAAGTAAAGATGAAAGGAAAACTAGTGTACTGGTGGTCATATTTTATTACTCACAGAAATGACAGGTAAATAACAAACACAAAGTCCTTACTGTTGATGTGGGTGCTTATCTGCTCTCCTGGGAGAGCTTCAGGACAAACAACCAGACCAAGCACCTCTGAGAAATGAGGGCAATGCAACACCAATGTGGCCTCAGCCCACTTGCAACACAGGAAATAACTAAGTCTAGAGAGAAAGCAAACTGCCAACGAGAAAAAGTGGAGGCTAAAAAGTCCCTCTGCCTTGGAAAAACCAGTTCACGCATGCTGTTCCTTTTCTCAAAGTCCACGGGGTTTTCTTAAATCCACTCTGCTCCACAGAGTCTTCCATCCACAGTGTTCTGGCCTCCTCACCCTGCTCCCAAATGCTGTCCTATCTGGTCTCTAGGGAACCGAGGCCTGTTTCTGTCAATACACTCTCTGTGCAAAGCTGATTGCTGACAAGATCTGTACTGTCCCATATTCTCCCAACCACAAGTGTGTGCTTCACAGTGACAACCAGAGATCACCCCCTGACACGTCTCTCTTGGCCATCCCAGGGCTTTCTCCTAGATGCAGTGCTTGAACCCAAACCATGTGGAGCTTGCTGGCACCTTCCTGGTCACTTTTAGTCACACTGGCCCCTGGGACACAGTGACAGACCTGGAAGATGATACCCGGCGCTATGACTGACACATACACTGCAGGAGCTCAACAAGCAGTTTTGAATGAAGGTGTTTCCTAACTCCAAGACCAGGAGCTCTGTAAGATCCTGGAGCCCCACCTCCAGGGTCTTGTAGGTTCCTCAGGCCTCTCACTTCCCAGCTTCCGCCCCTGTCCCTACAGACACATCACTTATGGGTCTTCCCCTCTGTATCTTCATTCTTACTGCTCAAACATTATGAAGGTAAGCAGGACACAGGACCCATTCTGAACCTTACCTGTCTGCCCATCAGATTTTCATGGGACAATGACCTCCTGCTCACAGCAGAGGTGGGGAGCTCTGGCCGGCAAAATCATTTTGTCTGGTCCCACCAAGGCAACCACAGTTGGCACTCAAAATTCAATGTATCTATAGCAGACTAACTTTTAAGTTGATGATTTTGTATGGACTGCAAATGATGTTATAAATATCCAAATGGCCCTTGTCAGAAAAAAGGCTCCCCACCCCTGCCCTCCATTCTTCTATGTGGTTCTTCTTCTACTCACCTTACTGAAGGAGAAGACTGGAATAGCAGGCTCCATCCATTTAGGAACCTGAGGATAATCTCGTACATTGATCACCATCTCCATGTCAGGGAGGCGCCCAATAACTTCCAAAATAAAGTGTTCAACACCACTACACCTGCCAATCAGAAAGACCACAAATTTACCAGCACAGTGCCGGCAGGCTCCAGGACAAGGCGGGGTCCCATTCACACTTTAAAGTAAAACAAGGCAGTATTTACATTATCGGCCTAATGGAAAACCTCCTGAAAGTAATGCTTCTAAAAGGACTGTTTCACTTTTTTATTTTGTGCGAGTTATTATTCCTAGCTAAACTGCTCCAGCCTACAACATTTAACAAAGTCTTCTAAATAAATCCTCATAGCTTTGGCAGGAATACTATTGCTACTCCTACCATCTATCTTTTATTCAATTCCCATTTTTTTCTTTATTTCCCTAATGTGGAATAGTTTAATTAGTAGGCAAGATACTAATTTTGATAGGAATTGGAAAAGCTAATTTGCTAATGGTACTCCTTTGGCTTTGCCTCTCACAAAGGCATTTTGTTTCTATTATAATTCTCAATTTTTTTTCATTTTAAATTTATTTGAGAGGCAAGGAGACAGACAGAGAAAGAGAATTCTCATCTGTTGGTTTATTTCCCAAATATTCATAATGGCTGAGACAGGGTCAGGCTGAAGCTAGGAGCCAGGAACTCAATGAAGATCTCCCACATGGGTGGTAATAACCTAATTACTTGAGCCATCACTGCTGCTTCCCAGGGTTTGCATTAGCAGGAGGCTGGAGTCACAAGCCAAAGCCAAGAAGCGGACCCAGTTATTCCAATATGGGATATGGGTATCTTAAATGCTTGCCCTAACTAAATTTCAGATTTGAAGAGGAAAGACAAAAACCTTTCATTACCTTCGACCTGAACACAGAACACTATTAAAATCAGTTCCACAAACCACAGAAAGTACTGTGCACACGATTACGAAGATTATGAACACAACTTTCTGAACAGACTCCCTAGGAATCCTGAGATTTCTTGAAAGAAACATAAGATGCAAGAGTTTACCTTGTTTCTGCCTCACTCCTCAAGTCCTGACCAGCACTGACAGTAGAGGCAGCATTCCACGGCTTAATCAAAAACTTCGGGCAGCACAGAAATGATGGATTTTAAATATTGTTTTAGATGGGGAGATAACTGCAAAAAGTATCAATGGTTCAGAAATGTAGGAAAAGATGCTCAACTGTATTATTAATAATGAAACGTCAAGGAAGCTTGATGCCAATTTTACCACTTGGATGGGCAAAGACTGAAGAGTCCGATTATACACAGGATTGATTAGGGTGTGAGGTATACTTAGGGCATCTGATACAAGGAGGGCAGAAGTATAAATACTGCACAATTTAAAGGACAATTTGCTCCTATTTTAGAAGGAATTAATTGACCTAGTTATTCCACTTCTGGGAATTTAGCCTTCATATTTAGATACGTAAAGTGCTCAAAGGTATATGTAGAAGGCTATTCACTGCAGCATGGTTTGTACAGGCCAAAAATCAGAGACATGGTGAGGTGGTGAGGAATAATTTACAAGTCCATGGATGGATCTGAATAAAGAAATCTATCCAGTGGGTTATGATGCAGCCATGAAAGAGTGAGCTGCTCTCCTAGTACTCGTAGGAAACAAGATCAAATTCTACTGTTATATAGAAAAGAAAAGTAGCAGTAGAGTGTATTTGAATTTCTTGATGAGCCTAGATTCCTATAATGCATAGAGTATTTCAAGGATATAGAAGAAATTTGCAATACTTGTTGTCTTCTGAGAAGAGATCTCAGGGACTATGATTAGGAATCTAAGGCAGAAGAGAAGCTTCTTTTCCATTGACCATCTTTTTGCATTATCCAAATATTTTACTATGTCCATGCAATAGTATTTTGACACCTTGAAAAGTGCTAAAAATTTAACAATGTTGCTGCATATAATTTATACATTAAAGCCAAAAGATGTATTTTCTGGGGCAGGTGCTGTAGTGTAATGGGTTCAGCTGATGCCTGCAACACCAGCATCACACAGGGATACTGGTTCAGGTGCCGGCTGCTCCACTTCCAATCCAGCTCCCTGCTAATGTGCCTGGGAAAGCAGCAGAAAATGGCCCAAGTGCTTGGGCTCCTGCCACCCATGTGGCAGACACAGAAAAAGCTCCTGACTCCTGGCTTCCATTTGGCCCAGCCCTGACCATGGCAACCATTTGGGGAGTGAACCAGAGGATGGAAGCTCTCTTTCTTTCTCTGTCTCTCACTCTCCCCATCCCTTGTAACTGCCTTTCAAATAAATACATCTTTGAAAACATTTTTATTTTCTTTCACATTCAGCCTTTAAAACAGCACTCTCACATGCTGTGAGTCCATTTATATAAACTCTAGAAAATAATCTCTAATTAAAGAAAGTACATCATTGGATGCCTGAGAGAACAGAGTTGGGGAGAAGTCACAACAGGCAGGGGCAGCAGAGAGGGACTGTAAGAGGCACAAGGAAATATCTGGTTGTTATGGGTATGTCCAATATCTGTGTACATGCACAAAGTTATCAGAGTCCACTTTATTGTTTTTGCATTGACAAACCGTAGTTGTACCATTTATTGGGTACATTGTGATGTTTTGTTACATGTTTACATCACAGAATGATTAAATCAAGCTAAGTAACATATCCTTCACCTCACATGCTTACCATTATTTTTGTTGTAAGAACTTTTAAATTATATACTTTAAATACATGCAGTTTATGCCAACATACCTTACTAAAGCTATTATTAAAAATATATCACTTAGGTCACCACACCTCAACAAAGCTGTTATTAAAAAAGAATCACTACTCTTCATCTTTGAAATGACTCATCTCTAGTATTAATCAGTCCTCTGGTTACTCAGCAAAATCTTTCAGCTTACTCTTTTTAAAAATGTGAAATAAACCAGACACAGAAAGAAAAATACCACATGTTCTCCCTCACACATGAGAGCTAAATTAAAAAAAAAAGAAAAAACAAGACAGACCTGGGTATATCAGCTTTGCTACAAATACATGTTTTGCCAAACTTTATTTTATATCTTTGTGAAACAATTTGATAGGAATGATATACTAGTATATGTGTGTGTATATATATATATATATATTTTTTTTTTACAGGCAGAGTGGACAGTGAGAGAGACAGAGAGACAGAGAGACAGAGAGAAAGGTCTTCCTTTGCCAGTTGGTTTACCCTCCAACGGCCGCCGTGGCCGGCGCGCTGTGGCTGGCGCACCGCGCTGATCCGATGGCAGGAGCCAGGTACTTATCCTGGTCTCCCATGGGGTGCAGGGCCCAAGCACTCGGGCCATCCTCCACTGCACTCCCTGGCCACAGCAGAGAGCTGGCCTGGAAGAGGGGCAACCGGGACAGAATCCGGCGCCCTGACCGGGACTAGAACCCGGTGTGCCGGTGCCGCAAGGTGGAGGATTAGCCTAGTGAGCCACGGCGCCAGCTTACTAGTATAATTTTTAAAAAAATTATTTATTTTTGTTTATTTGAAAGGTACAGAATAGGAAAGATAGACAAAGAGCTTTTCTGGCTGCTGGTTCACTTCCCAAACACCCACAACAGCTGGGGCTGGGCCATTCTGAACACAGAAGCCAGGAACTCAATCATGTGGGTGGCAGGGATGTAACTACTTTAGTCATCACTTGCTACTTCCCAGGGCCCACATTAGCAGGAAGCTGGAATCAGAAGCAGAGTTGGAACTTGAATCCAGGTACTCCAATATGGGATGCTAGCATCACAAGAGGAATCTTAACCATTGTGCCAAATGTTTATACCTCAGCTTATTCTTGGAATGCTGAGTCTACAACTTATTTTGTTCAAAACTGAGTTTTTAAATGTCATACAGGTTTCCGAAATTGGATGAATTTAAAATATCTAGGCCTCAGAAGTTCGCGTTTGTAGTTAGAACTCTGAGATATTTTACAACTGTGTTCATTTCATAAGGACAGTGGTTTGGAATATTTCTATTTGTGTTTTGTCTATCTTTGCTTTCCCTAGTTGAGTATGTAGCTGGGACAGGGACTTTCAGCGTCATTGGAAATGCAGACTATTTTATTGCCAAGGAAAATTCCATGCTTCCTTAAGAACATTTCTAAGAGCTCTTGATTCTGACTAAAATGTTCTGAGAATAAAAGTAAGAAATTTATGCTGCCTTTCAGAAATTTGAAAGTATATAATTTTGGGGCTGGTGCTATGGCATAGTACATTAAGCCTCTGCCTATGGTGTTGGCATCCCGTTTGGGTGCCAGTTCAATTCCCAGCTGCTTCTCTTCCGATCCAGCTCCCTGCTCATGGCCTGGGAAAGCAGTGGACGATGGCCCACGTCTTTGGGTCCCTGTACCTATACATGGGAGACCCAGAAGAAGCTCCTGGCTCCTGGCTTCAGATCCACCCAGCTCTGGCCTTTGCGGCCATTTGGGGAATAAACCAGCGGATGGAAGACCTTGCTCTCTGTCTCTCCCTCTCTCTGTAACTCTGCCTGTTAAATAAATTAATTAAAATAAATAAATAAAAATAAAAAAGAAAGTATATAATTTCACCTGGAATTGTTCAGCACACTATTAAACACTAGATAAGCTTTCACAGTCCAACAATGTCTAGATTCATATCTTCTTATTTGTAGAAATTAAAAATTCTCCTATGCTCATATTTTATATTTAAAGTCCCTATTATTATCCCAAATAATAAAGCAAATACTTGTTTAAAATTCCTCAATGATTTTCTCCAACACAACTTATTTCCCCTTGAGAGATGATAACCAAAATATAACTGGTTTTCTTAGGGTTGTTTAATATTAAGTGATTTTCATGTTATTTTCACATATTTTGATGGTAATTATGAATTATTTTGAAGTAAAATGGTCATTAAAGACAAATAGGGTCAGTATTGCAGCACAGTGGGTCAAGCTACAACTTGCAACACTGGCATCCCACATCAGAGTGCTGGTTCAAGTCCTGGCTGCTCCATTTCTGATCTAGCTTCCTTCTACCCATATGGGAGACCCAGATGAAGTCCTGGCCATTGCAGGTATTTGGAGAATGAACCAGTAGATGGAAGACCTTTCTCTCTCTGTCTCTCTCTCTCTCTCTATCATTCTGCCTTTCAAATAAATAAATCTTGTGAATAAATAAATAAAGACAAATAATAGGGGTACATGACTTATTAGCTTAGTGATTAAGATACCAGTTAGGATACTCATGTCCCACATTAGAATACCTGGCTTTAATACCTGGCTCTGGCTCCAAATTCCAGCTTCCTGCTCATGAAGACCCTGGGAGGTAGCAGTGATGGCTCAAGTCATTGACTGGATTCCTACCAGTCACTCTACTTCCAGGATATCTCGCTTGAGTTCTTGGCTCCTGGCTTTGGCCCCAGTCCAGCCCCAGCCTTTGCAGGCATTTGGGGGTTGGGGCAGGTTTGAGAGCTTTCTTTTATCTCTCTCTCTTTTCCTTTCAAACAAAAACAATATTAAAAATTATAGAAATAACAACACGGGGTAAGAATTGTGATACAGTGGGTTAAGCTGCCACTCGGGATGTCCGCATCCCATATCTGAGTACTGGTCGAAGACTGGCTAACCCATGCTTCTGATTCAGCTTCCAAATAATGTGCCTGGGAGGCCGCAGATAAAGGCTCAAGTACTTGGATTCTGGTTATTCACGTGGGAGACCCAGATGGAGTTCCGTCTGGGGAATAAACCAGTGGATAGAAGATCTCTCTCTCTCTCTCTGTCACTCTGCCTTTCACATAAATAAATATTAAAAAAAAAAAAAAGACAACATAGATCTTTATGGCAAATGGATGCTCTCCACTCACCCCCATACTTCACATTTATTTCACTTTTAATGACAGAATGTGGAATGTTTAGCAGCAGGATCTTAGATAAGGGGATACCAGGCCTTCTGGATTTTATGCCTTCTAATTTTACAAAGATTTGAGATTTCAGAAAAAAGACTCTAAAAAGAGAGCTGATCATTTGTGTATGTAATGCTGCCTAAATCCAATCTCCAGTTCAGTCTATGATTCTTCTGCTCCCCCTGGCGTCCCATCCACTGGTGGGGGACCTCAATTCTCATACCTGAAGTTCTTGCTAGTGTAATCTACAGTTCCAATGATGCCTTGTAAGGGTTCTGGCCCAGTGGATCCAGCTGCTTCTCAGGATATCCAAGATCACAGTGCCTGGTTCAAGTCCCAGCTACCTGGCTTCCAATTCAACCTCCTGCTGAGGTGCTTCCTGGAAGGCAGCAGGTTATAGCACAGGTACCTAGACCCCTGCCACCCAAGTGAGAGCCCTGTACTGAGTTTCAAGCCCAGGATTTGGGCTGGCCCAGCCGTGGTTTTTGGGGTCATTTGAGGATTGAACTAATAGATGTAAAAATATTTTTTCTCACTCTCTTTTTCTCTGTTGCTTTGCCTTTCAAATAAAAAATAAATAAGCATTAAAAAAAATGCCTAGCCTGTGACAGACACTCAAACAATACTCACATTTCTCATCCTCCTTCCGCTCAGCTCAGTCTGACTCGGTCTCACCTGCCTGTGCCTGCAGCTACCATATCCAGAGAAAGACAGGAAGGGGCAGAGCCACAGCCTATACAGCCAGTGATGTGCCCCAGCCTCACAGAGAAGGAAGTGACAGGCTTTGATAGAGCACCTGGAAGAGAAACCCCTAGGCTACTCTTCTGTAGCGCCCTGAGACATGAGGAAGGCTTCCCTTTTCGGTTCTCTGAAGTCCTCTGTCTGAGCCTGTGTGAGCACGCAATAAGGTCCGATCTATCCACCTCGTAACTCTTACCTGGAGGGGAACATGCAGTCATTTTCCCGGTATAACCTGTTCTTAATGATCTGATAGTGGGTCCCGAGCTTCCGCTGGACTACCTCTGCCATCATTTTCCTGGAAATACCTCCTCGGAAAGGAGTCAGGTCCTCTTCTATGATGCTGGGAAAGAATGGGAATCACCAAGGAGGGCTCAGTATTGGTGAACATGGTAAGCTGAGAGAACGAGTACAGGCTAGGGATGAGCACCCTGGGTTTCTAAAACTTCAAAGACAGGAAGTCCACAAAAAATCGGAGTTGATGTCTTGCCTTCCTCCCTCGCTCTGATGCCTGTTCCTGTTCTGATTCCTATGCGTCCTTGCTACTCAGCCAGTTTCCACGGTCCTGCTGCCATCCCCTTCTCGGCACCCGACACAGGGAATGGCGGATGCCTTACAGTCCAACACTGTCTGATCACCTTGTTCTTGTCTACCTGGTACACCCTCCCACCCCCGCCCCAGGCTCCAGCAGCCTGACGACATCAATCAGAGATGATACTACTTTGTAGCCCTTTTAAAGTCTAGTACATAGTAAGATTTCAGTTAAGTATCATAGTATCAGATGGAGTTAGGACATTGTTAGGAGCTACTAAAAGCCTGTTACTTCGCTGATGAGGAGTCTGTGGGAGAACCCAAGTCTGCTTTCAAAGTTATCTCTACCAGATCACCACCCATACCTAATTTGCATCCTTTAAAGATAACCAATAAGAAAACTATGATTAGATTCATTGATCAATATGTTCATTCAATATTAAGAATACTCACTGAGGACCAGCACCAGGGATATCATCACAAAGAAGACACAGACCCTGACCTCAAGAACCTTTGGTTTAAGTTTAAGTGCATGAGCTAAATCCCACTGGAGTTTCATGCTGGGCCTCCCCTATCCTGGGGGCACTTGTTTTTCCTAGAAGTAGGGAAACCACCTCAGGCACCTTTCTGCTCTTACAACAGGAGTGCTTGGCCCCTCCGACCACTGCAGCCAAGGGCTCCTGTGGGTCTTAGGCTACCTCCTGGCGATGAGAATTAAACTCTCAGAGACACATCAGAGAACTCACCCATGGTAGCAGCTGCAGTTTTCGCTTGAACATGGTTCATAATTCTCCAAAGACCTGTTAATTTGATCAATAAATACTTTCCATTTCGAACCTTCAAAAAGAGAAGTAAAATGAGAGTTATCAAAACATCCTTGGGCATTGTTACTGGCCGGTTGCAGGCAGCACCAACAGAAAGCTAAAACTTTCAAAAATTCCCTTTGCATCCCTTTGGTGGAAACGAAAGGCTAAGAAGGCTTCTCCGCGTAATTCCCTAACACGGGGTCTCACCTTCTACTACTGAGCCCCATCAAGGCTTTCAGGAAAAAGCCATAGACGTTACCCCTCGGCTCACGTCGTCCTCCAGCATCACACGCACGATAAATGCACAGGCACGTTCCGCCCCCTCCCGCCGTGTATTTCACGGAGGCGCAGGTAGCCACGGGCGGTCAACAGAGGGATCCCTCTCCTCCCTCTTTTTCCAAATTCAGGAGGCTGGGCTACTCTGCAGGGCAGGAGCTGAGACCCACACACCCACAGAGCTCTGTACTGCAGAGGCCACAGCATCTTCCAGGGCACCGGCGGCGCCCCGCAGCGCCTCGGGACCGCGGCCAGACCCCGAGCCCCAGCGGCAGCCTCGGCCCTGCCGGGAGCCCACCTGACTCCTTTTGGCGGCCCTGCACCGGGGACAGGAGTAGCAACAGCAGCCACAGGCGAAGGCGCTCCATCGCCAGCGGCCCGACTGCGGATTCCCCGCGGCGCCGCGGGCGGAAGCGCCCCGCACAAGGATGGCCGTGGGCACGGGGCGCGCGCGGGCGCCGGCCGCCCCGCACAAAGATGGCCGTCGCGCTCTCCGGCGGTCTGAGGCGGGCTTGCCCCGGGGAGTGCGGCGCCGGGAAGCTGGGCGGAATGGAGTCGTCTGGGGGCCGGCTCACGAGCCTCCCTGCCGGCATTCCCCGGGAAAACACGGCCCACAGTGGTATTTCCTTCCATTCCGTGGTATACTGAAAACATCTTTTTCTTCACCTTAAGAAAGCTGAAGGTTGAGAGGAGATAGGCACAACCAAGGCTTGTCATGGAGCCTAGACGCTTCTTTCTGCATCAAGCTATTTCTTATCGAATAGCACACATTTGTTGAGCAAGTCAATGTGTACAGTACTGTTGGACGTGCAAGGGGTTAGAAATGGTAATATAGCACGGGCCCCTTTCTAATACGAATTTATGACAGTGGGGGTGACTTAGTTATGGGACATACACACAAAAATCGGTGGTGTGAAATAAAACTTACAGGAGTCCATTGTTTAGGACTGAGTTCTTGCACTAGGCCCCAACAGACCACACCAGTGTGGAGTCACTGGTCCTAGGTGCCCTGTAACCAAACTTTAAGAGGAGACTGACAGCGACCTATCAGAAAGGCTCAGTCTGAGACAGCACGATAAAAAGTCCCCTATTTTAACCCTCGAAAGTGACTTCGGTACGACTAATCCACTTTTTGTTCCTTATTTCTGCTCTCTCTATCCCTTTTCTGCCTGTGTAGCCAACTCCTCTGCTCAGTTCATGAGAATGCCTTTCTGTTTCACAGATAGGATGTTGTCCAACTCATGAACTGCTAATAAACTTGTCAACGTTTTGGCTTCTGTCAGTGGTGATGTAATATTGGACAGTATGGGTACATATAATATAGTTATATAAAAGTAAAGAAGTATCTATGTATATACACAGTTACCTAAGAGTGTAGAAGTGTAGGTATAAATTCATATAGTGATCATACAAGTATTTACCCATCGTTTAAATGTGGAAAGTAGCAGCCTAGGTTTTGTGTAAATACACGGGAGTACAGGTTCAAAGCTGTGTCTCCAAGGAGTTTAGATTTAGTATGGAAAACAAATATGCTTCTCTAGAGATAACTTACAATTTAAGGTAAGTGCTACTGGTTTCAGTGGAGAAAAAATCTATATGAAATCAAATATGGAGAAAGGGATAGGTGTTGTGTATTCCAGGCTGAAGAAAAGGGAATGTTACTTAAGGAATATTGTACAAGACACTAAAAATCTTGGGAGCCACAGGTGCAGAAGCTGGGGGTTGGACTCTAGATTGACAGTAATGGAAGGTTTAGGATGTGTGTTGAAGAATGGTGGAAGATAAAATCATGTTGATTAGGGAGGAATTGGCCTCATCTCAGTCAGAAGGACTATATTCCATGAGGATAGAAGCACTGTTTTGGTCAGTGAGGCTCACTTTAGGTGATTAGGAGGAGGGGAAAAAAGGACTACCAACATATATGATTTCTTTGGGAATCCAAATGAAACTTTTTTAAAAAGATTTATTTGTTTATTTGAAAGAGTTACACAAAGAGGGAAGGAGAGGCAGATCCAAAGCCAGGGGTCAGGCGCTTCTTCTGGGTCTCCCACACAGGTACAGGGGCCCAAGGACTTGGGCCATCTTCTACTGTTTTCCCAGGCCATAGCAGAGAGCTGGATTGGAAGTGGAGCAGCCAGGACTTGAACTGGCGCCCATATGGGATGCCAGCACTACAGGCAGCAGCTTTATCTGTAGGCAACAACGCTGGCCCAAACAAAACTTTTTTAAAAAATATTTATTTATTTATATGAATGAGAGAGAGAGAGAGAGAGAGAGCGAGCTTCCAGCCTCTGGTTCACTCCCCAGATGGTCCCAAGGGCCATCGCTGGGCCAGGCCAAAGCCAGGAGCCAGGAGCCAGGAGCCAAGAGTTTCCTCTGGGTCCCCCATATGGATGGGGCAGGGGCCCAAACACTTGGACCATCTTCCACTGCTTTTCTCAGCACATTAGCAGGGAGTTGGATCCAAAGTGGAGCAGCAGGGACAGGAACCGGCATCCCTGGTGTTACAGGCAGCAGCTTTACCTGCTCTACCACAACGCGCCAGCCCCCCACATGAAACTTGAGTCAAACTTTCCTCCGCTTCTAGGACATGTGCTGTAGGTCAGGATGAATGGCTTATCAAAACACATAACTAAGAGAGTATACTCGTAGTTGAACATCTCAATAATCTTTACTTTTTTATTTTTAAATTTTTATGTATTTGAAAGGTGGAGAATTTTTAAAACTTTAATGAAAAGTTCTACTTCTATAATCATAACTTTCTGTGATCAGAAGAAACTAGAAATCTTGTGTTATAATATTTTCAACATGAAAATAGTGTCTTTTGCAATTTTACAATATTTATGTAGAAGAAAAGCAGACCCCATACACGGAAAGAATAAGCTGCATCTGAATCCAAATGGAAATTGTTTCAATTCCTTATTTGGTGAGGCAGTGTTTGCTGTATCTGAATAAGCACCAGAATCCTCCTGGAGTTATGAAGGCCATGGACTTCTGGGTCCTAAATTAGCCACTAATTTTAAAAGAAAGCTGGAGTAAAATGGGCTCTTCTCTTTAAAAGAGTAAGCAATGCAAATCTCCTGGGATTGTTGGTAAAGTGGTTTTATTAAATTAAAATTACCTTGAATAAAGTACAATTTCTACTTTTATAAATAACATCAAGGCGTGAAATTACTGAATCTCCCAGTGCCATTCCCTACCCTAGTCTTCCACACCTCCAGAAAATGGCACCATGGTCCCTGCAATTACTCACTCTTCTGTTTCCTTCCTCTCCGATCAGTGAGTAAAATCTTAAATTTGTCCTCTTATCTTCATCTCCACTACTGCCATCTCATTGGTCTCCCTGAATGTTCCCACTTCAATGGGTTCAAATGTTGGCTCTGTCAATTACTGGCTGAGTCACTTTGGCCAAGTACTTAACCTGGTGTCAGTTTTGCTGTGTAAAAACAGGGATGATAATAACCATATTTCCATGGACGTATTATGAGGATTAAATGACTTAATATTTGGAAAGCATTTAGAACAGAACCTGGCAGAGTACAGGTCCTCATTAAATAAAAATACTATCTTCTCCCCCAAACACATCAATACAAAGCAGTAAGATGATAAAACTTAAATTGTGTCATTTCCTTTAAGTCCTCATTTTCCCACTGCAGGTAAAAATGTATACATCAAGGTTTAACAGGCCATCATGGGGCAGGCAATGCGGTGCAGCCCATTAGGTCAGTCACATGGGACACCTGCTTCCCCTATCAAAATTTCTGGGATGGAGGCCATTTTTGCTTCCCACCCAGCTTCCTGCTAATGTACCTAGGAGGCAGCAGATGATGGCTCAAGTACTTGGGCTCCTGCCACCATGTGAGAGACCTGGATGGAAGTCCAGGCTCCTGCCTTCAGCCTGGCCCAGCCCCAGCTATTGCGGGCATTTGGGGCATGAAAGAGTGATTAGAAGCTCTCGATCTCTCTCCTTCTGCCTTTTGAATACATAAATAAATAAAACTTAAAAGACCCTCCACATTCAAGCTCCTGCCTAAGTCTTTCAGTTTATTGCATGCCACATTTCCTGTGCTCACCATGATCATTATATAGGTTTCCGTTAAGTTTCTCACACATGGCAAAGTCCAAACTATGTTTTAATTTCTGGGTAAATTTTTTTTCTCTCTGGGCTGCTTTTCTCTCTCATCTTTGCATCACTGGTTCCTTCTTGACCTTGAGGTTTCTGCTGAAATGCCATTGCTTCAGAGATATCACCCCAAAATAGTACCCTCCTCTTCTATCCCAGTCACTGGCCTCTCTGCAAAATACCTGTAGGTTGTATTGATTTACATATCAAATGTTTCCCTCACTGCAGTGCAAGCTCTACAGGCAGGATAAATTTGTCTTATTCATTCAGAGTGCCCCAGAAAAAGCAACAAAGATGTTTCAATGTAGCAAACCGCTAGCTGAGTAAATATGAAAATGAATGTGCAAAATTCCTTACCCCAAGATGAACACATTTGAAAATATGTAATTATGTAGGTTGAACTTTATATATTTATGCATGAAATCTCCAGTAATACATTAGAATGCTAGGAATATTTGGGAATATTCCTAACTAGTGGTTTTGGTTATCAGTCATTAAACTGTGGCACTTCATAGCAGGGTTATTTTCAACAAGTTACTTCCTTAACCTCGGCTACTTTTATGAAATACAAACCATACACTGTGAGATTTACATGTAATCTAGTCCAGTATCTGCACAATAATAAAATACTCAATAAATGTTAACATATAATTAATACAAAAATCTTTCTTTTAAGGGGCTTAAACTCTCTGGAGTGAAAGATCTCAGACAAATGCTCTTTTTGACACTTCTCTCTTAATATGAAACTAAATTCACCATGAGGTTACCCACACTTCCTTGTCTTTTATTTGCCACAAGGCGCAAAGCCGTGCTGCGAACAACTAGCTATTCACTCCTGGAATCCTGCCTTGAACCCCAAGCTCTCTTGTGAAGCTTTTCTTGGTATTGCCACCACCATCCTACAGAGTTCATGCCACTGCCTTGCAGGCTATCTCTGGACCTTGGCTAAACACATTTTTAATGCTGCATTGATCGTAATGAATTGCGATTACTGTGTTTTCCTCGTGCCTTGTCTCTTCCTCTGGATTCTGAACTTGTGTGGTTTCCACTTTCGAGCTCCAGCATTTGGCAAGTCTTTTATGTACTTAACATACAGGGAGCACAGGGCTGGATGCTGAAGGCTTGGGCTTCCTTACCTAGTAATGACCTTAGGTGATGTCTCCCATGTGTAAAATGTGGGCGATGACTTGGACATATTTGTCACACGGAGTCCACCAGACAAGACGACTGCTGGCATGGGGCTTGCACCCCGGAGGCGTAGGCTGACTGAGGAGGCCCGGGGAGGAAGCACGTTAGCCAGAGCTGGCTGGGAAGGCTGGGAAGGCCGGGAAGGCCGAGAAGGCAGGCTGGATCGCGAGCCGCAGGACCAGGCGTGTCCCATTGCGCAGGTGCGCTAGAGAGGGGTTGGCGGGCCAGTTCCAGCCGCTGGCTCCTTTCGGAAGGCCGGCTGGAGGCGGAGGCGGCCGTCGCCGAGCTGACGTCATCGCCGTGCGCTGCCACGTCTCCCCAGCTCCGCGGTAATGGAGGCTGAGGATGGGTGCTGACGGGGCTGGCCTCTAGTTGTAGCTTTTGCTTTGGCTCTGGTATTGACTCGGGGTCTCAGTCTGGCATCCTGAATCCTGGACACCTTTCTTGACTTTCCAGGAAGGGACAGCCTGCAGACAAGCAGCTCGTTTGGGGCACTCAACGCGGGGTGTGAGTTTTATTACTTGGGGTCCAGCCTGTAAAGCCGCCGCCTCCTCCCAGGGATCCCGCCCCACTGGCCGGGACCTCCTCCATGCGTGAGTATTACCGAGCTGCCGCGCTGTCCGACTGTCGCGGGCCTACTTGGGCCTTCCGCGGACGCGGCGGGGACCGCTTTGTCGTCCTCTCTTAGGGGCCAGTTTGTGGTCCCTCGCCATCCGCCTCCCCCTACCCCATCCTCTCGCCTCTTCCGTTCCCTCACTTTTCTTTGCCTGTGCTCGTTAGTTGAGCAAGCACCGGCAGCCCCGAACCCACTGGCTTGACTGCTTTGTCTCACCTGGCATTTGTTAGTCTGCAGCTGAAAGCTGTTAGGAATAGGGAATATCGGATCAGTCTACAGGAACGTTTTCAAAACCAAAGTTTGGCTAGCCCGTCATTCCTAAGTTTTCACTTGTATTGTTTAGGAAACACTTGGTATCCATATTGTCGGAGCCATGCTTTTTTGCCATAGATTCATGAACACACAGCTTCTTTTCAGTGAGGGACTTTATCTCTACTTGCCTCTTAATCTTGCAGTTTTAGTAATTTCTTAATAATATGACGTCATTCTTTGGACTGAGCCACTTGAGTTCCTTTTGGTATTTTCAGCCTCCCACATAGAGATGCCCCTTGAACAGTTTTAAAGAGCTGCAAGGCCTACCGTTGCCCTCTCATCCATCCTCGTTAGTTCTGAGAGGGACTTTTATAGAAGACAGTGGTTTCTTGGTTTGTTTGTTTTCTGGTGAAGAAACAAGCTCAAACTCAGTTTAAATGACTCAGTCAAGGTCAGATAATATTTGACACATCTGATCTTAGAACCCAGATCCCTTGGTAACAAAACCTGACATTTTGGAGAGTGCTGATTGTCCTGTATTTCAAGTGCCGTAAGTGTGAAATACTTAATTGGAAATGTACGAATATAAGCTGTGTTTCTCAGAAACTTCATCTGATTGTACTATCTTTCCTGAGATACAAATCAGCTGATAAAAAGTGCAAATTGTGTTTTGCCTAATGCTGAACAGAGGACTTCTGTCGGAACTTAGGCTTCTGACCCATTAGAACTTGAACAGTCCATTCCTTAGAATGAAGTAGGTAACAGACACGGGAAGCATTTGTTTGAAAATCTGGTTTTACAAGTCCCGCTCTTTAAGTTTTTCTGGTTGTTTTGTTACATTGCTTGTTTTAAAAAATAGTCAACTGATATTTAAATGTGTTATTTTTGTTTTTGTTTTGGTTCAGAGTTGAAAGATTGACAACCATTAACTTGGGTTGCAACCACAGGTGACACTGGAAGCACACTGGTTCCCGGACATGCCCGGTGGAAGGAGGGGCCCCAGTCGGCAGCAGCTAAGACGTTCAGCTTTGCCATCTTTACAGACGTTGGTTGGTGGAGGCTGTGGCAATGGAACAGGCTTGAGAAACAGGTAAAGAACGAATAAAGCTATGCACGATCTGTAATGTCCTATGATCAGTAAAACTCACCTAAAAGTCATGCTACTCAGGTATTTGCTCATCAGAATTTTTGACCGTGAGAAGGAAATCCAGCCCCTGAAGACTGAAAACTCAGAATTTCAGAATACTTTAGAGGTAGAAAGATGTAATGTGAGGCTCACAAAGTGAAAGCAGTTTTTCTACTTATGGCTGATAATCCAAGTTCTAGTCATCACCTTTTTAGCAGTTTAAAAGGGAAAAGTAAATGAAAGTACCAGGCAAATGTGATAGTTTATTGACTTACTGACATTCTGTGTTTTTTGGAGGCAAATTAAAACTGATAGCCAACACGAGTTTCCAAAATTATGTCAGATTCCATCAAGTGTTTTAAATACTGTTTTTTACCAAAATTTATTTGATATATAGCTGTAGCCTAAACATCTTAAGGTTTTTGTCTTATATGAGAATAAAGAGCTTGGTCTTTTTAATAGAAATTTCTCTCTGTTCCAAAGTTTTGAAAGTTAGAGTGAGATATTTCTAATCTTATCTAGGGTAACTTAAGTCATCAGGAACTTGATCATGTACCAGTGCAAAGAGATACTTTTTCCGGATCAGATGTTTGATCAAGACAATATTTGCCAGCTCATTTCTGCTTCTTTCCTGAATAGAGCTCTTCTTGTGCCTTCATTTTAATTTTCAAAACTAGCAGTCATTACCATTCGTTTCAGGCTCACCTGATGGTATTTGTGCATGTCTTTCTTTTTACCCTACTTCCCACTCTCTGATTTTCCAAGCCAAGTTCCATCTTATTTTCAAAGTTAGTTCTGATTTTGTTATTTCAGTGGGGACTCTCCCTGAAATTCCAGTTTGAAGGGATTTTTCTGATCTCTAACTCTCATTGTACTAATTTTCAATCAGGGTTTTTTGTTTGTGTATGTAAATAGGATAACTATAGTTTACAGTATTTTTTATTTTGCTATTCTTTGGGTTTTCTCATTTTAAAAATGGTGATAATCTTTGCTTCATGGCAGGATTTGAAATCAGTGAAGTAGTACATTTTAGTAACTTTTAAAAAACTTTACTAAATTTTCCAAAATTCCTACAAATAATGTGTTATTTTACATATAGAAAAATAAGATTGCTGGCATTGTGGCACAGTGGGTTAAATTGCTGTTATTCCAGCATCTGATACTGGAGTACCAGTATCCTGGCTGCTCTGCTTCCGATTCAGCTGCCTGTTACATGCTTGGGAAGTCAGCAGATGAAGGCCAAAGTCTTTGGATCCCTGCTGCTCACATGGGAGACCTTGATGGAATTCCTAGCTCCTGGGTTCGGTCTGACCAGCCCTGATCGTTGTGGCCATTTTTAATCCTTACATGTGCTTTGTAAACTGAATATGTTCAGATGGCCATTGTTTTGTCTGTGTTTTCTAATTTCTCCCTTTGAATCATCTGTACTTTATTTTCTTACTTAAATTCTGCTGCCTACTGGCTCTTTCCTGAACCCAAGCTTTATATGCAAGGGCACAACCCTTGTTTGGCATCAACCACATTGTTTATGCACTTTAGGCACAGTGAATTAGTCTTATGTTTTAGGGAAGGTTTTCTATTAGTGGAGGGCATTGTGTACCAGTCAAGTTCCCAGATGTGGGGCTTGTAAGCATGCCTTTATAAGGATAACTGTGCTGCACACCTGCTTTGCTTTTGGGAATCTAGAATTTTGGTATTGCTAGGAAGAGGCACTTTGATAGAAATCTTGGGCATTGAGTCTAATGAGCTTTCTTGCTGGACAGCAGTTCACAGGTAATGGTACAACTCATTGCTGAAGAAATTTAATGTGTCCTGAATTGATTCTTGAATCTATTTTTATATCCTGTTAGAGAAATATTTATTTTTCCTAAAAACACCTCTGTGACTAATTTTTTGAGATATATTGACCAAGTCTATTTATTTTAATTATATATATTTTTGGTTTTAAGAACTTCGATCATATCTTCTCTTAAGCTTTCAACTTTATAGATTAAACAAAAATCAACTCTCATAGATTATATAGGAATGCTTTGCTTTTTTCCTTGCTGATGCTCTGGATCAATTTATTTGACTTTTTTTTTTTTTTTTTTTGCTTAAAGTTTAATAGCCAACCCTGTGAGGAGTATTACAAATGTAGGTTTTGGTTTTTGTTTTTTAAGATTTATTTCTTTTGAAAGGTAGAGTTACAGAGAGAGAGAGAGAGATCTTCCATCTGCTGGTTCATTCCCCAGGTGGCCACAGTGGTTGGAGCTGGGCTGATCCAAAGCCAGGAGCCAGAAGCTTCTGGGTCTCCCATGTGGGTACAGAGGCCCATGCACTTGGGCCATCCTCTGCTACTTTCCCAGGTACATTAGCATGGATCTTGATTGGAAGTGGAGCAGCCAGGACTTGAACCAGCACCCATATAAGATGCTGGCACTGCAGGTGGCGGCTTTACCCGCTATGCCACAGTGCCAGCCCCAAGTGTAGGTCTTTTGTACTTTGTTTTGAATGTTTTTTTCGAAGTCTAGCATTTTATTGACCTTGTTAATAGCAAAAGTGTATTGGTCTGTTGTACTTGGGACAACTTCTGTAGGAACCTTTTTAACCTTTAAACTACAACAAATAGTTTAGTATGCTTTCCCCCTGGTGTGTTATTTGACTGCCAGAGTTTGTTCTAAAAGAGAAGCTCCTGGTCTTGTAATTTATCATTAGAATTTTTAATTTAAATATATTATGATCAATTGGAGTAAGGGAATAGATTTGCTGCTGGTATTTTTTTTTTTTTTTTTTTTTTTTTTGACAGGCAGAGTTAGACAGTGAGAGAGAGAGACAGAGAGAAAGGTCTTCCTTCTTTTGGTTCACCCGCCAAATGGCTGCCACGGCCGGCGCGCTGCGCCGATCCAAAGCCAGGAGCCAGGTGCTTCCTCCTGGTCTCCCATGTGGGTGCAGGGCCCAAGCACTTGGGCCATCTTCCATTGTCTTCCCGGGCCACAGCAGAGAGCTGGACTGGAAGAGGAGCAACCGGGACAGAACCGGCGCCCCAGCCAGGACTAGTACCCGGGATGCCAGCGCCGCAGGCGGAGGATTAGTCAAGTGAGCCGTGGTGCCGGCCTGCTGCTGGTATTAATCCTCTCCATTCAGCTTACCAACTCGTACAACTCCAAATGCCATCGTTCCATGGTATATTCTATGGAATGATGCTTCCTAGACTTGTATAGCACTATGGCCCACCTCCCAAAACAGAATAGAAGGCTGAAGTGTTTTAAGGGTCGGTTTATGATTGAGGAGGTACAGTTCTGAGACCTATTGGTAGATCACTTTCTACTGCTTAGTAAGCTTGCTGTATTGGATGGAATATGTTCTGGGAATGAGAGGAAAAAAATTTTGATAGTTTTCTCCAACTCTTCCCTTTTCCACATCCTCTTTTTCCCTTCTAGCTCTTCTGAGTTTCTGCAACAATATTCTTAAATGTTCAGAATGCAGAGTTCATGTTCCCATGAGTCACTTAAAGTTCTGTAAATGCCACATACCAGTGCTAGAATTCTATATTTGGAAATTTTAGAATAGAATGGTAACACTAATACTGTTCCTTCTCTAGTCGTCTTTGAAAGTATCCAAACCAAGCCTTTTTTCCTAGTTTTGTAAACAATAATAGACTCTTAGAGCTCTGTAACTATTCCCAAGAATATAAACAATAGGAAGTTTTATTCCCTACCTGTATCTTACCATTTTAGATATCCTAGCTATTTCTGACCTTTAAGAAGTACATGGAAGAAATAGCATTAAGAAGATAGAGATTAAAAATCTATGTTAGTTTGTATTTAAGAGATATCTCTGTGACACTGTTGATTTGCTGCCTTTTTAACCTAAAGTGTGTATTTGCAGTGAACTAAAAAAAAGTACATTCTCTGACCTTGAAGTTACAGGCTGATAGGACATAGTTGTATTAAAAAATTTATGTAGTAATATGAAAAGTACAATAATAAAAGCATAGTTTAGGTATAATGGTGGCACGGGGAAAGATGTATCAATTTTGATTGAGTTAAACAGAATAAGCTTCACTAAGCATCTTTAAAGACTTGACGACTGAGTAAAAATGTCTTAAAAGATTTTGTCAGTAAATGTTATGTGAGAAGTTAAGGAAGGTGATGGTGGGGGTCATTATATTTGCTGTAGATAGAGATAACATAGGTGGCATACAGGGTCCATGTGGAAGAGTGATGAGAGGTGAGGCTAGTCTGCAGAGGGCCTCATAAGGCCTAAAAATTTTTAGATATTATCCCATAGGCAGTGGAAAGCCATTAAAAGATTTTAGGTAAGAGAGTAACACTATCAGAGTTTGCTATAGAACAATCTCTGAGGGAGCTTGTAGGGTTTGGTGAAAGTTAGTCAAATTTAGAAGGATTACTGTAATAATTTAGGGGAAAGAAATGAATTAAAGCAATGGATTTAGAAGGGAAGGTACAGTTTGGAAAAAGCTTTGCAAAGTGAGAGCTACCAAATTTAGAGAGGGATTGGATATGGAGAAGCAGAAGAAAAGTTCTGGTGTGACTCAGGTGTTTGATTGGAACAGCTAACTGGATGTTACCAGGAACTAGGGTCAGAACTAGAAGGTAGCCATGTCAACAACTGTGTCCTGACTACCAGCCTGTAACTTCAAGGACAGAGAATGTCCTTTTTTAGTTCACTGCAAATACATACTTTAGGTTAAAAAGGCAGCAAATCAACAGAGTCACAGAGATATCTCTTAAATACAAACTAACATAGATTTTTAATCTCTATCTTCTTAATGCTGTTTCTTCTCTTCCATGTACTTCTTAAAGGTCAGAAATAGCTAGTTGGAGGAACACAGGGATTTCTGTAAGCGGTTGGATAACATAGGTCTAAAACTTAGCAGTGAGCTCTGTGGAAGGAAATTTTAGTCTTCAGGACATGGGAGATAATAGAAGCCATGGCTACTTTCTAGATCACTAAGAGAGTATGTAGAGGAAAAAGAGAAGAGAAGCCCAGGTTGGAGTCTTGAGGAAGGCCAACAGTTAAGGGGTAGGTGAAGGAAGCAGCAGGCGCTTTTTATGCCCTGTGAAACTGAAGGATATCATCATTTGATTAACCATAGTTTTTTCTTTCAGGAATGGTAGTGCAATTGGCCTTCCGGTCCCACCTATCACAGCATCAATCACACCAGGTCCTGTTCGTCATTGCCAAATTCCCGACTTGCCTGTCGATGGGAGTCTGCTCTTTGAATTTCTTTTTTTTATCTACCTGTTGGTTGCTCTGTTCATTCAGTACATCAACATTTATAAAACGGTGTGGTGGTATCCTTACAACCATCCTGCTTCTTGTACTTCACTGGTAAGTCCTAAAAGGCCTTTACATTCTTTCTAGCTAGCCAAGAAACTAGCTGGAAAGTCTTGCTGAAGAAATTATCTTCCTCAAAAATCTTTCTTTTAATGAAATGTTTTTCTATTAAGCCATAGATTACTTCCAGAAACAAAATTACATAACATTATTAAAATATAAATACCACCAGAAGAAGTAAAAATATAGGTGAAAATACAAAAAATAAATTATTATAATATCACAGGAAGGTTTTTGATCCTTAGCTTTCTCCATACCATGTTCAACTTTTAAGTGTAAGATGTCAGTATAATTAAATTCCATTAAACTCTTTTTCATGGCTAAATTAGGATAATGGTAACGTCTACAACAAAAAAGCCTAAAATTGCATGTTGCTTCAAACACGTAACAGTTTGAGGCAGTTGCTTGGGTGGTAGTTTCCTCATATGGTCAATGAAAGGACCCAGCTTTGTGGACACTGCCTTATTCCAAGTTGACTGTGGTCCATCGTTGTCAGCCAGAAAGGGAAATGAGCGTAGGGAAATACAAAGGGGAATTTGTAATGGGCAAGGCTCATATCATTTCCGCACATGTCCACTCCTAACTGTAAGGGAGGGTAGAAAATGTAGTCCTTTATCTGGGGACATTGTTTACCTGAGTAAAATTGGGTTCTATTACAAAGATTAAATTGAGTCAGGAATTAACTGTCTCTGCTGGAGTACATACAAATATATTGTAGATTTTTGCTACTCTTTCCAGTTATTTAGGAGTACCATAATAATGTTGATGCAGAGAAGGTTCTCCATAGATAGGTATATAAAATAATGATGGGCTGGTCATGTGGCTTGACAGGCATGTGGTTGGCAGTGGTATACTTCTATGAGTGATAGAGATATGCTGTAGGGAAAGGAAAACTGATCCTGTGTCATTGTGTGTGGGCTTGTTTCTTGTTTTCGTTTTTGTTGTGAGCCATATTTTTTAGTTGTTTTTTCTTGGCTTTGAAGTACTCTTCCATGACTTTTTGGCCTGAGATTCTTTACCATGGTCTTTAACTAGTACACAACTACAACCAACAACTCTACAGGATTTTCCCTTTTGTTCACTTTTACAGAGGCCTACCTATTCCCCTAGTTTCTTGACATCAACCTTTGTTAGGTTGATGGTGTTTGGCACAAAAGAACCCCACCAGCTTGAAATAGTGTAGGCTTATCACAATTGTATGCAGGCACACAAGCTGGGCCTAAGACTTTGTCAGCTTCACAAATTCCACGTGCTAGATCACTGTGGATGAAGATGGTTCAGCACCTCTTGTAGAGCAGTATTGTCCTATACCTCCCAGTATTAGTGCCTGCCTTGGTCACGGTGGTAGATTATAGGGGAAACAGAATCTTGAATGTACCTGGACCTCTGCCTCCATGTGACTTGGTAGCAGCAAGGAAGGATTGCCCTGTGTAGTTGTGTAGTTTATATATGTGTCTGGGACTTGCAAAAGATTAGAAAACCTCCCTAGCCTGGTGAACATAGAAAGAAAATAAGATTTTGCCAAATTCCTCAAGATAGTATGGGAAGGGACTAAAAAAAAATTGTTTAAATATTTGTATCACTTGATTGTTCCTGGAATTATTTTCCATCCTACGTGCATACTTACTGTCATGTGATAAGAATTTCAGTGTAAGAATCATGATGTAGGTTGTCAGTTCTTTCCTGAGATGCCTACCTGATCTGTCAGGTATATCCTCTTCATTAAACTTGGCTAGCATGCCTACTGCTAAAACAAACAAACAAACAAAAAAGATTTGGTGCCAAATTGTGTGCTTTTTATCTCCCAAAAGTTATTTTTTCCCACCTGGATTATGAGTTTATTGTTTGTTGGAACTATATACTTTATCCATCCTTCCATGGTTGTGTTGTAAAATGAAGAAATTGGATTAGATGATCTTTAAGCTTTCAACCAATCTATGCCTTACTTCCTATATTTATTTTATATTTAATTTGTAAGAGCTTGTTGTGTAGTCCACTGTGGAGTTTCTGCTTTGTTTGACATCCCGCTGGAAACTTCTCATTTGTTGAATTTTCAGATTAATCAAAGTGCTATTCTCTCAGTCTACCATTTCTGACGAAAGCTATTTAAGAAGTTGTCTACAGATGCTGCCTTGAAGCAAAGGGAGCCAGCTCTAGCTGTACTTGATCTTCTGAATCTGGAATTATGTTTCCTTTGCTCTAATCCATATTACCAAAAACAGGTGCCTTTACTGCACATCATCCCCCACACTCAGTCCTGAATTTTAAAGTTTTATATGATGGCTATGGTTGGCAGAAGCTAAATCATATCTAGAACCATAGTTTCAAGAAAATCTAAAAATGTGTGTTTAGCTTCCCAGTCTACAGTAAGGAAGGACTACTTGAAGGATGCTATAGAGTAAACTGGCTCACTGAAGTGATGCACATGTTTTTGGCTAACACAGGCTTACAATTGACTTGTGAAGCCAGCAGTAATATGCATAAAATAGTAAGTTAAGTAAGATTTTAGCTTCTGGATCTGAAAGGGGACTGAGTGAACTGTTAAGGAATGGACTGCCAGAGACATAGCTACTTCCCATCCCTGAGAGTATTGAAGCATGCAAGATAATTCCTTGACTGGGACTGTCCAGATGGGCCCCAGGACCCAGATAGGTGGTCTTTTCCTTATCTTCTGTTGTGAAAATCTAACCCAGGAATTTGTCATATTAAGGCTTTTTTTTCCATTTCCAGATCTGAATGATTGTCACAAAAAAAATGTGAGCACCTAAATGTGTGAAGCATCATTCTGGCTGTCAGATAAAGAGCCAAATGAATCTTAACTCTGAGAAGCGTAAAAACTAGGAGTGGAGGGTTCTGGGTCATTAAATATTCTGGTTTATAAAAAGATAGTTATAAGCAGATGAACTGTTTTCAGTTGATTTAGAATATCATGAAATTTTCTTAATAAGATAGATTAGACACAAAATTTTTTTATTTAAAAAATGTCCTAAGTGGACTGCTGATGCATTATTAATAAGATCCAGAGTCTCCAGTTAATCTACATGCAGTATTTTGGAAGAGTGGGATAAGCAAGGAAGAATATCAAAACTAAGGGAGATAAATATTGTTAGAATTGAAAATATGTAGAGAAGAGGAAATGATCTGCAGAGTGATAAGCCAGTCTCTTGGCAGTCTGGCTACTGCATCTCTAATAATATTTTTTTGAAATTTGCCGCTTCATTCATCTCCATTGCTACTGACCTTTTCAATCCATCATCATTACTCACCTGAATTAAAAGCAATAGCTTCTTAACTGATCTTGCCCCACTACAGTATGTGCAGCAGCGAGAGCGATCTTTTAAACATACAAGCAGAACTGTGACACTCTTTGCCTAAAATGCTCCTGTGATTTCCCAGTAGGGAAAAAAAAATCAATAAATTCATTTATCACTATCACCTCATCACCTCATGCCAGTATTCTTGTTACTTTTTTTTTTTTTTTTTAAGATTTATTTGTAAGACAGGGTGACAGAGAGTGAAATCTTCTAACTGCTAATTTACTCCCCAAATGCCTGCAACAACAAGCAATCCTTTTTGGGATACATAGCATCTCATTTCTTTAGAAATTCTTTTTTTGAGGATTTGTTTTATTTATTTGAAATAGTTACAGAGAGAGAAAAAGATATCTTCCATCTGTTGGTTCACTCCCCAAATGGCCACAATGGCTGGGGCTGGGTCTTCATCCAGGTCTCCTATGTGAGTCTCAGGGGCCTAACTTGGGCTGTTCCATGTTAACTCCCAGGCACATTAGAAGGAAGCTGGATCAGAACTGGAGTGGGACTTGATCCAGAATTCTGAAATGGGATGCTTATCATCATATACCTGCCCTTTTGTTGCTTTTAAATTTTAAAAATTTTAAATGAATCTTTATTTATTTGAGAGGTGGTGTGACAGAAAGAAGAGACAGAGAGGGAGGTAACTTCCATCTGCTGGTTTATTCCCCAAATGACCACAACAGCAAGGTCTGGGCCAGGATAAAACCAGAACCAGGAACTCGACCTTGGTCTCTCACATGTGTGACCCTTCAAAAGATCTTTTTTTTTTTTGACAGGCAGAGTGGACAGTGAGAGAGAGACAGAGAGAAAGGTCTTCCTTTTGCTGTTGGTTCACCCTCCAATGGCCGCCGTGGCTGGCGCGCTATAGCCGGTGCATCGCGCTGATCCGAAGCCAGGAGCTAGGTGCTTCTCCTGGTCTCCCATGGGGTGCAGGGCCCAAGGACTTGGGCCATCCTCCACTGCACTCCCGGGCCATAGCAGAGAGCTGGCCTGGAAGAGGGGCAACCGGGACAGAATCCGGCGCCCTGACCGGGACTAGAACCAGGTGTGCCGGTGCCGCAAGGTGGAGGATTAGCCTAGTGAGCCGCGGCGCCAGCCTCAAAAGATCTTCAAAAGGGCCCACACATTTTGGACTATCACCTGCCTTCTTCCCAGGTGCATTAACACAAAGCTGGATTGGAAACAGAGAAGCCATGTTCCAATTGGAAATCCTGTGTGGGATGCCAGCAGGCTAAGCAGTGTTCAACTCTTTTTGTTGGCCCTTTCTGCTGCATTTTAGACATACCAGGCATATATTTTCTTATCTTAGAGCCTTTTTGATTGCTATTTCCTCTGCTTGGGGCCCACTGCTCCCAAAGCTTGTCATGCTAGGTGCCTTTTTGTCATTCATCTTTCAGCTCAAAAATCACCCCCTCAGAAATATCCTCCCTAGCCATTGATTTAAATTGGCTCTGCACCTCCTTTCATTATTTATTGCTTTTATTACTTACAAGGAGATCCAACTATTTGAAATGTTTTTCTTGTTAGCTAATTTATTTTCATTGCCTACTTATTATCACAGTTATATATAACTGGCAACATCTAGGCAATGCTATTATTACTTTACAAAAGAAATCAAATATAGGACATACTTCTAAACCAAGTTAGAAAAATTTAATGAGTATAATTAAGGTACCAACTAGTAGAGAGTTTAGTAGATATCCAGTTAATAAGCTGAATAAAGGAACCAAAACAGTAACCTAAAAACTGAGAATCCCAACTGATCCATTAAATTTGACACATTGTAAATGTGGCATTTTAGATGAATTATTCTTGCCCTAATTCCCTAGGTTATTACTTATTAACTCAAAGCTATAATCTTTTCCTTTTAATACAGTAAACTTTCCGTAAAGGAGAGGAATACATTCCAGATAGTTTTAAATCGTGTTTGGAAAGTGAAAGCAATTTGTCATGAAAGGAGAAGTAGAAGGTAGGTAGTCTCTCAAGATCTCTCAAATTCCCATCATCTGTAAGGGTAAGGTGATCTAAGGAAGATCTTTTGAAGGGGCAAACTTCTGTAGTTCCAGCTGAATACAACATCATATTTCTTTCTAATGCAGTTGTTTCTCTTATAGAACTTCCATCTCATTGATTATCACCTGGCTGCATTCATCACAGTGATGCTTGCAAGGAGGCTTGTATGGGCCCTTATCTCAGAGGTAATACCTCATTCACTGTATTTTATCACATGTAGCTAGAGTTACTAGAATGGATTGAGACCGAAAACATGAAATGTCCAAGTAGAATTTGAATACAAGTATAAATTTCTCTACTCCAACATGAGTTACAGTTATACTTTTAAAAAAATTTCCTGCAATATATTTAAAGCGTCAGAACCCTTGGGAATTAATTTGTTGAATATGATATTCCTTTTGACTTCTGAGTTTTTCAGTACGATCTTTTTAATAGTGCAGGTGCAAATAGGATAAATTTTAGGTAACTATTAATATGAAGAATTATCTATATGCCTATAGTTGCATCTAAAACAGTAAGCTTCAGGTAACATTCACTCCAAATTAATGATATACCATTTGTGGAGTTTGCTGACAAGAGACATTTGTGTGGGTATATTGAAACTTAGAGTTTTTAAAATAAAATGTCAAAAGTTACCGATTATTCTAAAGATTAAAATCTAATTGGTAGAGGTGGAAAGAATTAGAACATGAAAATGATCTTTTTAAAATAAAATCTGTTGACAGAGTTCGCATGATTTTCATCTCTCTAAACAGTTCATCTGTTTCTAAAGGATGTATTTATTTATTTGAGAGCCAGAGTTACAGAGAAAGAGAGGGGTCTTCCAACTGCTGGTTCACTCCCCAAATGGCTATTAATGGCCAGAGCTGGGCCCATCCAAAGCCAGGAGGCAGGAACTTCTGGGTCTCCCACACATGGGTGCAGAGATCCAAGCACCCATCTTCCACTGCTTTCTCAGGCCATAACACAGAGCAGGATCAGAAGTGGAGCAGCCAGGACTCAAACCAGTGCTCATATGGGATGCTGGTGCCGCCAGTGGAGGCTTAACCTACTATGCCACAATGCTGGCCTCATAATTTTCATGTATTTGTAATCACTAGTGAGGGAGGGAAATGTTTTTTCTTAATATTATGTTGTTTTCTGCCATGTGAATGACGACAAAACCAAAAAATTTTAGTTTAGCTCAAATGACTAATAATTTTAATCTTGGAATGTCTATTTTATTATTTATGTGGTTAGTTATAAACATAGGTAATGAGAGTCAATTTTTTTCTTTCAAAATGTACATGGACAGTCTTTGTATGTGTAAACTCTAATTTTCATGAACCTTTTTCTATGAACACAATGTAATCGGAGACTAAGTTATGATCTGAAAGCCATTTGAAGTTAACTGGAAAACATTGGTGATAGGATTGTCTATTTCTTCAAGTGGGAAAGGCTGTAACCTTTTCTCCAGGTTCCCTATTGAGGTGATGAAAATAAATACTTAATTTTGCATATATTGAAAACATGTTCTTTGTATAGAGGAACTCAGTGGCACTTTTAGTTTACATCTGCAGAAACAGGCAATGGGTGATTTTGTTTCATCCCTTCAGTTGCTTAGGAATAGTACTTGTGCATATCACATAAATATGTCCAGTGAGTATGTAAAGGCTGTAACTTGGAATGCTTGTTTCTTTCACTGCTGGCCTAAAAATAGCTTAGCAGCTTTGGCACACAGCCTTAGAGAATATATTAGTTGTTTTGTAAATAAGTTTGCAAAGCTTACTGGAAACAGAATACTTAAGCTAAACCTCAGTGGATTTTTAATCAGTCCCTTAATGTGCATCAGTAAAGGGATGTTTAAATAATTATAGTATAACTATATAATGAAATAGCATACAGCCATTAAAAAGATGAAAACAGTGACACTGTGGCTCAGAGTAAAGGCACTGCTTGGGATGTTCACATTCCGTATCAGAGTGCTTGTTTGAGATTTGGCTCCTCTGCTTCCTATCCAGCTTCCTGCTAATGCATCCTGGGAGGCAGTGTGTAGTGGCTCATGTGCTTGGCCATTGTAACTCATGTGGGATACCCTGATGATAAGAGTTATGGGTTCCTGGTTTTGGCCTTGGCCCAGTGCTAGTTGTTGGAGGCATTCTGGGAGTGAACAAGTGGATGCAAGATCTCTCTCTCTATTCCCTTCTACCTTTCAAGTAGATGAAAATAAATTAAAAGAATAAATGTTAAAAAGTTGAAGAAGTGTTTATGTATTGACCTCTAAGATGTTCAGTAAGAAAAACAAAGTGCAAGTCAGTTTTTAAGGCAGATGGAAGGAACAAAATATATTGGCTTATATATGAATAAATTGTGTCTAGATTGATGTACAGACTAATAGTCAGCTGCTTTGCTGGTAGGGGATCCAGAACCAATGGGAGAGAAGCTTTCACTACAAACATTGTTACATGTTTTATTTTGAGTAATATAAATATATTTGTTCAAAAATTTAAAATAAGAACTGTATAATTATTCTCTTCCTAAAATAATCTAAGTCATAAATCATCTTTCCCTCCTATTAAAATATGTTGACCTTTTTTTGCTTATGGGACAGAATGGACCCTTATCCTGAGAAAGACCAGGTAATTCAGAAAGCTAAATACCATTTAGAGAGAATTACCTCTCTACCCAGATAGACTTTTTTTTTTTTTTTTTTAAAGATTCATTCAGTTATTTGAAAGATAGAGTTACAGAAAGGCAAAAGCAAAGGCAAAGAGAGAGAGGTCTTCCATGCCCTGGTCTATTCCCCAGAGATGGGCCAATCCGGAGCCAGGAGTTTCCTCCGGATCTCCTACATGGGCTCAGGGGCCCAAGGACATGGGCCATCTTCCACTGCTTTCCCAGACCACAGCAAAGAGCTGGTTCAGAAGTGGAGCAGCTGAGACTTGAACTGATGCCCATATGGGACACTGGCACTGCAGATGGCGGCTTTACCCGCTACACCACAGCTCCAGGCCCCAGATAGGCTTTTTATTCACCTCCCAGCCAACTCTGCTTCTGTATTTGCTCCACCAGACCAAAAGTAAATTTCAGCCATTTTTTCATCAACCTGAAGCAACTCTAAGAGAGAGAGACAGAGAGAAAGGTCTTCCTTTGGTTAGTTCACCCCCCAAATGGCCACCACGGCCGGAACTACACCGATCCGAAGCCAGGAGCCAGGTGCTTCCTCTTGGTCTCCCATGCGAGTGCAGGGGCCCAAGCACTTGGGCCATCCTCCGCTGCCTTCCCAGGCCACAGCAGAGAGCTGGATTTGAAGACAAGCAACTGGGACTAGAACCTGGCACCCATGTGGGATGCCGGCACCGCAGGCGGAGAATTAACCAAGTGAGCCACAGCGCTGGCCTGCAACTCTTTTAAAAATTGTTTTTTCAAATAGAAAGTAGTACGTTTTATTGGAAAACACTATAAAGCAGAAAATTTAAGAATTATAGAGCCATTTTGGTATATTTCCTTCTAATCTTCATGTGGACATAAAAATTTTATAGCCATATATTCAAGAACATTATCCATATACTATTTTATAGCATTTTCACTTAACAGTGTTATTATTGTTATGTTCCTCCCCTGGCTAACTGGTGCTTATCCTTTATGTCTCAACTTAAATATCACTTCTCAAAGGAAGCTTCTCCTAGGTTAGGGTCTCCTGTTACTTGTTTTCCATAACAGCCTACACTTTCCCTGTAACGTTCATCATAATTGTGAACATAGTTGTCTAAAATTAAAATTAATAATTCTTTTTCTGGGCTGGATAGCTTCTTAAAGAAGGGTTCTGTTTGTCTTGGTTACCACTTTGTCCGCAGGATCTGGTTTAGGGACTGTCACATACAAACAGGTTAAGAGCTTCGGCTCTGGAGTTAGGATAATGAACACTTTCAAAGTCTGCTGTTCTGGTGACATTGAGTAAAACAATCTTTTTTATGTTTAACCCTGAACTTCTGAGAATGGAGGTAACAGAGTAACTCTAGTGGTTTAAAAAACTTTCCTTGGTTTTGAATATGAGGTACATTGGCATGAGGCATGCATCAGGAGTAATATGGAACTATTTACTCTGCTATAGCTGAGAACAAATTGAGCCTTACCTACAGTTTGAGACATAAGCAGTTCATTATGGTCTTTCTTAATTTAATTTTTTTCAACTTTATCTGTTTGAAAGACAGAAAGTAAGTGAGAAGGTGAGATCTTCCATCTCCTGGTACATTCCCCAAATATCATCAATGTCTAGGGCTGGGCCAGGCTGAAACCAGGAGTCCAGAACTCCATCTGGGTTTCCCATGGAGGTGTCAGGGACCCAAGTACTTGAGTCATCATCTGCTGCCTCCCAGTGTGCATGTTAGCAGGAAGCTGGATCGGAAGCTCAGGTGGGATTAGAATCCAGGCACTCCAATATGGCATGTGGGTATTTCAAGTGATGGCTTAACCTATCGTGTCACAATGCGCACCCTCTTCAAATTTCTAAGAAAACATACATATATATATATACACACACACACTATATACATATAGTTATGGGTCAGTTAACAGTAGGAATACATTTTGAGAAGTGAATCGTCAGGCAGTTTGTGCAAACATCATGTGGTATGCTTACACAAACCTGGGTATAAGCCAATCACTTGACACAGTCTCTGATGTAGTCAAAAGATGTGATAAATGTGAGATGTATAAGGCTTAACCAGGCCTACAGATTTATGGTAAACTTTTTAAGAAAGGTTTATTTATTTGAAAGGCAGAGTTACAGAGACAGTGAAATCTTACATCCACTAGTTCATTCCGCAAATGGCTGCAATGGCTGAGGCTAGGCCAGGCAGAAGCTAGGACCCTGGAACTTCTTCTGGGTCTCTCATGTGGCACTTGGGCCATCTTCCGCTGCTTTCCCAGGGACAGTAACAGGAAGCTGAATTGGAAGTGGAGCAGCCAGGTTTCAAACTGGCACTCGTATGGGATGCTGGCGTCACAGGTGGAGGCTTAACCTGCTACACCGCAACACCAGCCCCTAAACTTTTTTTTTTAGTAAGCAGAAAGTGTACACTATAAAATAATGACAAAAAATATAGTACGGTAGATATATAAGCCAGTAATAGACATTTATTATCAATAAATACAATGTATAGTACATAATTGTAAGTATTATTCTTTTAGACGACTGGCAGTGCAATAGTTTTACTTACACCAGTATCATTATAAGCATGTAATACATTGAGCTGTGATGTTAGGACAACTGTGACATAACTAAGTGATAGAAAATTTTAAGCTCCATTACAGCCTTAATGGCCCCACTGTCATAAATGTGATCCATTGTTGCCTGACATGTCATTATGTAGTACATGATTATGGTGTGATCTGTAAACAGAAGCAGTTACATAGGAGGGATCAGAAAAGCTCCAGATGATTTGTTCTCCCTTGTCATTTCTGACTCTGCAGCTTTTTAGAGGTTAGAGAGATCTACCATTTTCTCCTGCCTTTTTGTTCATTCTCTTTCCTAGTTCATTTTGAAAGAAAATGGTATTACAAAGCTTCATGTTTTGACAAGTGCATTTTCTTAGAATAGTCAGTTTTAAGATTTGGGATCAAAGAATAATATTTGAACAGCTGTGATGTAAGACTTGGAAGTGATTTTGCATTATATCTTTCTAAAAGTTAAAAAAACTTGTTTATATAGGAATCTGATAAAGAAGATCTGATTATCTTTTGGAAATTCAGTGATTTATTAAACATTCAGCAGATTTTGGGTGAGGGTTCAAAGAAAAGCAAATACTGTTGGTGCTGTTGAGGCCCTTTCAGTATAATGGGAAGTAAGACAGATAAGCTGGTAGCTCTCCACTTTTGTATGTAAAGATCACCTGCTTCTTGGAGGCAGGCATTTGGCACAGCAGTTGAGATGCCATTTGGGAAACTCATGTCCTGCATTGGAATGCCTGGGATCAAGTTCCTGCTCTGTTTCTGAGTCTATCTTCCTGCTAATGTGCACCCTAGGAGGCAGCAGGTAATGGCTCAAGTACTTGGGTCCCTGCCATCCATGTAAGAGACTTGACTTGAGTTCCAGCCTCATGGCTTCAGCTTGGTCCAGCAACAGCTGTTGCAAGCATTTGGGGAGTAAGCTAGCAGATGCTCTCTCTCTTTTTCTGTCTCTCACTGATGACAGTTCCATGGACCTTTTTTTCAGAAACCTCAGTGTTAACAAATTAGATAATATTGTAAGAACTTAAAGGAAGTCTGTATGAAGGGACTCATGGGGTTACAAGGAGGAGATAACTGGCTGCCTGGAGAAGTCTGAATTTTCAAGAATTAGGAAGAAGAGGTGGGATGGAACAGTTTTGTAAAAAAATTTTTAGGCACAGTTTAACTTCCACTAAACTTGCTAAGTCCTTACTTGAGTCACATTGCTTTTGAGTAAAAAAAAAAATAATAATAATAAAACATTTGAATTTATAAAATGTTCCTTTTGGTGCTTTCCAACTTTTAGGCCACTAAGGTGGGTGCAGCATCTATGATTCACTACATGGTCCTGATATCAGCTCGCTTGGTGCTACTCACATTGTGTGGATGGGTGCTCTGTTGGACCCTTGTCAGTCTCTTTCGCAGCCATTCAGTCCTCAATCTCCTTTTCCTTGGCTACCCGTGAGTACTTCCGTTTTACCATTTTCTTAGTAAATCTTTAGACATTATCTGAGTCATTCAAACAATACTGTAAAAGACTAGGAAATGAAATTCTTCAAATATAAATCAAGAATTCAGGGAGTTGGAAAGTCAGTGGGGTATGGTGACCATATAGTTTGTTTTCTATTCTGGGGTATAGTTGAGACAAGAAGCATGAGCCAGGAGGACTGTTCCAGGGGACCTACCAATGACAAACATTTTAATTAGCTTTGTTCTATCAAGTAGAGGCTTCTGTTACTACCTATGTTGGGGCAAATGGTAGTCAGTTTTAGTTGAATGAACTGATTCAGCCAGTCTTACCCTTGGTTTGTAATTTGGTTGATCAGATTATTTTCACCTTTGGGTGATGTAACAGTTATACCATACTCAGGTCCGTCAAAGTGTTTATGAAAATAAAAATTATTTATTTATTTTTTAAAAGGTTTACTTTATTTAGTTGAAAGTCAGAATTACACAGAGAGAGAAAGAGAGGAGAGGCAGAGAGAGGTCTTCCATCTACTGGTTCACTCCCCAATTGGCCACAATAGCTGGAGCTGCGCCAATCCAAAGCCAGGAGGAGCCAGGAGCTTCTTCCAGGTCTTCCATGCGGGTGCAGGGGTCCAAGGACTTGGGCCATCTTCTACTGCTTTCCCAGGCTATAGCAGAGAGCTGGATTGAAAGAGGAGCAGCTGAGACTAGAACCAGCAACCATATGAGATGCCGGCGCTTCAGGCCAGGGCGTTAACCTGCTGCACCGCAGTGCTGGCCCCGGAAAATAAAATTTAAAATATGAATTTGTTTTTGTGCAAAAAATTTTTGAGAACCATGCATATGAAGAAGTCTTCAAAAGTTCATGAAAAATGGAGTAGGTGTCGTGGTACAGCAGATGTAGCAGCTGCTCATGTTACCAGCATCCTATATCATGCCAGTGTGAGTCCTGGTTGATGCATTTCTGTTGCAGCTCCCTGCTAATATGCCTGGAAAGGCAACAGAAGATGGCCCTAGTCATTCTGGGAGAATAGAATAGAATGGAGTTTCTGACTGTTTGGTTTGTTTGGCGCAGACCTGGCTGTTGCAGGCATTTGGAGAGAGAGAGTGAACAAGCAGATGTAAGGTTTCTCTGTGTCTCTGTCTCTCCCTCTCTTCTGTTTCTCTTACAAGCAAATAAATAAATAAATTTTTTAAAAAGTTCATGAAAAATGCATATTATGAATAAACTATGCATGGGCGTCATGTCTTTTTTTTTTTTACCAAAATAAGCATATTTTAATTCCATTTTTCCCCATGAACTTTTTGAAGTACTTTATATGTGGATATATGTATCAATACTTTATTATAGAAACTAAATAACATTCAACAAGATTGAAAGAGTTTTATTATGAATACCAGTGTAATCCCTACCTATAATCTGCCTATTAATATTTTACTAGATTGAATAGTACATATTCTATTCATCCATATCTTTATCCATCAATTCATGTTATTTTTGGTGTATTTTGAATTTAAATTTTAGACCTTAATTCCCTTCCCCTGAAATATTTCATCATTTACGTATCACTAGCTAGATTTCAACATTTGCTTACAGTTTTTTCTTTTGAGGTTAAATCTGTATACAATAGGGGCCAGCGCTGTGGTGCAGTAGGCTAAAGTCTTGGCCTGAAGTGCCGGCATCCCATATGGGCGCTGGTTCTAGTCCCGGCTGCTCCTCTTCCGATTCAGCTCTCTGCTATGGCCTGGGAAAGCAGTAGAAGATGGCCCAAGTCCTTGGACCCCTGTACCCATGTGGGAGATCTGGAATAAGCTCCTGGCTCCTGGCTTTGGATCGGCACAGCTCCGGCTGTTGCAGCCATCTGGGGAGTGAACCAGCGGTTAGAAGAACTTTCTTTCTGTCTCTACCTCTCTCTGTAACTCTGTCTTAAAAAAACAAAACTGTATACAATAATATTCACAAATCTTGTGTACATCTTGCTGAGATTTTCTGTCTGATTCTTCCTCTATCCCTCTATCCACTCCCAAGACATATTCACAGTGGATCCTGGAACTAGGCTAACTATCCTTCTTTTTTTTTTAAGATTATTTATTTATTTGCAAGCCAGAAATAGAGAGAGAGAGATCTTCCATCTGCTGGTTCACTCCCCAAATGGCTGCAATGGCCAGGGTTGGGCCAAGCTGAAGCCAGGAGCCAGCAACTTCTTCAAGGTCTCCCACATGGGTACAGGGGCCCAAGGACTTGGGCATATTCCACTGTTTTCCCACACACATTAGCAGAGAGCTGGATTGGAAGTGGAGCAGCTAGGACTTGAACCAGTGCCTGTATACAGTGCCTGCACTGCAGGCAGAGACTTAATCACCTACATCACAGTGCCAGCCCTAACCATCCTCTTAAACTAATACATGTTCATCCTTTCTCCCTTTGTAGAAAACTATGAACACATGTCTGTTTTTAATTTTTTATAAAATGCATAGCTAAGTAAGATCTTTTTATTTCCCATTCTTCATATCTGAATTTATGTCAGTGAAATAACTTTTATTTATAATACCTAGGTTACAGTTTGGAAATTAGTTAATGAGAACTCAGGGAATTATTTAAAAAAAATTTTTAAGGGATGGTTGGAGTAACTATAGAAGCTATTAAAAGTCTCAGAAATACTCAGTTCTTTAAGTAATTCTACTTCTAGAAATTTATTTATTGTACTTCTAGAATTGTTTCATTAATTCATCAAATATTTATTGAGTGCATATTTTTTTTTATTTATTTTTTATTTTTTTTTTATTTTTTGACAGGCAGAGTGGACAGTGAGAGAGAGAGACAGAGAGAAAGGTCTTCCTTTGCCGTTGGTTCACCCTCCAATGGCCGCCGCGGCTGGCACGCTGCAGCCGGCGCACCGCGCTGATCTGATGGCAGGAGCCAGGTGGTTCTCCTGGTCTCCCATGGGGTGCAGGGCCCAAGCACTTGGGCCATCCTCCACTGCACTCCCTGGCCACAGCAGAGAGCTGGCCTGGAAGAGGGGCAACCGGGACAGAATCCGGCACCCCGACCGGGACTAGAACCAGGTGTGCCGGCGCCGCAAGGTGGAGGATTAGCCTAGTGAGCCGCGGCGCCGGCCCTGTTTTTTTAAAGATTTATTTATTTACCTGAAAAGCAGAGTTACACAGACGCAGAGGCACAGAGAGAGAGAGAGAGAGAATGAATCTTCCACCCACTGTTCATTCTTCCATCCGCTAGTGCACTCCCCACATGTCTGCAACAGCTGGAGCTAGGCCAATTCGAAGCCAGGAGCCAGTAGCTTATTCCAGGTCTCCCATGTGGGTGCAGGGGCACAAGCATTTGGGCCATCTACTGCTTTCCCAGGCCATAGCAGAGAGCTGGATCGGAAATGGAGTGGCCAGGACTTGAACTGCCGTTCATATGGTATGCTGGCACTGCAGGAGGCAGTTTTACCTGCTATGCCATAGTTCCAGCCCCATGTATTCTGTGTTTCAACCAGTATTCAAGTTACAGCATTGAATTAAGCAAAATGAAATCTCTGCTTTATAGAGCTTCAGGTGTGGGGAGCCTTTATCCTACCAAAGGATATTTGGATATTTATATAATAATTTTTGAGCTATACAAGATTATCAATTTAAAAATTGGCCTGCTATAGGCATATTGAATTTTGAGTCCTGCATTTGTGTTGCCTTGGCAGGGCCAGACCAAATGATTTTGCAGGCCTTTATGACCCATGGGCTAGACATTCCCCACTGTTGGCTTAAATTGTAGTGAGGGAAAAAATAGATCAAGAAATTAAAAAAAACCCAAAGTCAAAAACCCAATAAGTATGTAAACTATATGGAGGGGCAAATCTGTGGAGAAAAATAACTTGGAAAGAGGAACTAGGAGTACTTGTGCAGTGGGGTGAATGGTATAATAGCAGGCAGCGGAGCCCCTCAGTAGAGGGAATGTTTAAGGTAAAGGGCAGGCAATATGAAATTATCAGATGTACATAAAGATGTGATTAGGAAAAATCCTTGTCTCATGTATGGTGGGGGAAAATAAACAGCCTACATTTCTAAAAAGAGAAATGGGTAAATGATGGTACAATATATGAGAATCATCTAGTATCTTGAAAGTTTGTGCAGAAGGATATTCAGACATAAGGAAATACTCTGCATGCACACATCACCCAGCTAACAGTGGGATTTAAAACAGCTTCTACCAGATGGGGCCAAACATAAAACTGTATATAAAGTGTATACATTGGGGAAATGTATGCCCAATTATAAGCACGATTATTTCTGGGTAATTTATATTTTGTCATTGTGACTTTTCTGTAGTTTCCTATGATTCCAGAAAGAAATGAGAAGTCTTCCCAAACAGGGCAGGGAATTTTACCACCAGCAAAGCCCCCCATGTATACTGTGTGCTCTGGTAGATTTTGACTGTTTTAGTGCCATCGTTATAAGACTCTGTGGTCTCATGTTCATATTCACCTTGTTTTACAGGTTTGGTGTTTATGTTCCTCTTTGCTGTTTCCACCAAGATAGTAGAGCTCATCTTCTTCTCACGGACTATAACTATGTGGTTCAGCACCAGGCGGTAGAGGAAAGTGCCTCGAGTGTGGGTGGCTTACCGAAATCCAAAGACTTCCTCCTCTTACTGCTGGAGACCCTAAAAGAACAATTTAATAATGCCACGCCCATCCCCACCCACAGCTGTCCGCTCTCTCCAGACCTCATTCGCAATGAAGTAGAATGTCTGAAAGCAGATTTCAATCACAGAATCAAGGAAGTTCTCTTCAACTCTCTCTTCAGTGCCTACTATGTTGCGTTTCTTCCCCTGTGTTTCGTGAAGGTAAGTGGGTATCTTGCTTTCATGTGCTTCCTGGATTTGTGTGTGAATTGGGTAAACTGGCTATTTCTTGTTTAATCCCCCTTTTCTCTGTCTCCCCTTTGGCAGCCTGGATGGTGGAGTTCGGCTGCATCTGAAGTGCACTAATACCGCTCCTGGTTGGCGGATAGGTATTTCCGTATATGTGATGCACCCCGTGGTGGTCCTCTCTTTTTTTCCGTTCTTTCCTTCTTTCTTTCTCGTTATTTTTAGTTCCTGGGGAGAGTAAACTGTACCTAAAATAGAATCAGTATGTTGTAGCTTCAGAGAACCAGAGTGGCTGTAAAATCCAGCCTGCCGTGTACTTGATCCTAACGTGGTCACCAGGAATTTCCTTGACTCTAATCTTTATTTAATAAACTTCAGTTTACTTCAATAGAAAAGAAAAATGGTCTGGATTTCACCTGGGCCCAGAATCTTTTGGGACATTTTAGCGCCCTTCCTTCACCCATTTAGAAGCACTTCTGCAGCCGGAGTGGTCCTTCAGAAACACTCAGTTCTTCTAGGAAGAAAGCACTTGAAATATAATTGCCTCTCCCTCCCAGCCCTAACTCATACAGCCAGAAAGTCAGGTTGGAGGAACTTGGAGGACTCTGCTCTTGAACTTCCTGCACGGACAGCAGGACAACCAGTGCATGTGTGACCCAGTGTGGCATTTATCTGCAGGGCATGTGTCCATGCACCCATCCCTGCCTCAGTTTGCCAGTGCGTGGATCATTTCTCTCTTATGATCTTTTCCAGAGTACCCAGTACTACGACATGCGCTGGTCATGTGAGCACCTCATTATGGTGTGGATCAATGCCTTCGTGATGCTTACCACACAGCTGCTGCCATCCAAATACTGTGATTTGCTGCATAAATCAGCTGCTCACCTGGGCAAGTGGCAGAAGCTCAAACATGGGTCCTACAGCAATGCTCCACAGCACATGTGAGTAGGCCAGAGGGTAAGACCATGGAACACTTTTTCTACATGTTGCTGGTCATGTTTTTTCGCTCTGTATGTCATTCTTGTTTTTGGCTTTGAACATTATAGTTTTTGTTTACATAGATGCTTGTCATCACGCTGAACTGATCACGGGGTACATTAACTCATTTCCACCACCATCTTCAGCCCCTCCTTAAATGCACCTTAACTTTGAGCTGCCCAGTTACTGTAGAGTGTGTAATTTGTCTCGCAAGCTGTACTCACAGAATTCTCTTTCAGTTTTAACCCTTTGCCCAAATTCAGTCATGATGTATTTTTAATTCTTTTTAGAGTTTTAAGGCTTCATTTTCTCATTTTAATTGCCACAGCTGAGTAGATGCTGGCTACTCATTTCACAGCTGGAGTTTGCTTCTCTTCCTTCTAATACATGCAGATTTGTTGTAGCTGTTTACTGTGCCTGTACTTTTTATGTTTTTTTCTTTTCTTCCTAAACTGTCCTCAGTGTTTCTTTCCCTGCTTCTCTCGTATATACTGAAAGCTGCCTCTGTGAGTTCTCTTTAAATATTCCTCATTGTGTCCCCTGGCCATTCATTTTCTGCATGGCCCCCTGACCCAAAATGGCTGATTTTAGAACCTTCTGTTCTGTCACTTATGAGCCCATCATCAGATGTTTCTCAGACTAGGACCATCTGCATCTTCCTTTCTTTTATGATTTGAACATTTCACAATTCCATGCCCTAGAATTTTTTTCCTAATTCAGTGGGACAGATTGAGGTGACCCTCCTTTCCCTCTGCCCCCCGGTTCTCCCCTCAATTATCTGCCTTGATGTCTGATACAGATTAGCGCAGGCCTTCAAGCCCAGGAACTGAAAGAGATTGGGCCAGGCTGAAAAGACACCCGACTGTGGGCAAAGGACAGATTTCAATAAAAATTGAAAATACAGTCCACAGTGCTAGTACTGTGCATCTTCAGGCTCCTGATGGCACATGGCCATGAGGTGTATCATCACGTTAATGCTGGTAAGTGTGAGCAAGCCGGCGGAGCGTTCTGTCAACGGGAAAGCTTCAGGCTGCTAGATTTTTTTTTTTAACATATCTAAACTGCTGCCCCAGTTCTTATCTTAGGAAACTAACCCTTCCAAAATCAGGAAGAGATTAATTAACTTAATTAAAAAAAAAAAAAAGCTTAACCAAAAGATCCTCATCGCCATCCCCACCCCAACTCCATTACATAGATGCTAGAAAGAATGAAACTGCTTCTTCCCTAACTTCCTTTCCCTCGAGAAACTTCTATAAAAATAAACCAAGAAAGCTGAAAAAGTCAGTGTGTCAGTACCGTGTGTATGTCTGTGTCCTACTGTATAGCTTCTATCTGTGAAGTATTTGGATTTGTGATAGGTAAATTATTTTGCTAGCTTTGGGGATATACTTCTGCAGTAAATGTCCTCCTAGGTTGACAGGGTGTTGATTTTCCCAGTGCTGTTATTGCCATCAGCTCTCTCTTTGTTCCCTCTGGCATTCCTACCAGTAGACTGCTTACTTGGGCTGGAGATGATAGTCCACCTGCTTACACTGTTTTCTGACTCATAGATACCTTACTTATACAATTATATCTCCTCATTCTCAACCTCTTCAGTCCTTTGACAGAGTTAACTGTATAATTTTGTAACCTCTGTACTGTATAGAAATGAACTAAGTAACAAATCCTAACTCCTTCCAGTTTGACCATGGATGGAATTACTGTATTTTCAGAATTCAGACAGATGAAGTCTTTTTAAATCCCTTCCATAGAACTCTAGCTGGCTTTGCCAGACACTGTCATGTCTGTAATTGCCAATATCCTAACATTTGCATTTCTTTCTCCCTTAGTTGGTCAGAAAATACAATATGGCCTCAGGGGGTGTTGGTGCGGCACAGCAGATGTTTATACAGAGCCATGGGACCTTACAACGTGGCAGTGCCTTCAGATGTCTCCCATGCCCGTTTTTATGTAAGTACCACTTATTTATTTTTTAAAAAGATTTATTTATTTATTTGAAAGGCGGGGGGGGGAGTCTTCCATCCACTGGTTCACTCCCTAGATGGCCGCAACAGCCTGAGCTGCACTGATCTAAAGTCAGGAGACAGGAACTTCCTCCAGGTCTCCCATGTCGGGGCCGGGGCCCAAGCACTTGGGCCATCTTCTGCTGCTTTCCCAGACCATAGCAGAGAGCTGGATCAGAAGTGGAGCAGCCAGGACTTGAACTGGCGCCCATTTGGGATGCTGGCACTGCAGGTGGCGGCTTTACCTGTTAACGCCACACCGCTGGTGCCACTTACTTATTTTTAAAGGAGACAGAGGATAGGTGCTGCTGCAGCAGCTGCTGCTGCTTTTTTAAGGTTTATTTATTTGATAGGCAAAGAGACAAAAAAGGGAGAGACTGAGAGAGATCATCTTCTGTTGGTTTATTTCCCAAATGGCAGCGACAACCAGATGTGGGCCAGGCCAAAGCCAGGGCCAGGAACTCTATCCTGGTCTCCCCTCTGGGTGATGAGGTCCCATTACTTAGGCCATCATCCATTGCCTACCCAGGACCATTAGCAGGAAGCTGGTCAGCAGCAGGGTAACCAATACTTAAACTAGTACTCTGATAAGGGCTGTACGCATCACAAGTAATAGCTTAACCTGCACCACAACACTGGCCCCATAAGTGCTGCTTATTTATTTATTGTTTTTAGAATTATTTTATTTATTTGAAAGACAGTTACAGAGAGAGGTAGAGCCAGAGAGAGAGAGAGAGGTCTTCCATTCCAAAATGACCACAACGGCCAGAGCTGAGCTGATCCAAAGCCAGGAGCCAGGAGCTTCTTCTGGGTCTCCCATGCAGGTGCAGGGGTCCAAGGACTTGGGCCATCTTCTGCTTTCCCAGGCCATAGCAGAGAGCTGGATTGAAAGAGGAGCAGCTGGGACTCGAACCGACGCCCAAAGGGGATGCCAGCACCTCAGGCTGCGGCTTTAACCCTCTGTGCCACAGCGCCAGCCCCTGGTTCTCCTTATTTAGTTTCACACATAGGCTTAGGGGTGTTAGGAGACTGTTCTATGTGTTAGCACCTAGCACAGTGTAGAGCACGTACTAAGAAATTAATACATGGTAATGACTGCTATTACTATAACAGTAGCCCCTGTCCTTTGAAAATGTCTTCTGAAATGCAATTTAAAGGTCATACACTGTTATTCTAGTTTCAGTACCTGGGCTGTTAGAATAGAATTTGTTGAATCTAGTATTATTTGAAATAAGTAGGCAATCATCTAAGACTTTTTCATTAAAATTTTTTTTTGCAATAGTTTGGTTTGATGGTATCCTTAAGTGATACTGAGTATAGTAATAATATGATTTTCATGTTTTTGGTTTTTTTTTTTTTTTGTCATATAGATTGTCTCCTTGAGTTACTTTAACTTCCCCTTTGAAAGTCAGACAACTGCTAAGACTGGTGACCTATTTTGCCTTTACCTGGACTAGAAGAAAAAAAATATAAAAGAAGGAAGTAACAAGCAATAGACACCCACTAAATCCAACCTCTGTCCTGTTTGAATGTATGCTTTGTTTCATATTCTTTTTGATCTTTCGGTTTTCCGGAAATAATGGCTTTAGGAGGCAGAAGTATTTTCTTATCAAGAGCCAGCCTGCCAATGAGAGTGGGGAGAAGAGATGAATGTGGAGAACTGTTCTTAGTAACGGTGTCCATAGTGCAGTACATTGCCTTTGAACGGAGATCATCTTAAACTAACTGAAGTGCCAGGAGCTTCTTCCAGGTCTCCCATGCAGGTCAGGGGCCCAAGCACTTGGGCCATCTTCCACGGCTTTCCCAGGCCATAGCAGAGAGCTGGATTGGAAGTGGAGCAGCTGGGACTCGAACTGGCACCCATGTGTGATACCAGCACTGCAGTGAGCAGCTTTACCCACTACGCCACAGCCTGGCTTACTCTTCTATAATAAAATTTTTAAAATAATATTTGTTTATTTGAAATGCAGAGAGAGAGAAAGGTATCTTCTGTCTGCTGATTTACTCTCCCAGTTGCCCACAACAGCCAGGGGTCAGCCAGGCCAAAGCCAGGAGCCCAGAAAGCAATCTGAGACCCCACATGGGTGGCATGGACCCAGCTCCTTGAGTCATCACCTGCTGCCTCACAGAGTGCTCGTTAGCAGAAAACTGGATCAGAAGTGGAGCCAGCACTCAACTTCAGGCGCTCTAATATGGGGTGCGGGGGCCCCAGGCAGCATGTTAACTGCTGCACAAAGCACCCGCCCCTGGTCCACTCTTTAGGTGGAAACCTGTCCCATGCATCTGAATCAGGGTCTCTGGAGGATTCCAGGAATTTGTGTATTTGGAAATGATTCTTAAGCACACTAAGGTTTGATAGCATTCATTTAAAATGTGTCTGTCTATAGCTCTTAGCCTTTAAAGCCTGCCCTCACCTTGCTGCTCCTTCTGTTTGTAGCTTACTGGCACAGTTAATTGTAGATTCAGCATGGCATCTGAATGTTCAGATTCTCAATACTGGTAGAAAATTAATTCTGGCCCAATTTTATCCATATCACTGGGTCTCCTGTAGTAACTGAGGTTAAACCTCCTTTTCCTCCTCCTCCTGGGGACCTTGAGGACTTGTGTGTCTTTCAGAGCTGCCAGGAGTATTTGTCATCATTCTCGGGTTTAAGCTCTGAAGTCTACATTCCATCTAAACTTCTTCTTTCAGATCTACTATACTACCATTATTACAGTCTATCTTTCATATAAATTTAGCACCAGATTCAGCAGAATTGTTAGGTAACATTCCTTTGCAACCTGTGAACTGTGTCTTTCTAGTCATAACACCTTTTCATTGGTAAACTAAAAGTTAGTGCCTTGGAGAGAAAGATTTGGTCTGAGTGTCCAACTCTAATTCTCTTTTCCTTCTTGGCCTGTCACCTGCACCCTTCCTTTCACTATCTATAATAAATAAATAAATGAACAGCAGAATTTTACAGTGTAGAGGATTTTAGTGAGTGACCCTAGTAGGTGAAGAGTTTTGCCAGCAGGGTGGCATAGCAGGTTAAGCCACTGCCTGCGACGCCTGCCTCCTATATGGGCACAGATTTGAATCCTGGCTGCTGCTCTTCCAGTCCAGCTCCCTGCTAATGGCCTGGGAAAGCAGCAGAAAATGGCTTAAGTGCTTGGGCCCTGGCACCCACATGGGAGACCCAGAAGAAGCTCCTGGCTCTAGTCATTGTGGCCATTTGGGGAGTGAACCAGCACACGGAAGATTTCTCTCTCTTTCTCTGCCTTTTTTGTCTCCCTCTCTCTGTAACTTTGACTTTCAAATAAATAAATAAATAAATATATTTTAAAAAGTAAAATTGAGAAACTATTTTATTGATATTTCAACTTGTAATACTTTCCCTCTATCTCCAATTGACTACTGATGATGTTTATGTCTTAAATCAGCCCTAAGCTAAGGATTTTTTTTTTTTAACTTTTATTTATTCTTTTGAGGGCCAGAGTTTCAGAGAGAGGGAGAGACAGAGAGAGAGGTCTTCAATCCACTGGTTCACTCCCCATATGGCTGCAATGGCTGGAATTAGGCCAATCTGAAGTCAGGAGCCTCTTCCGGGTCTCTCATGCAGGTGCAGGGACCCAAGGACTTGGGCCATCTCCTGCTGCTTTCCCAGGCCATCAGCAGGGAGCTGGATCTGAAGTGGAGCAGCCAGGATTTGAACTGGCACATAAATGGGATGCTGGTGCAGCAGGCGGAGGTTTAATCTGCTATGCCACAGCACCGGCCCCAGCTAAGATGCTTTTATTGTTTTCAGATTGTTATGGTTTAAATAATTATGTAATATCCTCAATTAGGTAATATCCTCAATTTTTACCTCTTGAATTATAAAACCTAAATTATTTCCCATCTAGTACTTTTTCAAGCCTTTATATTAAATGTATTTTTGGTAATTTTAAATAAAAATTTAAAAATATAAGAAAAATGTCTATAGGTAGTATTCTTTGGGGTATATTACCTTTTCATTTCTCAGGAACATTGAAATTAAATTTGTTCCATTGTTCCTGGAACAAAAAGGGAAAAGTTTGGTTCTGCACACCAAGAAATAGCCTGATTACAAATTTAACAAGCAGATCTATTTGTTACTGTATATGGAAACTCGTAAATAAGAAGTTAGTTGTGAACAGTAACTGAATAATTATAGCCTTCACTCATCTGTGAAATAACATTTTGTTTTTAACTTCCTTACAGTTTCTCTTTCATCGTCCATTAAGGCTGTTAAACCTGCTTATCCTTATTGAGGGCAGTGTTGTCTTCTACCAGCTGTATTCCTTGTTGCGGTCGGAGAAGTGGAACCACACCCTGTCCATGGCTCTCATCCTCTTCTGCAACTACTATGTTTTATTTAAGCTCCTCCGGGACAGAATAGTGTTAGGCAGAGCATACTCCTACCCACTCAACAATTATGAACTGAAGGCAAACTAAGCTGCCTCTCAACAATGAGGGAAAACCCAGATAAAAATATTTTCGTACGTTCTATTTTTTTCTTGCAATTTTTATAAATATTTAAGATATTTTATATTTTGTATACTATTATGTTTTGAAAGTTGGGAAGGGTAAAGGATATTAAATGTATCCATAAACAAGGTGATGTGATCTTTCATGTGTTAGTATATTTGAATGATACACATATGAGATGAATGCCTCTCCAGTAAAGAGATTGATTTGTTGTCTGGCTCTGAAATAGTTCATTCATCTGTGAACACACCTCGTGTATCATTTGACAGTCCGTTGGTGTGTCTGCTTTTCTTTCCGTCCTCGCTGATTATCTTTAGTCTTCAGCTGGCCGGTATCTCTGGTGGGAGACCAACGAGTTGCCTGCCTGCCCCCCTTGCTTCTCTCCATTCAGGTGGCTAGCAGTGCTGGAGTCCACGGGGGAAAGAGTGAGTCAGAGTCCTGTGGGGTTCTCTGTCTTCTGCTGTAAGTATTGCTGAGATGGGGCTTTGCTGGGCTACTACTACGTGACATATAAAGATGCTTTTGAACGCACTACGGCCTTGTGGCTCAGGGCTTTGTTGTCACATATCCTGTTCTTTCACTTTTCTTATTTCCAGAGGTTTTCCTTTTACTCTGCATTGTTTGAAATAGTACTTTTCAAGGTAGTAGGTCTGCCACATTCAGGAAAGAAAGTGACCTATGCCTGGCCAGTGGGAGATGTGTGTGCCATGTGGGCTCGTGGAGGAACAGATTGAAAATACCAAGAAACCAGAAGAGTGAGGAATCCTCAGCTACACCATGCAGCCAAGCATCGGGAGTTATGAGGGAATGTGAAATTCAAAGTTAATGCTTTATCCTCAGAGAATTTGATATATATCCATTTTCCAGAATCTCCACGCTTGCGAGCATTGATCCTTTGAGTTATCACCTCCCCTGTTCTTGGAAGGTGATATATTTATTTCCATTCATGTTGCCACTAGGCACCCAAACTTCTGAGGCCTGTTGTAGACCCCCTAAAATATGTTGTTTTCTGTATAGGATTTGGTTTTTTACACCATGAAGCTTTTGGTGAAACAAAATATGACTTAGAAAGTAAAAAGATCAATCGTTCAGTTCATAAACTGGCTATGAAAACAATTTTTGTAACAGGGTTCCATAGGATTTTTAGCAAAAGAAGCATTGTGAAGTGTAGGCGTGTATGTAGATGCCCAAGTAACTATTTTTACATTTATAGTAACTATTTCCTTAACTATTTTGATGTGTAAACATTTTTTAAAAAATTAAATCATTTGGCATTCCATCAGACTGTTCAGCCATGCAACAAATGTCTAATGACCAGCAGGGGCTATGTCGGACCTGGTGGATGCAGCAGGGAGTGAGAAGTCTGAAGGCCCCGTCCTACAGAGCTCACAGTGTGAGGGCACCGGTGGTGCGTTACACACAGCAAAGGATTTATACATAAAAGGTTTTCTGGTGGGAGAGGAAAGTGCAGTAAGAGAAAGTAGATCAGGCCAAGGAACTAGTGGCAGGAATGGCACTGCCAGAAGGCATTTTTGAGACGATGATTGAACAGAGACGAGACAAAGCGAGACTGAGCCATATAAATAGCTTTGGGGATAATTCAGTACCCAATGTGGGAACAAGTTGGTATAGTGAAAGAACAGGAAAACCAGTGTATTAGTTGATGGCTTTTTAAAGTGGTTGAGCTTAAATATGGCCGTTCTTGGGGTGGAGAAAAGACAAGGAAGTTGCCATCTCATTATTCCTTGGAATCTTGGAAGATACACTTAAAAAGATTTATGTATTTATTTGAAAGGCAGAGTTATAGAGAGGCAGAGACAGAGTCAGAGAGATTCGCTGGTTCATTCCCTAAATGGTCGCAATGGCTGGATCTGGGCCAATCTGAATCCCGGAGCCAAAAGCTTCCTCCGGCTCCCTGACACAGGTGCATGGCCCCAAGGACTTGGGGCATCTTCTACTGTTTTCCCAGGCCATAGCAAAGAGCTGGATTGGAAGTGGAGCAGCCAGGACTCAAACTGGTGCCCATATGGGCAGGAGGTGGCTTTTACCTGATACGCCATAGCGTACACTTTTCTTGGCTGGTAAATGTTTTGATAAAATTTCTTGATGGCTAGGAACAAAATCATTGGCATGGGCACAGAATGTCTCATCAAAGTGGTCCCAACTTAGCTGTAGCATTGAAAGGTAACTAGAATAACCTTGTTGAGAAATGATGCAGTTTTGTAAACAGACCCAATTCCTCTTTCTGGCTTGCCTTGTTTTGGCTGTGTCCTAAAAGAGGAGCACAGCAGGCTAGCTAAACGTAAGTGGATATGAGGAATAACAATTAATTTTGGCTAGTGAAATTGCAAAGTCCCCCTGCTCCTGCCTCCAGAATCAGCAGCATTCCTGGGGTAAAACCCTCCAGTTCAACTTGCTGCTGCCCAATCCACCTGTTCTTTGTAGATGCCACATTCATGGGGAAGGGGAAACGTCATGGATCTCTGGATATTGTTATGGGTCAGGTGGGAGAAGGGACACAATCTTTGCTTGTGAAAGTAGGAAATGCGTACCTGTTAAAAGAAGGGCCTTTTCTGTAATTTTTTTAATGTTTCGAATTAAAGGTATGTGGAAAGGATGGTTAGCAAAAGATCAGGTAGGTGAACTTGGGATCTGGGGAAGGAATGAAGATGCTCAGTCAGTTGTCTGGGTGGCCTGCAGCGGGTGACTGTTTCAGGAGGATGGTTCACAGAAACGAGCATGGTGGGAATGTTCAGAATCCTGTTCATTCAGATTCCACGTTTCTATTCCACAAGCCTTCTTTCCTTCCATTGCCTATTATCCCCTCCACCACTGCTGCCCCCCCCCCCCCCATTTCTATTTACTGGGCAATTATGTCTCTGGCCAGACACTGCTTGGGTGCCAGAGATAGTGACGTCCAGAGTTCATTAACTAATGGGAGGCAGGCAATTGAATCAGGTGTCACACGAGAGCTCGTTGAAGTCTATATGAGATAGAGTGCTGATACAGAGAAGGGGGTGATCAGCTTCGCCTCATGGGAATGGGGGCTGTTCGCGTCAGGGGAGGCTTCACTGTGGAAGGAGTGCCGGGACTTAACCGAAACAGGGAGGGCACCTGTGGGTCATGCGTATGGTACTTTCTAATTTGGGAGGATCCTGTGATCCAGCGTGGCTTTGGGCACAGGATACACAAAGATCAAGGTATTCATATAACCAGTTCAATAATGCTAGAGAGCTAAGCACAGAGTAGATCACAGAAGGACTTAAATTCTACATTAAGGAGTTTGGATTTGTATTACCTGGTAGGCCACATGTTCTCAAAGTGGTGATCCCTGGACACTCAGATATACTAAGCTAGAATTCTGAGAGTGCAGCCCAGTAACATACACTTTTAAATACACTTTTATTTTTTTAAAAGATTTATTTATCTGAAAGAGTTAGAGAGGAAGAGACGGGGGGAGGGGGGTGGTGGTCTTCCATCTGCTGGTTCACTCCCCTAGATGGCTGCAACACCTGGAGCTAAGCTTATCTGAAGCCAGGAGGCCCCTCTGGGTCTCCCATGTGGGTGTAGGGGCCCAAGCATTTGGGCTGTCCTCCATTGCTTTTCAAGCACATAGTAGAGAAGCTGAATCAGAAGTGGAGCAGCCGGGACTTCAACTGGCGTCCATATAGGATGCCAGCACTGCAGGCCAGAGCTTTAACCTGCTGTGCCACAGTGCCAGTCCCAGCTCAATGAATTCTTAAGGACAGAAGTCTGGAATTGTTTAGACACAAGACATCTAATGAAAAACTTAAAAGTCCATGCTTGAGTAAACAGGGATGGGGTGGATCTCCAGTGTGTGGGTGGTGGAAGCAGCCATGTACATAAATGAGGTAGGATGTGAAAAGAAGGAAGGGAAAATTTAGTGAATAACTAAAGGGCAAAGAAGAGGAAACACTGAAGTGATTGAGATCAAGAAAATGGATGACCAAGAAAGGGGAAATAGGGCTTCAAAAAAAAAAAAAAAAAATTGACCATATCAAACATAATAGGTAGTCAAGAGACTGAAAAGTATCAGTTTGGCAATCAGGTCATTTGTGACTTTAGCCAGAGATTTTAGCAGAGCACTGAGGATGGAGGTCAGGTTGCAGTTGGTCCAGAATAGTGAACTGAAATGAAGAAGTAGGAACAGTGATGATGACTCTTCCAAGACTGGTCACGATAACGTGGTACAGGTGGACAGAGTTGAGGAAGCCTTTTGTTTAAGGAAGGAGAGACCTTGGTATATTATATGCGGAGGGAAAGAAGCCCAAAGCCGGAAAGGCTGAAATATAGGGGAGAATAAAGGATGGGAGGAGACTGGAAACACAGGAGCACTGGAAAGAAGGAAAATAATTCCTCTAAACTAGGATGGAGGCTAGGAAGACACATGCGGATAAGAGGAAGTGATGGCGGGAGGCTGATCATAAACTTGTGCTGGGAGAGACGGTTTTCCTTATTGTGTGTATGGGGACCGGGGGTGGAGTGGATTGCCCAGGACAGGGTTGAAAAGAGCGGAGTGGCCATTGTGGGCTTTGTGAATGAGGCCTCTACTGAGGTGAAGGACCCAAACTGTGTAAAGGCGCTAATACCATAGTTTATGATTTTCTCAGATCCATGCCATAGGCACAGAAAAGGGTAGAGAAGATGGGCAGCAAGAATCCTGGCCCCTTGAGCGAGACTTGCCAAGGAAGTGTGGCTGAAGGACGAGAGGTCCTGGGGAGAACAGTGGAGGAGATGCACCTTGGGGTCTGGAGAGGCGAGGAAAAGAAAGAAGTTGCCGGAGGGGCTGCCTGACAGAGTAGGGGTGGACCAGGCAATGGTAATCTTGCACAAATAGAATGAATAAAGTAGCAAGGATAAGAGAAGTTTCTGAGAAAGGAAAATGAGAATTTAATCACAAAGTCCTGGATTGTGAAACAGTGTGATACATAACAAACTCAAGAAGCAAATGGCCAAAACTGAGTAGAAGCAAAAAACTGTGAGCAATTATGGCAAGGTGTTGGTTTTCCTCCAGAACATTGAAGCCATCTGGGATGATGGTGGGATACAAAGGAGAAGGAAACAGGAAGTTTGGTACCAAACACTAGGAAATTTGAGACATTGACTACATCATGACCACAAAGAACGGTAGAAGTGAAATTGCTGGATCCATAAATTTCAGTAATGATTGTATATGAAATGGAAAGAAGCAATTGTGTAGAAGTGAGAAGAATGTCTTCCGACTCTGTTGAAAGTCTGTGTGTCGTGGGAGAGTGCAGCCTTCTGCAAAAAAAGAGTGTCCTTCCAGGAGTTGTGTTCAAGTCCAGGAAATGACAAGGACAGTGAAGAGACCAAGGTGTGTGTGTGTTCAAGGGGGTGTGATAAAGATAGAATGCCTCCAAAGAAACTAGGAAAGGTTGGGAGTCAGGGGAATGAATGGTATATGTGTGTTATGGGGGGCAGGGTCGGGGGAGTTGGGAGACAAACAGGCATATGACAATCTGGGAGTGTAGGAGAAAAAAGGCCTTCGGGGCACTACTGAAGGAAGATGGGCGCATGGCTGAGTGGTGAGTGTAAGGTTTTAAATAGACTAACGTGCTAGCATTGCTGTCTCCTTAGCAAGGGTGTTTTGTACTGCAAGGATCACTTGAGTGGGAACCTGGCTCATACAGGTCTTCCCACGGCCTCCCCCTCTGTATGATCATATGTTCCCGACTAACACAGTTTGTTTTTCCTCCCCCGGAGCATCACTGACATGATCACCAAAATAAAACAGTCCCCCTCACTGGTTCAAATAATAGGAAAGCTGAGTTCACATCTCTGAGCGTGGCCCCTCGTGACTCCCTAAGCCATGGAGTGCTGAGAAGTAATGAGCCTTTTGCTTTTCATTTTTCATATATATATATGTACTGGGCAGCTTTGGCACCCTGTGTGAGTGCAATAGTAAGGGTGAAATTGCAAACATATGACAATTATTAATATGTAAAATAACAAGTTTACTAAAGCAGATTTTGCTGTGAGACCAAACGAAGTAACAACAACAGCAACACAAAAATGACATCAAACAGAACTAGAACGATGAGTCTGAAGCATAAAATCTACTTTCCTGATAGGACATGTCCTCCTCTAGCTCAGAGGTCCAGCATAAGCACTGCATTTTACATCATTTATTAGAGTACATTTTTAAAGCATAACAATCTTTTAATTACATTTAAATGTCTCTATGGATAGGCTTAATATTTATTTATACTTTTATAATCAATAGAAAAAACATTTTGATTACATCTTTGGAAACATGTAGAGCTCAAAAAAAAAAAAAAAAACAGCTGAAATCATGTGGCTTTCTAACAGACTCCTTTGAAAAGTGCTTTACTTGGCAGAATTATAAGCCTGAAAATATTATGGCATTAACTTATTGCAAAGCATTGTTACTCATCCGCAAAACACATGGCTGTGGACTTTTCCTTCACTCTCTTAGAGAATTCTTGCATTTCTCATGCACCTCCAGGTTACTAACGACCTACTCTGTACCCATCCATGTGTGTGGCCCCCAATTTTGCCCTATCTGGACTGGCACCGATCTCCCCCTTCTCTCCGTGCTTGGGAAGGTGTTTGCGCCCTCTTGTGGCCTTATTTTGCTAGGGAAGGTGTTGGTAAAGGAAGATGCGTTCTTTGTCATGCCATACTTTGAGCTGATCTTCCTGTTGGAAGTGTCTAAAATCATACTCCTGGCAACATTTTACTCCAATATTCATGTCAGCAGATAGGGCCCACTTTGGTAGAATGTGACTCTAATCAATCCTGGTGAGAATTAGATCGACCTTAAACTTCTACTCTGATTCCAGACAAAGGAATCTTAGGTTCCCCAGTCCGTCACACAGGACCCTGCACAAATGATTCTGCCACCCAGTTTCAGTGAAATGTAATTATTATATGCTAAACCTCATCCATGAAGTAAATAGTTTATTGGACCTATGACTTCGTCATCAACAGGAATGAACACGTTTTGTGATAACAGAAGTCTCTTGAATCCCCTCTCAAGTAGTATGGAATGCCAATCCTACCTGGCTCATTGGCAAAGATCCAACAGGACTTCACTGCAAAATCCACTTGGGCCACACAAAATCTCAGAACTACTTACTCTAGCTTCATTGTGGCTCTCTAATTCTTTAGATCTCAACACCTGAGTGTCTCACTGGTCCCCTCTCTTAGATTTCCACTTGTGTTTAAATGGATTAAAGTCAGTAGTCGCTTGCATACCATTAGCAATCCTATTAAAAGATGTTACTTGCTGTTTTTCCCCTCTGCCTTGGTTTGTTAACAATTCTAAAGCTTGTTCTCTCTTGGTTATGGGCTCTCCCATTTATTACCATCCCTCTCCTTTTTACTGGACTAGTCAAGGACTGAGGAATAAGTACCAAGGTACCCAATGCATTGTTACTAAGCTCTTAATAAATATTTGAGGATGATGATGTTTATGTTTTGAATGTCCCCCAAATCTAGAATTCTAACTTGCAGTATATTTTTAGTTTTTAGGACTTATATTAGGCTTACAGTATGTTAATAGGGTTTGCTTCTATTCCAAGTGAAGCGGAGAGTAAAGACCGAATACCCTCTATCTGGTCCACTTTCAAGGAAAAAAAAAAATTGACCCAAGAGGGTTGTTTTGCTAATAAATATAGGATACTATCTTCTTAAGCAGCCATTAACACTAGAGGAAAACACCGGTATATGTACGCATTTCACTTCAGATTCAACATTTAAATCCAGCCCCCCTATTTTGAGGACTGATAGTTGGAAGTTGGATTCTGCAGCCCCTTCTAGAACCTTAGGTAGACCTTGGAATTGGCAGCACCTGTTCTGGTCCTTCCATGGGTGGAAGCAGGCCCTCTGATTCCATCCAGCCATTCTCCGGAGGGTCAGTCTCAAAATGGTGACCAAATTGGTAATTCCAAGGTATCTTGGGAAACACTTGGGGTGGGGGAGATAGGAGTTTTTTTTATGATGGAATGGAATTTTATCAGCGCCAGACTAGCCCCGCCCATAGGAAGTTTATAAATAGGTTTGTGACACTGACCCTCTGGAAGACAGTAAAAGGAATGACAGCCGCCAAGACACTGCTGAGTCAGCTTCCAAGGCTTTCTGGACCTGACCAGCTAGGAAAGTCCAGAGTAGGGGATAGCTCCAGAAGGTGTTGGTGTGTCTCCTCGTGTCATCCGCAGCCCTACACTCCTGAAGGTGAGGCTGTAAATGAAAGGTGTCAGTCTCAAGGAACATGGCAGCCATTTTATAAACCTAATGGGTGCTTCTACCCTTAGAATTAAAACCACCTGTTGACCTGTAAATGGTGGCTTCTCAGTCTATCCCCAGATAAAAATATATTCTATAAGTGTTATAAACAAAAATTTAAAATAATTATAAACTAGCTTAAATATCTCATTATTTGGCTCAGAGTTCTGATAGTGAAGCAAAGTGCAGTCTTTCCCTCTCACATTCTAGCTGGGACATGGTCCTTATCAGAGTATAGACACCTCGAGAGCAAGAGCACTGAGACCAACATAAAGTTTATCTGCACATTTTCTGATAAGGCAGGAATGTACTTCTCGAATCTGTGGAGCATGGCCTTTCTCGTCTGTCACCACTACATTTCTTCGCCTTGCTTGCCTTGGGAAAATGCTGTGTTCTAGGACTTTCCTTAGGGATTGACATCTCATTGGCTGTTGGTCCAATGTCTTGCTTACCCAATGAGAATGCAAAACCACTGACCAGAGACCTATTAACAGCTCCTCTTGCTCACACAGTTCTCTATCTGAAGGCAGAAAGCATCAGCTGACTGGCCAGTTACCCTTGTCACAGAAACTGGCTTAAAAGGTGTAGAACAAGATTTCAGAACTGGCTATATGCTTAGTAGGAAGACAGGAAGCAATCTGTATCTGATGCAGGACATCAGTTTCCAATTTCTCATTGAAGGAGGAAAGTTCAGCCCAGCCCCACCAGTATTGGCTGTGAGGTTTGCCCAGGGGTACTGCTAGCCCTAAGAGAACTCTCTGCAATGATTGGGCCTCTGGATAGAATTCAACTGAACTTGAACTTGAGAAGGGGTACCTCGTGAAGTCTTCAGTGGGAGCACTGAAATCTACCAGCAGATGTATTAGTTCTTCATCTCTCCAGCTAGAAAGGGAAGAACCATTGAAAGTTCCAAATAACTGCAAGACAATGAAATTGGCTTACTGTTTTTCTGAGAGTACAAACAGGAGAGGGGCAGGTTTGAATGCCTGGGGTGGGTGGGGAGAGAAGATGAGTCACGGAGGAGAGAGGGATGCCTCAAATCTGCTCTTGAGCAATGGAGGGAGAGAGAGCAAGGAAGGGACCCACTGGCTAACATGAAATACATTCTTGAGAAGGGCAGCTCTCACGGAGTGGCAGTGACAGCCACTGTGCCAGGGCTCCTCCCCTCATTCTCTCCTGGCAAGCTGGGCCCAGCCTTGGGTGGAAGAAAAGTGAAGCTGAGCCAGAAACGTTTTCTGCTAATGCCCCACCAATTTCAACTCCAACTTCAGTTCTGCATCTGTGTGAGGCTTTGTCCTGTGACATCCTGTTCTTGGACTCTGATCTAAAGAAAGCAGATGCTCTCACTTCGCTACTGCACACCCCACTGCAGATGCACCTCACCCAGGTAATCCTCAGCTCAGCTTCCACTCTGCCCAGCAGTGGGTTTACAAATCAGAGTTCTGTACAGTGGTGGTTGGAGTCCCAAATTAATAAGCTAGAGCCAGAAGGTCATCTTGGATTGTTCCTGTCTTGAGTTGACACTTGAGGATAGATTCCGATGTTTTGTGCTGATGGATGGAGTCATCCTGGACAGGACTGAAGGGATTTCAGGGAAAGAGCATGATGGGTAATTTCACCCATGGGGGCATCTAGACGCGCCTTTGTTTGCATCTCCAAATCTGCTTCTGTTTGGGATGGTACAAGTGTACATGATTTACACAGCATTAAAGGCCTTCAAACCTCAGTAGCTGACACAGACAAAGGATTTTTCTGTCTCTCAAAGGACATTAAGACAGCCAGCTCTCAACAGTAATACACAATGGCAATAGGGGAGCAAGCATTCCATCTTCTTCCCTCTCCTAACCTTTCCCATTTGCTCATACAGACTTAGCTACATTTCATCTCTTGGTCCTTTCCTTGACCACTTTTGTGGAAAATGGACTACTTAATAAATGGTCTAAAGGAAGAAGAAAAAAAAAAAGAGAAGCCAGAGCACAAAATAATCCCCAAACTTGGATAACCTGCACCTGGAAAAGGCAGGTTGGCTTCCAGGTGATTGATGATTTGTGTCCACAAACCAGCAGGTGAACTGATGTCATTCTATCTGCCTGCCACTTCTTCCGTCCAGGATCACGGATCTCCGCTGCGGCTGGTAAAAACAGCTGGTTGAGGTCTCCAGTCTCTGGCCATTCTTGGGGATGGTCATTTTATTCCTAAGTGTAACCCCTTCTGGTGTCACCCACGTGTTTTCTGCCAACTCCCCACAAAGAAGGCCAGGGGAGACTGTCTGGGTAGGACTCCGGATGGGGGACAGCAGGACTTTGGAATCTGTCACTGCGGATGCCGGGGGCAGGTGGTCCATAATGGGGAAAGGAGGGCTGAATAGGATTAGGCTCTGAGGTCTTCCTGGCCTTGACCTGTGGAAAGGCTTAGAACTGCCAGAGGGTCGCTCTATTTTTGATGAAAGAAGGTTGTCCCCAGATGGCTCAGTCTCTGATGTGCGCTTCCTGCATTGCACTGTGGCATCGTGGGTGGAGAGCAGGTTAGGCACGCCTGGGTCTGGCGAAAGCGTGGGTCCCTCGCATATGCAAGACACACTGGCGTCTGCGGGTGTGGACTTGACAGCGCCCAGATCCTGCTTTGGTTTCTCTTCCTTCGGGCTTTCCAGGGAGGAGGGGGGTTCACCTTTGGCAGGGTTGTGAGACAGGCCACGGGGGGAGCTGGGTTCCTCTCGGCTCTTCTCCAGAGGCTGAGCCGCACCCTCTCCGGAGCTCTGGGAGGGCAGCGGCTGTGGGATCTGTGTGTACTGAATCTTGGGTGGGATGACTGGGACTGCCCTGGCCTGGCACATTTTGACCATGAAGGAGGTTCTCACGGCTGACACACTCACAGGAGCTGAGTTACGGCGACCTGTCAGGGCATGGGCGACAAGGTTGAGGTCCTGGGGGTCCTGGGAAGAAATCTTCCAGGGGTCTGCTTTACAGTGAGGTGAGGCCATCCACACGGCCTTTGGCTCTCCCCGCTCCAAGAGCTGCATCCCCGGTGAACTGAAGGAGGCGGCATTCTCAAGCCGGAAGAGGTCAGCTATGGGAAGGGCGGAGTCCAAGTTGAGGGAAGAAGGCCTATTTTTCCCTTTCGGGGGTCCACACTCGGGGCTCTTCAGCTGTAACTTTGGGGAGTGTTCTGCAGGCGGGCTGCTGTCCTGCCCGCTGGGGGAGCTCTCCTTGCTGCTCTCTGGCCTAGAACCACCACCCTGCTTAGTCTGAGCGTCACTGGGCTCCACCTGTGTTCGCAGCTCCTGGCCCTCTGCTAGGCTGGCGGGGCCGGCTACTGCCAGTGCAGGTTGCACACTACCACCTCCTGGTCCCTTTTGACTGGGAACAGCCTCTGTCCCTTTCTGGCTAGAAAACTCTCTGAAGGACTTTAGGGCTTTCTCATCCCACCGCGAAATCTCACTCCTGGGTGCCAGGGGCTGCAGAGGGTCAGAATTCCTCTGTGTCTCCAGATTGGCACAACTACTGGAAGAGGGAACCTTGGGAGTCCACTGGCTCTTCCCCGTGCTCTTGCTGTCTAGGGAATGGCTCTGGCGAAGGCTGGGCCTGTGGGAAAGCCTCTTCTCCAGCCGGGGGCCCTGGGGGCCCTGCACCTGCGCCTCCTGCACATCCTTCAGGGTGGGAGAGTGAAGGGGACTTGTCACCCACTGGGGCTCCTCCCAGGGCTCCACCATCTCCAGGCCATGCTGCGCAGAATCGGACATGGTGTCATCTTCATCACAGTCCGAAGGCTCCTGCAGGGAGTGGGCTCCGTCGCCTTCCCCTTGGGTGGCCATCTCAGCCTCCTTTGTCGGGCTTGGCAAAGCAGAGCCTGTTCCCTCGGCGGCGGCAGCAGCATCCTTTGAATGTTGCTGTTCGCTTTGTCTTGGAGCAGCCTCACGTGCTTGGCAGAGGCGAGGGAGCCCAGGGCTGTCTTTGCACTCCAGCTGACCTCGAGAGGGCTTTGTCCCCAGATCCCTGGACGAGGCTTCTCTCTCGGGGCCATCCTTTGCCAGCAGGCCTCCGGGTGCCTCCTCCAGAGGAGTCGGAGGGGGAGGAGCAGGTGGGAGTGGAGGGGACAGGTTCCCTGGGCCTCTCACCTCCGCCTTTGCTTGTGGAGGCGCCATCTCAAATGTCATTATTTCCAGAGGAGCTAGCCTGGCGGGATCTAGACGCACGCCTTGTTCTGGTTTGGATCTCTGGAGGCCACTGGTAGGCTCTGGCGTCTCCCCACTGGCTGCCGTGGAAGCCCCCTGTGTGCTCTCACTGCGTGGGTCCCTTGTCCACTCCTCAGGAGGGGCAGAGGCTGGATCAGAAGTGGGCCCACAAGACAACCCCCGAGGAGGTTCCAAGGAAGCAAAAGGGCCTGCCTTTGATTCAAAACTTGGCTGCGTTGGGCTGATCCTCAGAGCAGGGGCTGGCAACGAGGAGAGCTCCTCCTCCGATTCAATGATTTTCAGCTCCTGTTGAATCTCGGGCCAGATCAGGGCGTGGGCGAGATCGTCTTCATCCTGAGAAACATCAGCAGAGTGACTGCCTTAGCACCAAGGATTTAGGGCAGTAACATCCCTCCCTGTTGACAAGAGGGAGTGAGGGGACCGGGACACTGCCAGCCTGCACGACCTGGGCCAGTGAAAGACCCAACATCAATGATAATCGTGGATGTCTAGGGCTTAGCATATGCCATCAAATACTATCTTCATGTTTAATTTTCCCAACGCCCTCGGAAGAAAATACTACTGTAATTACTCCCATTTTTATAGCTGGAGAGGCCTAAGTGCAAATAGATTAAACAATCTTGCTAACAGGCCGGCGCCGCGGCTCACTAGGCTAATCCTCTGCCTTGCGGCGCCGGCACACCGGGTTCTAGTCCCGGTCAGGGCGCCGGATTCTGTCCCGGTTGCCCCTCTTCCAGGCCAGCTCTCTGCTGTGGCCAGGGAGTGCAGTGGAGGATGGCCCAAGTGCTTGGGCCCTGCACCCCATGGGAGACCAGGAGAAGTACCTGGCTCCTGCCATTGGATCAGCGCGGTGCACCGGCCGCAGCGCGCTGGCCGCGGCGGCCATTGGAGGGTGAACCAACGGCAAAGGAAGACCTTTCTCTCTGTCTCTCTCTCTCACTATCCACTCTGCCTGCCAAAAAAAACAAAAAAAAACAAAAACAAAAAAACAAAACAAACAAACAAACAAAAAAAAAACAATCTTGCTAACATGTATAGTAGCAGAGTAGGATTGAGATCCAAGTCCCATCTACACTGGAGCATAAGTGCTTAATGCCTGTGTTCTATGCCTTATAAAACAAACAGAAACCCTGGCCTCATTTAACCTCAGGTTTACCAGAAGGCTCCCAAAAATCAGATTCTCTCAGGAGAACGAAAATGTTAACTCTTATCTGACACTGGCTTTCCAAATAAACAAATGTAGTTTGCTTTCTTATTACCAAAGACATACATGTTCTGCGTGGAAAAACTTTTTGAATACACACTGAAATAAAGGCAGATACAAAGCCTGGTGGTCCTCCCACCCACAAGGAGGCACTGAAAGTGAGACACGTGTTCTTTCCTGGGGTTGTTTAACAGCCTCCTCCTAACCTCCTGCTTGCTGCCTGTGTTTCCCTTCAAGTCCTTCTCGGCTCCTCCCCTTCTCTCCACAAAGGCCAAAGCTGCAGACAGAAAAGGCATGGAGGGAGGCCCGGCTGTTCCTCTCATTTCTTGTCTCAAAGGTCTAACTCTGTCCCAAGGAGCAGCAGTTCAGGGGAGCGCCTCCATCCTGTGGGGGTGCCAGTTTCCGAGAAGACTGCTCTGCTGCTCATGTCCCGTGTCTTCCCACCTGGCTCTAGTCACGTGTTACTTCATGCTGAATTTATATATAAATGTAGGCCCTCTTATTGGCAGTGGACTGTGAGCCCCTTGAGGTCCGGGACTGTGTTTACACAGCTTTGATTCCTCAAGGCCCAAGGGTGCCTGGTACACTGTGAGCTCAACAAAAGGTCTGTTGAGTTGTAATGGATTCTTGGCTTTCTATTGAGTTACTTTAGACAACCCTCAGGACTATGTGGTCAAAAGTAATCTAACTGCATTTATTTGTGTGCATTTCTATTTTCTCTACTATGCTGTGCCCTCCTTCGGAGGAAGGGACAGCCTTTTACTCATTCTTTTTTTATAATTTTTTTAAGGATTTGTTTTTATTTATTTGAAAGGCAGAGTTACAGAGAGAGAGAGGTGGAGACAGGGAGAGAATCTTCCATCTGCTGGTTCACTTCCCAAATGGCTACAACAGCCGGAGCTGGGCCAGGCTGAAACCAGGAGCCAGGAGCTTCTTTGGGGTCTCCCACACGGGTGAAGGGGCCCAAGTACTTGGGCTATCCTCTGTTGCTTTCTCAGGCACATTAGCAGGGAGCTGGATTGGAAGTGGAGCAGCCGGGACTTGAACCGTCACTGGTGTTACAGGGTGTTACTGGTGTTATATGGGACACTGGTGTTATAGGCAGTGGCTATATCCTGCTGTACCATCACACTGGCCCCTTACTCATTCTTTTAAAAAAAGATTTATGTATTTGATGTGAAAGGCAGAGTTACAGGGAGAGAGGGAGAGACAGAAAGAGACCTTCCACTGGTTCACTCCCCAGATGGCCTCATCCAGCCCTGGCTAAAGCCAGGAGCCTGAAACTCCATGCACCCAGGTCTCCCATGTGGGCCATCTGCTGCCTTCCTAGGTGCATTAGCGAGAAGCTGGACCTGAGGTGGGAGCAGCAGTCTCTTGGACCAGCGCTCCGGGATGGGACTGGGCGTCGCGGGAGGTGGCTTAACCGGCTGCACCACAAAGCCGGCCCCACCTTGTACTCATGGTTGACTCTCAGCACAGACACTAATCAAGGAACTGATAAATGTAGATGCCTACATGAACACCTAAACTGCCCCGCCCTCTGCTCTCCTCCGTCTCAGGAAGAGGACTGCAGCGCTCCTCTGTGCTCAGGCCATAAATGCACGTGACGTCTCTGCCTCCTGTGTCTTCCTCACACCACGCCCAGTCCTTCGCCAAGCCCCGTCCTAAACAGCCCTGGAGTCCTTCCACTTCTATTCACATGGCCCCATCTTCCACGTGCTTCACCACGTGCTAGCCTCCTCCTAACGCACCCTTGCCCTGGCTCCTGCCCTCCCCTCACAGAAGAGCCTTATCCTTTAAAGGTAAAATCCCAAACACATCACATGTTGTTCCAGTACCCTTGGTTAGTTAGTCCTCTTCCACGCAGTTCCGGTTGAAGTGGCTCCTGCTTCCCTCTGAACCTCACGTTCTTCAGCCCAGCTACCCCAGCCTTGCTCCCATCGAATGTTCCAGTCTTTCCCACCTCACACTAATGGTACATCATATTCTTTCTGCCTGAGGTCTCTCCTTTCCTGTGCTACTCCTGCTTGTTTCTTCTAGTTAAGATCTCCATCTAAATATCTATTCTTCAGAGAAGCCTTCCCTGAGCCTTGATGCAAACGCCTCCTCCCTCTGACTAGGTTAGGTCCTCCTGCTGTTTTCTCACACAGCACTGCATGCTTCCATGTCACCCTAGGAATTACTCCTCCATTGGCCTTTCCCTACCAGGCTGTCCACTTCCAGAAGGCAGGGACGGTGACGGACTGCTCCCCACAGTGACCCCAATGCTTGGCATACTGCCTCACACAAAGCAGGTTCACAGAATACATTTTTAAAAAAGATTTATTTATTTATTTGAAAGTCAGAGTTACACATAGAGAGGAGAGGCAGAGAGAGAGAGAGAGAGAGAGAGAGAGAGAGAGAGGCCTTCCATCCGCTGGTTCACTCCTCAATTGACCACAACGGCCGGAGTTGTGTCGATCTGAAGCCAGGAGCCAGAGTCTCTTCCGCATCTCCCACATGAGTACAGGGGCCCAAGGACTTGGGCCATAGCAGAGAGCTGGATTGCAAGTAGAGCAGCCTGGACTCGAACTGGTACCCATATGGGATGCCCGTGCTTCAGGCCAAGGCGTTAACCCACGGCGCCACAGCGCTGGCTTCACAGAATACATTTTTAAAATAAGTGTTCCCAAACGAGTGAAGGGAGGCCTGTGTTGTGACACTGCAGGTCAAGCACCACTTCCAACGCCAGCATCCCAAAGCTGAGTGCTAGCTCAGGTCCCTGCTACTCCGCCTCAGCTCCAGCTTCCTGCTCATGTGCCTGAGAAGGCAGCAGGAGATGGCACAAGTGCTGCGCCCCTGCCACTCATGCAGGAGACCAGGATGGAGTTAATTCAGCCTGGCCCAGATCGGGCTGTTGCAGACATTTGGGGAGTAAACCAGCAGATGGAAATTCTCAGTCTCTCTCTCCCTCTCTTTATTGCTTTGCCTTTCAAATAAATAAATCTTTTAAAAATAAACCAATTAGGGGCTGGCGCTGTGGCGCAGTAGGTGAATACTCTGTCTGGCGTGCCAGCATCCCATATGGGTGCTGGTTCTAGTACCAGCTGCTCCCCTTCCATTCCAGCTCTCAGATGGCCTGGGAAAGCAGAAGATGGCCCAAGTCCTTGGGCCCCTCTACCCACATGGGAGACCCAGAAGAAGCTCCTGGCTTTGGATTGGTGCAACTCCAGCCATTGCGGCCATTTTGGGAGTGAACCAACCGATGAAAGGCCTTTCTCTCTGTCTCTCTTCTCACTGTCTGTAACTCTACTTCTCAAACAAACAAATAAAATCTTAAACAAATAAACAAATGAATTAACTGATGTCTTTACTTGTTCCTTTGACTCCATCTTGGCACTTCTGCCAGCACTAACTTTATCTTCCATCTGACTTGTCAAAGCAACACCATTCATACTTGGGCCCTCCTCATGAGAACCTCTGCACCCTTCTCCTTCAACAAATGGAAAAACATCTCATAGGAACCCTGGCTCAGCCCACCTGGGGCCACCAGTGGCACCCCAGCTCTGCCCTAACTCGCAGCACCTGGAGCTTTGTGCATCCAGGAAAGCAATTCCCTGGAAACAAGTTTAAAAGACAGTGAGTTTCCTTTTTGCTATGTGGCATACTCCTCTGGCCACAGAGCTGCCTCCCAAATTCAAGGCTTTTTCCTAGGGGTCCCTGGGAGATCTTTCCACACTTTCTCTAAGGACATTCATCAAAACCTTCTTGGGAAATTCAATCTCTTTAAAAAAAAAAAAAAAAAAAAGCAGGCAAAATTCAATCAGTTCTGCAATCAATCATCTCTAGCTTTTCCAGAATCTGCAAAGGGACAGAATGGAGCCTGGAAATATCTAGAGTTTTAGAAACTAGCAAGGACAGCTGCCCATCAAGCATGCCTGGAAGAAGAGAGCCAGCCCCCATGTGTGATCACTGTATTCGGGACTGGGATATGGCATCAGGTTGGGTCCTGTTTCTGGGAGGGAAGTCCTTACATCCCAAGGACATGTTTATGGTGACCTCAGGTCAGAAGTACTGAGATGTGTCTGTCCTAGGGAATCTGGCCTGGATGGCTCCTTCCCATCACTGCAGAACCTCCGTCAAGTCCACTGCCAAGAAATCCCAGGCCAGACTCAAAGCTCGTCTCTTCAAGTATTTGGGGCAGAAATTCTTCAAAACAATTTAAAAAACAAAATTTTTACGTTACACCAGGAGCCCTTGGGAAGAAAAGAACTCTACCTGGCTGGAGCAGGCACAGCATTCCCCTTACCATCTCGTGGAGAAACACGGCTTCAGCCCTGGCTCTGGGGCTCTCCGGCCGAGCGCTCGGCTCCCTCCAGCCAGCCTCCTGGGCGTCCTCCACCACCTTCTCTGCATTTGGTCCCTTCTCTGGTTCCCTTGAATGTTGAGAGCCCAGCAAGATTTCCAAGGTCTTCTCCTCCAGCTGGGGGCCTGGCTCCAGGGAAGGGCCTTGGCCGCACTCCAGTGTCGCTGCGGCTTCAGCCACTGCCTTGGCATCCTCGAGAGCCGCCTTCTTGGGGACGGCTGCTGCAATGAGGGTGTTACCAGTTAGAGAGGCTTCGTCCCAGCGTAGTGGCTGTCCTGCCCCAGGTCCTGCCTCACAGGGTAGAGGGAGCTCTCCAACTCCCTGCCTCCTGCATTCTTCACCCTTCTCACCCGGGGTTAGATCCCACAGTCAGACCATCAGATCCGGAGGGACCTGGAAGATCCCTCCAAGTGGTTCTCACCTAGGGGGCTATTTTGTTCCTTCTTCTCCCTTCCCCAGGGGACGCTGGCAGTGTCTGGAGACATTTGAGGTTGTTATAACAAGGGGGCTGGGAGTGCTGGCAGAAGCACCACCCCACAATGCCCAGGGTGCCTTCCCCCCACCCCCAAGACAAAGGATTACCCAGGCCAAAGTCTCAACAGTGCTGGAGTTGAGAAACCCAGCTCCAGCCCAGCCTTTCATTTCATAAAGAGGTAGGCCCTGAGGACTCAAACTTAGGCCAAGCGTCACAAAAATACGTTATTCACACCAGTCTCGTGAATGACTTGTTCTTGTGTGACTCTTCCAAGGGTTATCTCTAGTCCACGTGCATATACATTCCCAAAGTGAGTCAGCTGGTCTGAAACACCTACTGAGCTCAGGGAGAGAGAGGCAGGCCTCAGGCAGGGCCTCTAAAGCCTCACAGGCAGGAAGGCCTCACGTCACTGCATAATGCTGTTTTCCACATGTGTAATAAAGACCTAGTAAAGTACCTAGAACACTGAATGGCACACAGCAGAACCTCAATAAATATTATTTACAGCGGGATTAAAAGAAACTGCATCGCATTAGAATTTCTCAATGAATCCTGTGGTCTTGGCTCAATAATAAATGCTTTTGGGAGGACCAATGTGAGGATAAGGTAAATAATGGTGGCAAAGCACACAGCACAGTACAAACTCAGAAGAGCTTGTTGGTTAAGGACAAACTCTGTGTTCACCGCACTGATCTCACTCCTCAGCATCTCACCGCAAAGCCACCCTTGGAACAATCAGTCCTACTGACAGCATCCTGATGTCTGAACTAACAGTGATCAGAATTGGCAAAAGTACTCTTTTGTTCTGCCTATAGCCCAGTAACTTGAGTTCCTGAAATTTAAATTTTACCTTTTAATATGTAAAACATTTTCAGAGTTCAAAAGCTAAAACTATATAAAAAGGGATCCTTGGAGTTTTGCTTTCATTCATGTCACATCTACCCTGCCCCACACTCCCACTGTCCCCTCTAGTGTCCCCTTTTATTCATCTCTGATTTATCCTGCCATAGTTTATTTTTTGCATATTTAAACAATACTTGCACATGTATATTTTTATTTCCTATACTTATTATATAAAATATAGCACAGGAAATACATGGTATCTGTTGTTCTTTACTGTGACTTGTGACTTGTTACACTTCACACAGGTATCTTGAAGACCATGCCATAATAATATTCAGGGAGACTGAGTGTTCTTTAGGATGTGGCCTAGTTTAGGTTGTCTTCAGAACAGAGCCTGAAACAAGGTCCTGGCAGAAGGTAGCTTATTTGGAAGATGGTTCCAGGAAAGAAGAGAGAAGGTGAGACAAGGCGGGAGGAAAAGTCAGCGGAGTATGCCACTGAGCCGGTTAGCATTCTGAGCAACTGGGACTCAATCCTGCTGACCACAGTGCTGTACTCCACTGTGGTCCCGCCAAAGGGAGGGAGGCCAGGTCATTTATCCACTGACCCCTTGCTCATAGTAGTTGAGGGATGCCCCCGGTAATTCTCCATCCTTCTGGGTTGTCCCAAGCAAAGGGTGAGCAAGATCCTCCCTTCAAAAAAAAAAACAAAAAAAAAACCAAACAACCCTGAGGCAGAAAGCCAGAAACACAAGGCAAGCAAGACACAGGACACCTTCCCAACAAGAAACAGTCAGCTCCCCAGAGGCATAAGGGATGGCAGAACGTGACGCAGTGCCCACCCCGCCATGAATTCTCCAGGACTCGGTTGTGTGCATGTGTCCCAGTTATTGCACCAGTGTCCTAAAGATGGGCGTTGGGGTGGCTTCCAGTCACTTGGTATTCCAAATGGTGCTGTCATAGGCATGTATCATTTTTGAATTGTACAGCTATTTATTTAGAATGAACTCTTGAAAATGAAACTTCTGAGTGAAAAAATAAATACATAAGTCACTTTTTAAAAGATACTTTCAGTTACCACAAATCAGGGAAAACATATGGTATTTGTCTTTTTTGAGACTGGCTTTTTTAGCTAAATATAATGGTCTTCAGTTGCATCCATTTTGTTGTGAAAGACAGGATTAGGATTTCTTTCTTTTTTTTTTTTTTTTTTACTTTGTATGGCTGAGGAGTAGTCTATCATGTACATATATCATAATTTCTTTATCTGGTCATCATATGTTTTCCTTGTTTTGTGGTAACTAATATACAGAGTACAAAAAAGTAATGTATATGAATAAAAAAAGATTTTAAAGGAACTTGAGAAAAGAGTTTTAAAAGAACTTAAAATTTATCATTGAAGTTGAGGAGTATGTATATTTTGTACAGTCTGACTGAATATCTCTTTTAAGCTAATAATTTTGGCAGAGATATCAGCTATGATAATTAACTTTAAATAGATGCTACTTATTCTAAGCCATGGCATATATTTTCAAAGTTGTTTTATCTTATAAGTGAATTTAATTGGCTAGGAACCGGTCAGAGATCCACATAAGAAAACTTGGTGGGTGATTATTGTCAATGGCGAGAGCTTATTTTCTATGTGTGTGTGTAAACAATGAACAGATTCCAACTTTATTCTTTACACTTGTTTTAAAAATAAATTCAAATGTATTTGCTGGAAGTTTTTTGTTTGTATTAAAGCTTACTTTGAAAGTTCAAAAAAAAAAAAAAAAAGAGAGATACTTTTAAACAATCTACTAAAGATCTATTCCTTGAATGAATTTCCCAGCCTCTCTTTTGTAGAGCTCAGGATATTTTGTCCATTGTAACCATTAAAATGGACTTATGAGAAGAGGGGAGAAAGGGTCTGCACTAAACATGAGCTTGTTCCTGTCACTCTACTGCGGGAAGCCCTCAGTGGCTCCCTACTGCCTCCATTATGGTATGCAAGGCCTCTGCACTCTGCACCAGCCACATGTCTGCTCATTCCTACCCCACCCCCATGGACTTGAACTCCTCTGCTCTGGTCCTCTCTGGGATTCCACTGGTCCACTTTTCAAGACATAAATCTAACAACACCTCTTTAGAGCCTTTCTAAGCGATCTCTCCCTCTCCTACCTCCTGCAGCAGTGTTATTACCCATGAAAGGCAAAGTCACACACACACACACTCACACACACAGAGAGGGAGAGAGAGAGAGAGAGAGAGAGAGAGGTCTTCCAATCCTCAAATGCCAGATGCTGCAACAGCCAGGGCTGGGCCAGCCTAAAGGCAGGAGCCCGGAATTCCATCTGGTTCTCCACTTGGGAGGCAGAAGCAGCATCTGCTGCCTTCCCAGGAGCATCAGCAGGAGGCTGGATCAGAAGCAGAGGAGCCAGGACTTGAACTGGTGCTCCAGTATGGGAGGTGAGCATGCCAAGCGGCTGCTTAGCCTGCTGCACTGTGACGCCTGGCCCAGCTCACCATTATCTTTACATGTGTTCATGGCTTCCATTCCCGGGAAAGTTCTTCAGGGTTAAGGCAGTATTTCTTCCTAGAAATTACCTGCCAAGGGCCTATGAGCCCAAGAAATCTTTGTTAATTGACAGATTTGACAGATACGTCTAAGCTCTAAGTCTCTAGGGACGGGCGCTGTGTTAAGCTGCCACCGCCTGCAGTGCTGCCATCCCATATGGGTCCTGGTTCAAGTCCCGGCTGCTCCACTTCTAATACAGCTACCTGCTAATGTGCCTGAGAAAGCAGTGGAAGACGGCCTAAGTCCTTGGGCCCCTGCATCCATGTGGGAGACCTGGAAGTAGCTCCTGGCTCCTGGATTCGGATTGGCTCAGCACTAGCTGTTGCAGCCATTTGGGGAGTAAACCAGCAGATGGAAAATCTCTCTCTCTGACTCTCCCTCTCCCTCTCTCTTTCTGTAACTCTGCCTTTCAAATAAATAAATTAATTAAATACACACACACACAATATCTATAGCTCAACAGGGAAGGGCCTTGTCAGGTTCCTATTTGGGAACACATTATTTACAAAGTACATGAACAAAGAGGCAGAGATCGCTGCTAATTGCCCCCCAAGATCCACTCCCTTTATTAAGAACTGGAATTTCTCCCACTCCCCAAGTTTTAGCTGCATGTGTGGCTGTCCAGTTAGTGACAATTCTCGCCCTCTTGGAGGCACGTGTGGCTTCATGAAATGAGTTTTGGCAGATGGAATGGAGAAGTGATGTGCACAACTCCAGGGCTGCACCCTTGAGTGGAATTTGTGTGACTTCCTCCTCTTCTGACCTTCCCATAGGCGGGAATGCGGATACTGGGGTGTAGGGCTCACGTTGACCATGCAGACAAGGACAACACCTCTGGAGATACGGAAAGAGCCTGTGACCCCCGATGATCACTTACCTCTGGGCCTGTACCTTCTACATAAGGTAGAAATAAACTTCTATTTCACTTGAGCCACTGTGCTTTGGGTTTTCAGTGTTACAGCAGCTTAGCCTACACTTCATTTAATAGAACCATGGGTTTATGAGATGGGCTTGCTCTTGGTTAAAAAAAAAAAAAAAGGCCCAAACAGAATAATTTTCTTTCTTCGTTCATTTTTTTTTTTTTTTTTTTTTTTTGACAGGCAGAGTGGACAGTGAGAGAGAGAGACAGAGAGAAAGGTCTTCCTTTTGCCATTGGTTCACCCTCCAACGGCCGCCGCGGGTGGTGCGCTGCAGCCTGCGCACTGCGCTGATCCGAAGGCAGGAGCCAGGTGCTTCTCCTGGTCTCCCATGGGGTGCAGGGCCCAAGCACTTGGGCCATCCTCCACTGCACTCCCTGGCCACAGCAGAGAGCTGGCCTGGAAGAGAGGCAACCGGGACAGAATCCGGTGCCCCGACCGGGACTAGAACCCGATGTGCCGGCGCCACAAGGCGGAGGATTAGCCTAGTGAGCCACGGCGCTGGCCCTGTAGAATAATTTTTCATATGCACCAAAAGATAACTATTTAAGATAACTGTATTATAAATTATTCAGCCAAAAAAAAAGGCAACTCCTAACACCTCTAGGGAAATTCTGGATTTTTGTTTCTCAGGTTTCCTTAAAGCTGAATGGTTACACTGATCTTCCTCTAATAAACATTTCTAGAAGGGATTCAGAAAGCTGTGCTTTTAACCCATAATCTCTTCCTTCACTTTCCGAAGAATCAAGTCCCCCTCCTCATCCCCTGAAGATGAGGTCAGCAGATCATAGCCTTGGGTAAGGTAAGTCAGATAATCAATTATTATGATTACCTTGATTACTTTTTTTTCATTTGGAGCAATCAGTGATCTATTATCAGCACTTTTATTAAAGTGTAATATTTACTTGATATCTCTGACCCCTTGGGTCATATTGGAATTTCACCTAAATTGGCCAAAGTGGGAGAATTGGTTTGAGCAGAGTAAGTAAAAAATTTTAATTAGGTAACTTGGAAAATTGCCTCTTGTTTTACTCATTGTTATGGCACAAAAGAAAGAAAAATATCCTGTCTCTGAAGGTGAAGTTCTCCATTTGGAGTACTCATGGAAGGAGATAAGAAGTTTAAGTTAACATAACCCCAGAGAGAGGGGTGAGGGACTCTATTGTCCCTGAGCTGCTGAGGTCTCCCTTTTGCCCTGGTCCTAGATCTACTTGGCTGCCTCTCATGAGGTCCCTCATTCTGCACCCACCATCCACTAATCACAGGCAGAAGAGCAGGCTGGAGTTTCCATTAGTGTCTTTTCCAGACCAATTTAAAACAGCTTGGGTAATCCAATTTACAGAGAGAAAGAATGAGGAAGAAAAGATAATAGACCAGGGCTGGTGGCACAGTGGGTTAAGCCACCACTTGCAATACTGGCATCCCATAACAAAGTGCTGGCTCAGGTCTGGCTGCTCTGCTTCTGATCCAGCTCCCTGCTAATGTGCCTTGAAAGGCAGTGGAGGATGGCCCAAGTGCTGGGGCACCTGCCACCCATGTGGGAGACCTGGATAGAATTTCCTCTCTGGCTCCTGGCTTCAGCCTGGCCCAGCCCTGGTTGTCGTGGCTATTTGGGGAATGAACCAGCAGATGAAAGATCTCTGTCTCTCTGTGTATCACTCTGCCTTTCAAATAAACAAACAAAATAAATCTTTAAAAATAGAGAGAGAGCTAACAGACCCTCACTGAAATAGCCCTTAGGGCCCAGGTGCCTTCCCTTTGGAGAGGGTAACCAATGCCACAAAAGCTTTAACACTTTGATCCTTGAAGATCTCCCTTCCTCCCCTATCACTCATCCTGTTCCACTCACAGCAGCCCATGGATCATCCTCCAGACAAAGCACCAACTGACGCTCTGACCTGTTTTTCTCATCTTCCCCCATCCTGAGAAGAAGAGGGCTAACAATTACTGAGCACTGCCCTGAGCCAGGTCATGGGCAGGTACTTTATGAAGCCTCCCATTCAGACCCCACACAGCCCCTGGGGCGAGTTTCCCAGAAGGTCTCAACCAATCATCCTCTGTCACACAGCCACAATGCTATAAACCTGGGATCTGAATTAGCATGGCTGGGGTCCAGACTCGACAGACTTCCCACAATATTCAGCTGCCTCTCAGCCCAGAGGCCCTTTCTCATATCTTCTGCATGAGGAATGCTGCTCATTAATGAGGGCCCAGCCTGAATGTCCCCTCTTCTGAGAAGTCTTCCCGGAATCCTCCTGAGAGGACTGCCTCTCCTTCGCACCCTTCTACTCCTTTCTGAACACCTCTTTCAGGACACTGCGTACCAGAGTCTTCCCTCGTTCCACAAAGAGGGGGAAGGGCCTTATGCTCTTTCCACAGTTTCTCCTTCTAGTTTGGAGCTCCCTGGTGGGGAAGGATTATGTCTTAATCTTCGTAACTCCACAGCCCACAGTAAATAAATGAGGGAGCATGGTTACCAGCATGGACTGTTTAGCCTGGATTCAATCCTAGCTTTTCCACTTTCTTGCTGTGAGTCATTGGGAAAATTCCTTATTTCTCTCTAAGCAAATGAAGATAATAGTAACTATCCATATCTCACAGGGTGGTGTGAGGAGAAATGAGATGTTATACGTAGAACACTTGCTGGTATGCCTGACAACATTATAGGTGTAGGAAGAAGACAGCTAATATTAATTGAAACAGAAGCATTCCTAAACCACAGTGAGCATTTGTGGGTTTGACTGCCAACTATCCTTTCCTCGGGGTTTTCTGTGGCTCACATGGGGCTGTTGATCAAAGAAACCCTGCTCACTTCAGAGGTAGCCCAGACACTCAAGCCTGGCCCGTGTTAGAACTCTGTTAGGTCAGCAACAGTGATTGGTTCAAAGCTGGTCATCTGATCCAAAAAGGGCCAATCAGAGTCCTACCTGCATCCTGCTATAAGGACACTGGGAGAAAGGTGCTCGTTCTCATTGCTGGTGTTGCTAGCTAGCCCTGTGCTCTGCAGATTTAAGATAGAAACAAAGGATGGATAGATGAACAGAATATTAGTCTGGATGAGCTGCAGCTCCTCATTGCCTTCTGTGAGCTTTTCCTCCTGCCTTCTTATGATGTGAATACAACAGTAAGCAATACTTTATTGGATATTTATTTTTATTAGATACTGCCCTGAAAGTTTTACATGTGCTAACTAATTTTTTTTTTTTTAGAAATTTTATTTATCTGAAAGAGAGAAAGAGAGTGAGAGCATGAACTTCCACCTGCTGATTCACTCCTCAAATGCCCCCAACAGTCAGGGCTGGCCAAGTGGAGACCAGAAGCCTGAAAGTCAATCTGGGTCTTCCACGTGGGCAGCAGGGAGCCAAGCACCTGCACCATCACCCACTGCTTCCCACGCACATTAACAGGAAGCTGGAATCAGAAGCAGAGCCATAACTCAAACTCAGGCATTTCAACATGGAATGCGGGCATCCTAAGCAGTGTCTTATCCACTGCACCAAATGCCCTCCCTAACCAATTTAATATTTACAACCTTAATGAAGGAGGCACAGTTATTAACATCACTGTTTGCATGTTGCAGGTTAAGAAGCTAAGGTGCAGAGTAGTCTCATTACCTGCTGAGGTTCACACAGTGGGAAAACTGAGCCTAGGTTTGCACCCAGGCAGTCTGGACTTAGAGCCCACAGTCTTAACCACTTCACTATACTGCCCTGAGAACCCTATTTAAGGAGGTTTAAGTCTGATCTGTATCATTCGCCATGGAAAAAGCTCCCCTACTTTACCTGGAGAAGACTCAGCTCCCAGAGGCTTCTCCTCTTCGGGCCAGCCTCCTCCCTCTGACCCCTGGAAAGAAAACTCCTCCAGGCTGGAAAGGGACTGCAGCTCCTTTGGGGGTGTCCTGCAGGGGGTGCTGTTGGTGCTGATGACAGCTGACACGCGGAGTGGCACGGACACGGCGAAGGGCTCGGAGATGTTCAGCGCCTTGCGCTGGTGGCGTGGTGAGGGCTCCATCTGGAAGAGGCTGCTGGTGAAAACGGACTTGCTGGGGCTGTCGTTTGAGGTGTAGAACATACCCAGCATCTTTGGGGCCGTTTGCTCGCTCTCAGGATCCTCGGCAGGCCGGAACACCTTCAGCTGCTCCGGCGGGGGCCGGGCCTGCGCACCCTGGAGTTGGCTTCGGTCACTGCCCACGTCAACGCCTCCCTCTGCCCCTGCCAGCATCCCCTCGTGGCCCCATTCGCCCTCCTGCTTGCTGAGGTCGCATGAACTACCAGTGCTGGTCCCATGCATTTTCGTTGCTGGAATGAAAAATCCACCCGTGGTGACTGTTCGATTGAAATTTCCTTTGGTTTCTTTTCCTAGGGAGAGAGAACAAACACATGATCGATCAGCAGCCTGGGCACACACACAACTGTGCAGCCTTCCAGGAAGGGCAGGCACGTGAGAACTTAACGCTGGAAAGGTATAGCATTGGCATAAGGCCATTGCTGTCCTGGTACAGAAACATACACGCCATTTGAATGACAAGGGAGAAAGCACTTTCTCATATGCACAAAACATTGGCGTCAGTCCTTTGATAGGCCCAAGTTGCCGCAGGCCTAAAATTCTTAAGACTACCCTATCGGTGGCTGGCGCCGCGGCTCACTAGGCTAATCCTCTGCCTTGAGGCGCCGGCATACCGAGTTCTAGTCCCGGTCGGGGCGCCGGATTCTGTCCCGGTTGCCCCTCTTCCAGGCCAGCTCTCTGCTGTGGCCAGGGAGTGCAGTGGAGGATGGCCCAAGTGCTTGGGCCCTGCACCCCATGGGAGACCAGGATAAGTACCTGGCTCCTGCCATCGGATCAGCGCGGTGCGCCGTCCGCATTGTGCCAGTCGCATTGCGCCAGCCGTGGAGACCAAAGTCTCTCTCTCTCTCTCTCGCTCTCACTGTCCAAATAATGCCCATGAAAACACCTAAATTCAAGCCACATATCCATCTAAGCTTAAAATTAAGAGGCATAGACCAATACTGGGCTTTTCTTTCTGACCAAGGAGGAAGCATCTTCTGTCTTAGTTTTCAGGTGTTGACTTTTTATCACGTTCACGTTTGAATGAAATGTTGCTATGCTCTATAGCTGTGGCTAGAGAAAGGCTGTGTTAGAGCTATGTGAACCCCTTGAGTTTGGGAAGGCTCAAGGAGAGATGGGGTGATCGTGTGGGATCATGTCTACAGACGAGCAACCATGGGAGCTTACAAAGGCAAGTCTGGTGTGAGCTCCAGTCTCCCAGTTGCAATCCCCAGCTCAGAAACCAACTGTAAATCTCACCTTCAACAGGCACCGAACACAGGGAGTCCATGCTTTTAGCTGGTCGGATAGTAGCCTTTTCCACTAGAGACAAAAGAAAGCATATGAAGAGGAAGATTCAGAACAATAGACCAGGCTGTAAGGACACAAGAGAAATTTCTTTAGGAAAATTTTTCAAGTATTTATAATCTGTGTTCTTAGAAAACACTTCCCCACTTCACTCTGAGCGCTCATACTTTCTCAACGAGACTAAGCTGACAAAAACAGGGCACTGCTAAGTCAATGTTTTATTAATTTTACACATGAGAGTAAATTGCAATTTTTGTCAAAAAGTTATTGGAAAATGAGGAGTCCTGAACCCAATTTTCTTGCAGGAAGAGTGTTCAAAGCTGAATCCATGGGGCTCCAGGCGGCCTCTCCTGTCTGACCAGTGAGAGACTGAAAGAGCAGGATTCTTGGCTGCAGCCCTACGTATCTCTCATCTCCCAGGAATTTGATACAAAAGGTGAGAGGGCCCGAGGGAACTGGAGTCACCTTTTTCCACAGGTGCAGCTCTGTCCCTTGAAGTCTGTGGACTGGCTGCTCCCCCAGTGACCTCACTCAGTGACCTACCCTGAAACGGATCCCAACCACATCTTTTGTTTTTGAGCACCTGATATGTGCCTGGTGCCACCTTAGCAGGTTTTTGGAGTCTAAACAAGTAAAAACTGATACCAGGCACAGTATTAGACACTGTTATGGTTTAAGTGTGTATCCCAACAGGCCTGTGTTAGAAACATACTTCCTCAGTGCAGCACTGTTTGAAGATGGGGCCCCATGGGAGGTGTTTTGGGCATGAGGAACACACCTCATTAACGGATTAATGTCTTACAGGAACTGATTTCCCTTTTCTCTCTCCTGCATGCACTCACTCTGTGCCGTAAACTAAAGCAGCACAAGACCCTTACCAGAAGCTGAGCGGATGCTATGCTCCTGGCCAGAAGCCTCCAAAATCATGAGTGAAAATAGACCTCTGTTCTTTATGAACTATACAGCCTCAAGTATTCAGTTCTAGCAACAGAAAATGAACCAAGGCAGACAGATCCACAAACATCATGTCTTCAAGGGGCTGAACTGGCTAGAAGGGATTTCCCTCCAGCACAAACTTGCTAGCAGGGAAAAAGGGGCAACTGGAAGCTGGTACAGGTAAATGAATTCAGACAGATCTGGATTTGAGTCCAAACTGCGGTGCTTTTTGGCTGTGTGACTTCAGATGAGCAGCTTGCCTTCTCTAAATTCAGTTTCCTTGTGTGTAAAATGAGGAAAATGACAGCTGTTGTGAGGATTCAATGAGTAAGGGTTATAAAATAATTAGGCTGTACTAAGCTAAAATAAAATAAATAAAAATAATGATACCGCTTACTGTTACTGTTGGTGCTACTCAGGATCACCCAGGGCTCGGCTCTGAAGGGAGAGATAGGAGTTCTACAAGAAGCAGTCAGGGTTGGCCCTGACCCAGAGTGGGCCTTAACTTCTGCTTATTTTGGTCCCTCTTTTAAAGCTCTCCCCCTTTTCCTCCTAGCTCCAAGCCTTGCTCCTCCTGGGAGGTTCTGAGTTAGCCCCCTGGTCCGCAGCTCCAGGTTTCTCTCTGACTAGAGTGCCTGCTGTAGGAGGGCTCAGCCCTCCCCTCTGAAATTCTCCGCAAGGGCAGACGTTGCCTTCAACTGCCTTACTTTGAGTACTGTGCCAGAATCCTTGTCCTTTGACGATCTGCTATTTCCACAAGCTCATGAGCTGATTTAGTATCCTAAGGTGCCATGGCCAGCATCCCTTCCTTCAGGTATTCTGGACACTTTGCTTTCGCTTTCAGGAAACTACATTTATGGACTTTTTCGGTTTCCATGTGTTGACCTGGCAGGGCAATGACTAAGTGTCCCTGAGTGTCACAGAGGGTGGGCAGTTCTGCCTTCAGGGCCACCAGTGTCCAGTTTGGGTGGTTGGATTCTCTTTCCCATGCTGCAGTTCTGTGTGGCTGTGGCTGTAAGTGAGATTTCCTAAGGATTCCTTGACTTCTTTCCTCGATAGTAACTAAGAGCTCAGGACCCCTGGCCAATGCCTATATTTAGATTATATTTTTGTGTCTGCATCTTGGTCTGGCCTCATGGAAGTGCTTCCCCTAGTTTGCTGGCAGCTTTTGTGTCCCTGAATCCCCTCCCTTTGAGACTTTGCTCAGAGGTAAAGCTACTACAGCAGTACAGCCTTGGGATTTTCTACTCAGAAGGGGTCTTTTGAAGATTTCTTGAACTTTTCCTATTTGATATTATAAAGAAAAATATTAATTGATTCGAATAGCAGTATCCCAAGTTTCTGCATCTTCATTCATTCAGTACTCCATTTTTTTCTGATCCTGTGTATTTTTAAATCTCTGTTCAGTTTTGTAAATATGGTTAAATACACTTCATCTGCCCCCCTCCCCCAAGGAAAAACCCCAAAAGTGTTCGTGGTGAATTAATTTTTTAAAATGCTCTTAATTATGGAATTTTAAAACATTATTTACATATGTTAACCCCTGGTTCTCACCTTTCTTTTCTTTTCTTTTTACATTTATTTATTTGTTTGAAAGTCAGAGTTACAGAGAGAGGGAGAGACACAGAGAAATCATCTATCAGTTGGTTCACTCCCCAGGTGGCCAAAATGGCCAGGGCTGTGCAAGGCTTAAGCTAGGAGCCAGGAGCTTCATCCAGGTCTCCCACATGAGTGGCAGGGGCCCAGGGACTTGGATCATCTGCTACTGCTTTCCCAGGTCATTAGCAGGGAGCTGGACCAGAAGTGGAGCATCCAGGACTTGAACTAGTGCCCATATGGGATGTCAGCATTGCAGGTGGTGGTTTAACCCACTAGGCCACAATGCTGGCCCCTGATTTCCCTCTTTCGCATGCACATTTCAACACATAGTGAACTTATGGAGGCCACACTGGTGGATTCTGTTGCAAGACTACCTTTAAGTACAGATTCCAGTACAGTTACGACCATAAGGCCCTCTGGGCCTCAGCTTCTAGGACTCTGGTGCAAAGCAGTCAGGCAATAGTCAGATCCAGAGAGCCCTTGGAACGGACATGGATGGCTGTTTAATCTCACCCCCACATCCCATCAAAGTTAGCTAGTTTGGTGCTCTGTCTCTGATTAGCTTGTTCATAAGATGTTAAACTAGTGGCTTTCAGCCATGGATGCATAACAGGATCACCTGGAGGATTTTTGAAAATTTTTCCAATACTCTGATCTCATCACAGACTTTCGGAGGCAAAATCGCAGAGTGTGAACCACTTTGTAGGCAACCACGCTAAGAAGCCCTGGCAGGGACACCTTGTCTCTTCTGTGAATCTACCACCATTTAGTTCATTCAGCACCTTGGGTGTGTTCCTTTCGAAATTCACATCGGGGGGCCGGTGCTGTGGCCAGCGGGTTAATGCCCTGGCCTGAAGTGCCAGCATCCCATATGGGCGTTGGTTCTAGTCTCGGCTGCTTTTCTTCTGATCCAGCTCTCTGCTATGGCCTGGGAAAGCAGTAGAGGATGGCCCAGGTGCTTGGGCCCCTGAACCCACGTGGGAGACCCAAAGGAAGCTTCTGGCTCCTGGCTTCAGATCGGCTCAGATCCAGCCATTCATTGTGGCCATCTTGGGAGTGAACCAGCAGATGGAAGACCTCTCTCTCTGTCTCTACCTCCCTCTGTAACTCTGTCTTTCAAATAAATAAAATAAATCTTTAAAAATACAACTAAATACAAATTTTTTAAAAGATACATTTATTTTGATGCAAAAAATTTAAAATCATACATAGTTTTAAAATAATACATATTTCCTCAAACTTTTTGAAGAGCCCTCATGTGCATGGATTTCAAAAAATTTTCACACCCAGATAAACATCTTTCAATTCCATTTTTCCATGAACTTTCTGAAGAATGATGGTATCCTTTGTTTTTTCCTGTATATACCTAAGGTAAAGTTTAATTAATAAATTAGGCACAGTGAGGCACTATTAGAAATAATGTAAAAATGGAATAAGTATATTGTAATAAAAGTTATGTGAATGTGGTGTCTTTCTGAAAATGTTTTTGTATGAAACTCATTCTTCCTGTGATGATGTGCAATGAAATGATGCCTCTGTAATGAGATGAAATGAAGCAAATGATGTAGGCGTTGTGATGTAGCATTAGGCTACCACGTAAGGGTTACTTGAAACAGGCACTGTGATATCTCAACAGTTGATCTGATAACTGAGACATCTCCCAGTGACTAATGGGCAGGTAGCACACACAGCGTGCACATGCTAGACAAAGGGATGATTCACGTCTAGGGTGGGACAGAGCAGCATAGCGTGAGATTTCATCACACTACTCAGAGTGGTGTGCAGTTTAAAACTGATGATTTGCTTATTCCTATAATTTTTCACTTAGTATTTTGGAGCTAGGATAACTAAGGGTAACTGAATCCACAGAAAACAAAATCACAGATAAGGGGGAACTACCATATTCATTTTTGGCCTCGATAGCTATATTATGGTTATGTAAGATGTTAGCACGAGGGGAAGCTGCATGAAGGGTGCACAGATTTCCCGTGTACTCTTTCTGTAACTTTTTTGGAAGCCAAAATTGTCTTTTTAAAAAAGAACCCCTAGTTAATTAATATGTTTGTCTCTAGTAGGTTTAGTGTGATGAAATCATCTTAGAAGAAGATGAGCTAGCACACAGTCCATGTGTCACAAAACCCCACCGCCGTTGAATCTTACCTGAGAGCCGCTGCCCTCTCACAAACACGCTCCCATTTCTACTCAGCTTTGATTTGGAGTCTGATCCAGAACGTCCCAGGTTAAAAATCGATTTCCACTTCTTTGATTTACTGGAAAGCTTTCTCCTAATAGAGCCAAGGCATAAGGGATTAGTTTGTTAACTAGTTATGTCAAGGGTACTTTTAAATCAAGAAAAAAAAAGTATTTCAATAATGTTTGCAGTTACAGATGGCTCTAATATCTCAGAAAAAAATCCTCTCTAAAATCCAACGTGATCCTCATTCTCACCTTGTCTGAGGATACATTAGCAAGAACTAAGACCATATTCCTGAGGGCAAGAGGCAGAGGCATGTACCAAAGGTAGGGATGATGGCTAACAGAGGCAGAGATCACGGCGAGCCTCAGCCTCCAGCAACACAGTTCTGGGAACTCTTGTAAGCATTCTAGTCCTGAGTTTTCAAAGGTACCAGTCTCTCAGGGGCCAGTGTTGTGGCATAGTGGGTAAAACCGCCTGCAATGCCTCCACCTTATATGGACGCTGGTTAGGGTCCCAGCTGTTCTACTTTTGATCCAGCTCCCTGCTAATGGCCTGGGAAAGCAGCAAAAGATGGCCCAGGTGCTTGGGGCCCTGTACCATGTGGGAGAGCTGGAAGAAGCTCCTGGCTTTTGGCTTAGGCCTGGCCCAGCCCTGGCCATAGTTTTCATCTGGGAGATGAACCAGCAGATGGAAGACTCTCTCTCTCTCTCTCTCTTTCTCTCTCTCTCTCTGTATTCTGACTTTGAAATAAAATCAAATCTTAAAAAAAAAAAAAAAAAAAAAAAAAAAAGAAGATCCTAGGCTTTCAGAGGAGTAAGCCCAAAAGATGGTAGACTTCAGTCTGGATAGGCTCCCTGCACTGTGGGACAGCCACAGGAGAAGGCTTCGGACTTCCATGAACTGAAAAGGGTTGGTTGAGAAAGCAGACCTGGAACAGAGTCTGGCCTGCTGCTATTGGGAGAGATGCAGCCTGCTGCGTGTGGTCAGTGGTTACTTCAGGGAAAGGCAGAGGGCAGGACCTCGCTGGCTTTGCCTCGCTACCAGGCAGCTTCCGTGGGTGGAGACAGGGACAGCACTAGACTGGGTCGGGAGAGCCTGATACCACCAGGGGTCACCACAGAGGCCTTGCCCTGCTGTGGCTCAGCCCAGCCAGCGGACTCCATGGAGTTCCAGGGTGAAACCCTGCAACCTGGGGGTCCCACAGAGAACCTTTCTCTGCAGGCTTCTCAAAGAACATCCAGTTTCAAGCCCAGCACGTGTTTATGATCAATCTGAGACAGCTCTGCAGTGTCCAGCAGTTTCTTTGGGACTTGGCTTGTTCTTTCTGAAGCACTTAGTCTTAGGGTGCACATCATAGGGTGGCATAACTTGGGGTATGGTGGACTCCAAGGGTAGTTAAGAGCACAGAAAAAATGCACTGGATGGTCACTTCAAGGTATCTTCTTCCTGATCCCTGAAGGCAAATCTCACCCCGCAGAGATTTGGGAAGAGGAGCAGTGAGGTCAGTCTCAAGAGGACATGACACACAGTCCAGGAAAGAGAGAGATTTCAAACCAGGTGAGTTTCAGCCGTGCCATTCCAGTTGTGCAGGGTTCTGCCCTCTCCCTCCACGGAAGATGCTGATAAAGGTGCTGCTTTCAGGTTTCTTTTCACTGACCAGTGAAGATCACACCCTCAGATGAAAAGCCTGCTTTCAGCCCTTTTACCTACTGTATGTCTAAAATTTAGGACTACTGCTTCAGTCACTGCCTCCTACAGTGGGATGTGAGAGAAGGGGTGAGATCAGGGTTGCAATGGAAGAACTGAGAGGGAGAAATAAGGAAAGACAGTCTCCCACCAATGAAAAGGAGGTCTGATTTGTTTTGGAGGGTAAGGGGATTCTGACAGGTCTCAGGGGGGCAAGGAAGCCAAGGATATGTGTCCCCAAGAGATGCTTGCCTGCAGTTCTTGGCCTAGGGTGGCGCCATTTGTCAACTTGTCCTCTGTCTTGAGATTCGCCTCTATGCCTCTTGTAATGTGATATAGGAGTGTGGATTTGTTCTGAGTAAACTTGTGTTCTGAGTAAACTTCCTTTTGTAAACACCAAGCCTCTTTTGTCTAAACTAAGGAGTAGGGATTTTAGTCATGACTTGTGATATGACCCCTATGACTCCCACCCCCATCCTGGTACTTGGGGTCTCTATAACTTGGAACAGTGAGTGACATTATCAAACGCTGGTGAGAGAGTTGTGGAGCCAGCTCCCTTCTCTTCTGGAATGTTTCCTTATGCCCCTACCTGGACTGCACCCCTACCCACAAGGCCATCACAGCCCTGAGACAGTATACCTCTTCCTCTCTGTCCCGCTCCATTCAAGCATCTCCCAAAATTCAAACGAATCCCACTTACTTGTTGTCTGGTAACTCAAGGACAGTGTGGAAGAGGGTGCCCATGGGGGGAACAATCTCAGGCAAGCTGTTCTCCCTCCTTTCCTTCCGAGCGGGATGGTTGGTAGCCAGGCTGCGGGCCTGAGCTTCCTCCAGGCTCACCAACTTCATGGGCAGGGAAAGGGCTGGCAGGGTCAGGCTCTTCATGATGGGTCGGTTTTCTGGAATGGAACGAGAAGAGCTCAGTTAGGGAAGAGGTCCGTGAATGGATCCATCCAGATTCCACATCAACAGCACTCCATTTTTGACCTCTTGGCAGGGACTGGCTGCCAACCTTGGCTTCACTAGGGCATGATGGGGCCTGGGGCTGTGGCTGTATGCAGGAAATCGACAGCTCTCCTGGCCAGACTAGCCCAGAGGGCAAACAGGAGGCTAATTGCTTCTGATACTTTTCAGAGAAGGGCCATTCACTCATTAATATGACAAATTTATTTAGCACCTACTGTGGGCTACAGTAACAGCTGTGAGACCTCTGCACCTTGTGTTCTGGGAAGAAGGGAATGTCTGTTCAGCCTCAGAGGTAGTATATGGCAGGGCACTTTCCCTCTGCCCCACAGTTAGAAGCCACCTCCTGCAAGGCAATTTAAAGTTGGAGTCTCTCCTTTCCACAGTTCACCCAGGCATCTATCTCTGCAGTAAGAAGACAGCTTATAGCCTGTACTATTCCTTAAAAGGTAAGTGGCTCTTTATGTACTACTCAATCATCTTCTACTATATGTAAATAACCCCTTCCTACACTCTGGTATTTTTTAAGAATGGGAGTGGTGATAGAAATCAATAGTATACAGGGTTACCAATTTTCTCCAAGTCAGTGGTTCTCAACTTTGGGCAATTTTGTGTACCCACCCCAGCCAGGGACATCTGGCAGCATCTGGAGACAGTTGTTTTGACTGTCACAGATGCATGTGGGAGAGCTACTCCATTTAGTAGGTAGATGCCAGGGATGCCGCTAAACATCCCACCATGCATAGCACAGTGCCCCATATCAGGAATTACTCAGTACTAAATATCAGGAGTGCTGAGGCTAAGAAACACTGATCTAGGTAAAAAGGAAATCTAAGTTTGTTTCTAGTCTGTCTTTGGTGACATTGTATTTTCTGACACTTCCCATGATGTGTAGACATTCACCTTGGACCAAGTCAAACTAAGACTCACTTTAAAAAAAGGAATTGTTTTTTGAAAGACAGTAACACACACACACATACACACACACACACACACACACACACGAGAGAGAGAGAGAGAGAGAGAGAGAGAGAGAGAGAGAGAGAAATGAGAATCTTCTGTATGCTGGTTCACTCCCCAAATAAAACCAACAGCTCAGGCTATGTCAGGCTGAATCTGGGAGGCAGGAACTCCATTGGGTCTCCCTGTGGGTGGAAAGAATGCAAGTACTTGGGCTATCATGCTCTGCCTCGCAAGCTCATTGGCAGGCAACTGGATCATAAGCACAGAATAGTTGGGACTCAAATTGGGATGTGGATATCTCAAGCTACCTTTCAAATAAATACAAATGAATATTTTCTAGATAATAAAAATTATAAAGTACAAGGAAAAAAATCCATGAAAAGAGAAGTTCTAACAGTTTCTTCCAACAGCCATACTTTAGTACTTCAGTCTTTGCTACCCTCTAGAGTGTGGAACTCCACTTTGGAGACCATAATGGTCCTAGCCACATGTTCCCTGTGTCATTCAGGTCAAAATTTACCTCTTCAGAGACCATTACCACTCTGTCCCCGAATAACACTCCCAAATCACTAACCACAGATTACTCTTCCGTGTTTCTTCTTGGCATTTGCTGTCTTTGAAGTGATAGTATATGAATTTATAAACTTACATATTGCCTTCCTCTTCCCAACCAGACCATTGCCCTTTGCAGAGCAGGGTCTTAGCCATTTTGTGCACCAGTGTATCTCCAGTGTCTGGGACAGTGCCTGGTATACTGGAGATACTCAACACATGCTTATTTTTATTGAATCTTAGAGATATTACAATTTCTCTGGTCAGTGCTCATATCCATTAAATAAAGGTATTGGAGTCTATGACTTCTGCTATGGTGTGTTTGTGTTCTCCCAAAATTCATATGTTGAAACCTAGTCCTCAATGCCATAGTATTAAGAAGTAGGATCTACAGCAGATGGAAGATCTCTCTCTCTCTCTCGCTCTCGCTCTCACTCTCTCTCTTTCTTTCTCCCTCCCTCTGCCTTTCAAGTAAACTTTTTCTTAAAAAAAGAATTAGGTATGGGGCAGGTGTTGTGGTGCAGCAGGTTAAGCTACCATTTCGCATGCTTTCATCACACATTGGGAGTGCAAGTTTGAGTCCCAGCCCTCCACTTCTGTTACAGCTTCCTGCTAATGGGTCCTGGGAGGAGAAGATAGTGGTTCAAGTGCTTGGGCCTCTGCTGCCTATACAGAGGACTGAGATGGAATTCTGGCTCCTGACTTCAGCCTGCCCTGTCTCTGCAATGTTCCACACTAATGTATGTGAATATTCACAGCAGTTATTATATATAATAATAAAAAACAAGAAACAACCTGAATGCCCATGGACCCATGAACAAATTGACAAAATGTATTATATGCATTTAGTAGAATATTATGCAGCTGGAAGTACTGATCCATGCAACAGTATGGATGAATCTTGAAAACATGTGTAAGTGAAAGAAGCTAGTCACCAAAGATGACGTATTACATGATTCTATTTATATTAAAGGTTCAGAATAGGCAAGTTCATAGAAACAGAAAGTAGATTACTGGTTTCCAAGACGTGGGGGAAAGGAAAAATGTGGCGTGATTGCTTACTGGGTGTGGGTGTGATGAAAATGTTCTGGAATTAGTGATGGATGATGGCTGTATAGTTCTGTGAGTTAAACTAAAACCACTGAATTTTATTCCTTAAGATGGTTAAAATGTTGAATTTTATGTCAGATTTATCTCAATAAAATTTTTTAAATAAAAGAAAGGGCATAAACCATATAGAGTATTGGGTAGGTAGGGGTAGGAATAATTATAGTAGGAACTGAAATTTGACATTGATTCCAATTGATGGTTCTGATGATTATACTGTTTTTTCCAAATATCTTAGTTGAATAGGAACAGAATACTTTAATAAGCCAACACATATTTTGCATATATACTTCTCCATACACCACTGGCTCTCCAAGTGTGGATCTGACCAGCAGCATCAACATTACCTGGAAACTTTTTAGAAATATAAATTATCAGTTGCACTCAGGACATATTGAACCAGGAACCCTGAGGCTGAGATCCAGTCCTCTGTGGTTTAACAAGCCCGTCAGGTAACTGTTATGCATCCTAATGTGGAAAAACCACTCTCAAGCACAAATGGCTGTTCCCAGGCTTCTAGATTAACTGGATTCTGGTTTTCATAAATTACACCCACAGGAGATTAAGCAGCATAAACTAATTCATTCCTAGGGTTCATTATGTCATTATGGGATGCCCACAAACACACACTCAACTAGTGCCTGGTGCAGGGAGGAATAAGTAAGCATTTGAAAAACGCTTGCAGAGAATGTATTCTGACTTTGCATGTCAGTATGAACACACTGCCTCTAACTCGTTCTCTTAAGACCTCAAAGTGAAGGTATAAGGGTCTTCTGAAACATTTTAGTGAAAGTAAAGGTGAAATATAATAGGGAGACTAATGTTCCAGATCCCTTCAGTTATATAATAACTGAAGAGTTTAAGAACTCCCTAAATTTAGTAGAATACTACATCAGTTTTCTTCTGCCTCAGTACATTCATGGGACAGGACAGGTATGCAGTTGATCAGAAACATTCAAAAGCCACATACACAACACACTATACCTTGACTTCATATATACAGAAACACATATGCACCATTCCCAGACACTGACACAGAGTTGCTGGCATGCATGCACAGGCAACACTCGGCTAGAAACAAGCCCACTCTCACTTATTTTTGGTCCCCATCATAGGGGCAAGAAAGAAGGCTTGCTAGTGGGGATGAGGTTGGGGGAGGGGGGATGTGATATATGCCAGGAGGAATCAGTACCATCATTCTCCACAGAACTGGGTGCACCGCTGTTAAAGATTTGATCCACATGATTCAATATGAACTCAATCACCACCTGCTGGACTCGGACTGCAAGGAAGGCTGCATCACCATTGCAACCAGTGGCTTCGATTTCTTTAGACCTGAACCGCAGAAGGAACACAATCAGTGAGTGAGTCTGGCTTGCAACCTGAGGCAGTAAGGTGAACCAGTAGGCCTTTTGCACAAGTTTCATTTCCAAAATTTATACAGTTTTTTTAAATTTGTTGAATACTTTAACTACTTGAGACCAATTAAAGGGACTGTCCAAGAGGCTGTGAAACCCAACACAATTTAAAAGTTACCTGGTATCTAAAATTTAAAACAGTTTACCAAGTATTAGAAATTGCAGGGCTACAAATGCTATCCTATGAATGTATAGAAATGGATTTCTTAAACTTTTATAGAATCACTCCCATCCAATTATTCTATCGGGAAGGTCAATATTTATGATGTAATATGAAGCAGATGGTTCAGGTTGTAGCCAGCTATGGCTCCTACCAAAGCCAAGAAATGCTAATAAGTCCCAAAGATAAGAAAGTCCTTTTCAATAAATTGTAACCATTGCATCAGCCACATGCTGGTTATTGCCAGAAAACACCTTAGGAAACCAGTGTTTCCAAGTAAGCAGGGAGCGAGCTTAGGATATTGAAATCACCTTTAATTCCTATGTGCTACAAATGACCACTTAGCTGCAGGCTTGTCTTCAAGGGGCTTAATCTTCATTTCAATGGTGGGTTCAGAGCCCTGGGGGGTGGTGAGAAGATGAAGGTGTGGTGGTTACCTGAGGAGGTTTGGAGCCCACACCAGAGCCAGGTTCCTGGCATGCATGTTGGTCTGGCTGCTGAAGGAGGCGATGTGTGCCAGGTGTCGGATCAGGTATTCCAGGGTCCTGTAATGGTTCAGTGTTTTGACAAAGTAAGTAACTTCAGTGCCTGTGTGATGCCTGACATCTGGAGATCATTCTAAGTTTGGTTATAAGAGACTCTAAATATTTCTAGCTTATGAATTTTGAAGGAACATTGGGAAGATGTCAAGATTGATGGAAGCAATTTTCTTGGCCATAGGCATGCTGGTTGGGGGTGAGGAAGGGGATGGTCTTGTGAGATATTTTAAATATTAAATATCTTAATATTGTGAGGAACTTCTTTTTATATCACATCAAAATCTGTGCCCTTGTAAAAGATGGGCAGACACAGGGAACTGGGGAAAGGTGGTAAAATTAGGGACGAACCCGGGAGAATAAAATAAAAGAATGGGATGATAGGAGACGGTACTGGTGAGCAAGTAGTGGCTCAGTCAGCCAAGTGCTCAAGAGCTGCAGTCAACTGATGTCTAAAAACTACATTGGTTTTCATACATTTGTTGATCCTATGAATCTCTGTAAGAACCAAGGATGTGACTGTGAGGCTGACTTGCTTCATCAGAGACACCCTTTCGGGGAGCTCTGTGGCCACCAGCATTGCTGCTCAGACACCAGCTGTTCACCAACCTCAAGTTGCCCCCGGGAAATTGTCCACTGAATTTGCTCCCTCTTAGGATGTCAGCACGCCTCTTTGGTATTACACCACATTGACAGGCTGCACGCTTCTTTTCCCCAGGATTCTTACCTATAATGGGATGGGGGAAGTTCCTGGATAACATTTTGGATTCGGGCCAGTCGGCCTTCTTCCGGGCAATGTGACACAGCCTCCTGTGGAGAAGAACATGAAGCAGGCCCGTGAGGATGAGCGTGGACACTCACCTGTGTAGGCTGACATTATTCAGGCTCCTGGTTCTCCAGCCTCGCTACTGTGCCCAGAGGTCAAGTTTCCGTGAGACACATGTTTCCATGGAAACAACCAACCAACTACAATTTCTGGGTGTTCATTTTGTGAAATATCTCATAGCATGTGCACGCAGAGATGGGAGCATCTTGTTTATCCTTTGATGGATGTCTAATAAGGAATATGTAGGGTTGTAGAATGTTGCACATGGCAGGGAGAGTCATGGAGACTCACTCTTGGAGGGAGACAGAGACAGAGGCGAGATGCGAGAGAGATGACAGAGTGGTACTGCTATACTCACATCTGTCTTTGTGGATATAAATAGCCACCCCTCACCTTGCCTGTGACTATCCTGATTATCTTGAGTACTCAGCTGCTGCCTGTCCTAGATGCTAGGAAGCAGGGAAGACATGCCTCCCATGGTGGGGATAAGAATTTTGTTCTTGAGACACAGTGGTCTTGCCCAGACTTGCTCTCTGGCTATTTCCTGTGTGGGTATTTTGTTCTCCTATCAGCCCAAGAGCCTTCAAAGAGAGCAGGAATGGCATGCAGGCAGTGTGATCACGGGCTGGCCCACGTCATCTCTTACAATGTAAGAGTCCCTGGGCAGATTCCTCTGCTCCTGGTTCTGCCCCCTGTCCAGAGAATCTGAAAGGCTCAGGGGCTACTCCCAGTGCAGTCTGGGAGTCCTCATGACTGCCAGCATGGCAGTGGGAATCCCATTTTTCTTTCTTTACTGAGATGTAGTATGCATGCATAGGCAGGTCTCTAAAAAGTTCATGCAAAATTCATGCTTTAAAAACTGCATGTAGGGCCAGCGCTGTGGTATAGTAGGATAAGCCTCAGCCTGCAGCCCCTGCATCCCATATGGGCACCGGTTCGTATCCCGCCTGCTCCTCTTCCGATTCAGCTCTCTGCTACGGCCTGGGAAAGCAGTGGAAGATGGCCCAACTCCTTGGGCCCCTGCACCCATGTGGGAGATCTGGAAGAGGCTCCTGGCTCCTGGCTTCAGATCAGCTCAGCTCTGGCCACTGCGGTCATTTGGAGAGTGAACCAATGGAATGGAAGACCTCTCTCTCGCTCCCTGGATCTACCTCTCTCTGTAACTCTGTCTATTAAATAAATAAAATAAATCTTTAAAAAAAAACCCTATGTATAAACTTCAAAATTCTCTTGTACCAAAATAAACTTATCTTTTAATCCTTTTCTATGAACGTTTTGAGTACTCTTGTATTTCCTTCCAGTGCTGGAAACTTGCTTTACATTTGTATACAGTGAATGGGATAATTATAAAATATATCCTTGAGTTTGATAAACACAGTCCCTGCCCCTGTAATAAAATAATAAGATCCTAGCTGGGATGACGGCTTTCTTAATATATACCGTTCACCCCTATTTGTCTTTACCTATCATTTGCTTGTATGTAAATGCTGAAGTTGACACTCTCAAAAATGAAAAAGTTTCCTGAATCTATATATATGAAATACATGAAATTTGTAGACAATTAAAATAAAAAATAAATAGATAAAAAAGAATGAAAGAGTTTTGAGGCACAGAAAAATGGGGGGAATTAACTTTTGGGGGCACCTTCTATTTCCCAGGCCTTTTTCTAGCCCCTCTCTGCTGTGTATGTCCTGGTCTACCTCAGAAGAGAACTCCTTGGTCCTGCCCAGCATGGCCATCCTGATCCCTCTCACTTGTCCCCTTTGGCAGTCTCCACCATTGTGTAGGTGCAGAATGTTGTCTCTTCAGGGTATTGCTGGTTGTCAGTCTCCCTCGCTAGAGTATGAACGCTGACAGCACAGAGAGATGTGAAGAGTCCCTGTGTCCAGACACTGCCTAGAACACAGTAGGTGCTCCTTACTTTGGCCAGCTGTGTCCATCAAGTTTTTTTTTTTTTTTCTCTGTCTTTTTAAAATTTAATTGAAGTAAAACACACATACAGAAGTTCACCATTTAAAAAAGCAATTAAAATCATCTACACGGAAAACTTGTAGGGAAACTCATTTCCCAGGCAGAAGTGGGGGCAGAGGTGGGCCTGGGCCTGTCAGTCGCAGGTGCCCCAATCTCCTGGTGGGTTTGCCAGCCAGAGAATAGACCCAGTGCAAACAAGCATTCTGCTGCAGCCCAGCTTTCTGAGCTCTGCAGGACATAGGGGCAGGGGCAAGAATGGAGCCTTTAGGAAGCAAGCCAGCATCTCCCTTCTCCAGAGCTGTTGTTATTGGAAAACAGCATTGGGTGGTGAAGCGGACCCTGGCTCTGCCAAGCGAGGAGAACCTCACAAGGGGGGCAAAGGCAGAGAAGCTCCAGGGGTGGGGGCTGCTGCTGCTTGTGGGCTCTGGGGCCTCCCACGTTCTGTCATGCACAGAGCACCGGCGGGGAGGCCTCTCTTCATCTCTGCAAAACCAGGGTCAAGCTTTGCAAAACTTTGTACCACACCCCCTTTAAAAAAACTGTTTTGGGGAAAAAAGGTTGTCGGCTCTCATGGAAAGTTCCTTTAACATTTTAGGAAGCTGTTACTCATCTTTGTTCTCTGAACAGGGGCAGGCTTACCCCGATGCCTGCAGTCCCATTAGGAATTGGCCTTTATTTCCTCCCTGACAGTGTCTCCTATCCTGCCCCAATTCCATCCAGAAGCTCTCTAGATTTGAGTTTTTCTCCCAGTGGAGTATGGGGGAGGGGTGTCTCTACAAACTTGTTTTTAGCTTTTTTATGTTCTCTTCTTAGGATGATGGAACCCATCTTTGGGCAACTGAGGGAAGGGAGTTGAAATTTTTGCCCATGTCAACTTTTTATCAGAGAATTTCACTCAACACTAGTGGGGCCAGTCTGGCTAATAGCTAAAACTTGAAAGATCCAGGATAAAATCTGGCCCCTGATTCTCGTCAAATCAGTAAGACAAGCTTCCGGCTCTATGGTTTTTGGTGAAGGCCGGGCTCTCGTCCCTGCAGTAGGGTCCTCACTCGGGGTTTCCCTGTTTACCACAGCCATCTCCGCTCCTGCCTCTCAAGTCCTGCTTCCAGGCAGCCCTGTCACCAGGTGGCCCAACACAAACAACCATGGCTGTCCCAACTGCACCCCAGTGGCGACATCAATTTTTTGTTAAGTACTTAACAATAATTATAAAATCATTTTATGTCTTGAATCATTTTAAGCTATTGACTAGATGTTTAAAAAGTAATCATGTTGGCCGGCGGCGTGGCTCACTAGGCTAATCCTCTGCCTTGCGGCACCAGCACACCGGGTTCTAGTCCCGGTTGGGGCGCCGGATTCTGTCCCGGTTGCCCCTCTTCCAGGCCAGCCCTCTGCTGTGGCCAGGGAGTGCAGTGGAGGATGGCCCAAGTGCTTGGGCCCTGCACCCCAGGAGACCAGGAGAAGTACCTGGCTCCTGCCATCGGATCAGCGCGGTGCGCTGGCCGCAGCGCGCCAGCCGCGGCAGCCATTGGAGGGTGGACCAACGGCAAAGGAAGACCTTTCTCTCTGTCTCTCTCTCACTGTCCACTCTGCCTGTCAAAAATAAAAAATAAAAAAAAAATATAAGTTTCACAAGAGCAAGTATTTTTATTTCTATTTTGTTCATGGCTAAATCTCTAGCAGCCAGAATTATGCCTACAAGGTACCCAAAACATATTTGTGGAATGGAGTAAATGAATGAGTCAATATTTTGCTTTGTGCTTCATGATGCCAAACAACCGCATTCAGGCCACGCTTTCAAAAACAGTACCTCCTAGGCCGGCGCCGCGGCTCACTAGGCTAATCCTCCACCTTGCGGCGCCGGCACACCAGGTTCTAGTCCCGGTTGGGGCGCCGGATTCTGTCCCGGTTGCCCCTCTTCCAGGCCAGCCCTCTGCTGTGGCCAGGGAGTGCAGTGGAGGATGGTCCAAGTGCTTGGGCCCTGCACCCCATGGGAGAGCAGGAAAAGCACCTGGCTCCTGGCTCCTGCCATCGGATCAGCGCGGTGCGCCGGCCGCAGCGGCCATTGGAGGGTGAACCAACGGCAAAAGGAAGACCTTTCTCTCTGTCTCTCTCTCTCACTGTCCACTCTGCCTGTCAAAAACAAAACACACACACACACACACACACACACACACACAAAAACAGTACCTCCTGAGGACCTTTCCCCTTGGTGATGAGAACCAGCATGGCAGGCGCAAGCATTGTGGCACCGTGGATTAAACCACCTGTGACAACGGAATCCCTTATGAGCTCCACTTCCAATCTAGCTTCCTGATAATGGACCTTGGAAAGCAGAGGATGACCCAAGTCATTGGGCCCCTGCTGACTATGTGCGAGACCTGGATGGAGTTTCAGGTTCTCGGCTTTGGCCTGCCCCCTCCTCAGCTATTGTGGCTATCTGGGGGAATGAACCAGTAGATAGAAGATCTCTCTCTCTCGCTCTCTCTGTAGTTCCCTCTCTTTCCCATCCAAGTACTAACCAGGCCCAACTCTGCTTAGCTATCAAGATCAGACAAGAACAGGCATGTTCGGGGTGGTATGGCGAGGGGGAGGGGGAGGGGGAGGGACAGGGGGAGGGCGAGGAGGAGGAGAACTAGAAACCAGCATGGCTGAGGCAGCTCCTGGCAGGGTGACCAATCTTCCTGTTTTGCCTGAGATGGAAGGGTGTCTGGTGAGATGGGACTTCAGGTGTTAAGATGGGGAGTCCCTGGCAAACCAAATCAGGCACTGCGAGCTCACATTCAGTCTGCCTTTGCCTGTAGCCAAGCACTAGTTGTCTGCCCCAAGTGACATTTCAGATGTGTGCAAGGTCAACCACCCTGTCCGCAAGTATCTACTAAGTAACAGTTGCAACATTTTTCAGTAGCTGGAGAGCAGAGAAAGAAACCACAGTTAACAAAGTAAATCAAGCACAGTTCATGTCCTCAAGGAAACTTACAATTTAATGAGGGAGACTGATATATAAAGAAAT